GTATTTCCTCCATCCAGGCTCTATGTTGTTGTATTGGGAATTTCTTTTCTCTGCTGTGCCATATTTTGATGGTTTCTAAGGTATTCCGCTCTGTGCCACTCAGGTTGGATTGCAATGGATGCTCTCATTGTACAATAACAAATTAAATGGGATTTTGGCTGATGAGATGGGTCTTGGAAAAACTGTGCAGGTTAATTCTGTTCTTAATTTTCAGAGATTCCTGGAAATTACTGTACTTATCGCCTGTGGCAAGCACGAAAGCATTATCTTCTGCCCGGCATTATGTGTTGATTGTTTTCTGTCTTCGTTGTGCAGGTAATGGCATTGATTGCTTACCTTATGGAGTTTAAGGGGAACTATGGACCTCATCTCATCATTGTTCCCAATGCTGTTCTGGTGAATTGGAAGGTTTGTATTTTCTGTTAGAATGTTCTATCATTTTTTCACAAATACCATGCACCAAGTCTCGCAACTCATAATTACTCAGACTCGTTTCCCCACAACCCACGAGTATTTGTATCCATTATTGATGCTTAGCTGACTCTAGCTAGCTGTAGTTGTGTTGACATGGCCATTTCCAGTTGATGAACTCTTTTGTATTCCTTGGAATACTTATCAGTTTTTGGTATCTTTTGTCGACTTCTATCTGATAACTTATTACACTGTTAACGGTTTTTTTTTTATTTGCAGAGTGAACTCCATACTTGGTTGCCATCGGTTTCATGCATATATTATGTTGGTACAAAGGATCAACGTTCAAAATTGTTCTCTCAGGTAAAATTTTGAAAACAGTTGCATTTGCTCCAGATTTTGTTTTGAAATCGTTGATTGATACATCCCCTGTTCTTTAACTCAGGAGGTTTGCGCCATGAAGTTCAATGTCCTCGTTACGACTTATGAGTTCATTATGTATGATCGATCAAAACTCTCAAAAGTTGACTGGAAATATATTATAATTGATGAAGCACAACGTATGAAGGACAGAGAATCTGTTTTGGCCCGAGATCTTGATCGGTATCGCTGCCAGAGGAGATTACTTCTCACTGGAACACCTTTACAGGTTGGTAACCGTAGAGCTACTTGGGCATAAATTACTGCACCTAACAACTGAACCAAGATTCTATGAGTTGTTCATATTATGTGCGAGAGTGAAACAGACGATTCTTATTCTGCTTTTTTTGAATCTTGTAGAACGATCTGAAAGAGCTTTGGTCACTATTGAATCTCCTCCTTCCTGATGTCTTTGACAATCGAAAAGCATTTCATGATTGGTTCGCGCAACCCTTTCAAAAAGAAGGTCCTGCGCATAATATAGAGGACGACTGGCTGGAGACTGAGAAAAAGGTCATAGTCATTCACAGGCTTCATCAAATTTTGGAGCCGTTCATGCTCAGACGCCGTGTTGAGGATGTGGAAGGTTCACTTCCTCCTAAGGTAGGATCTGTCATATATCTCTGCCATTATTTTTCGTTTAGATGATTCTTCTGACATTGATTTCGGTTGCAGGTTTCCGTAGTTTTAAGATGTAGAATGTCTGCTATTCAGAGTGCCGTTTATGATTGGATTAAAGCTACTGGAACTCTTAGAGTGGATCCAGACGATGAAAAACTTAGAGCGCAGAAGAATCCGATTTATCAAGCCAAGATATATAGAACTTTGAATAATAGGTGCATGGAGTTGAGGAAAGCATGCAATCATCCTTTGCTCAATTATCCATATTTCAATGATCTTTCCAAAGATTTTCTCGTAAGGTCATGTGGAAAATTGTGGATTCTAGATAGAATTCTTATAAAGCTACAGAGGACAGGCCATCGTGTATTGCTCTTCAGTACAATGACTAAACTCCTTGATATCTTGGAAGAGTATCTGCAATGGAGGAGACTTGTATACAGAAGAATAGATGGGACTACTAGCCTAGAAGATCGGGAATCAGCTATTGTGGATTTCAATGATCCTGATACTGATTGCTTTATTTTCCTGCTTAGCATACGTGCAGCTGGAAGGGGTCTGAACCTTCAGACTGCTGACACAGTTGTGATATATGATCCGGATCCAAACCCCAAGAATGAGGAACAAGCAGTTGCCAGAGCCCATCGTATTGGGCAGACAAGGGAAGTTAAAGTGATTTATATGGAGGCAGTTGTTGAAAAAATTTCCAGCCATCAAAAAGAGGACGAGCTTAGAAGTGGTGGTTCAATAGATATAGAGGATGACTTGGCTGGGAAGGACCGGTACATAGGATCTATAGAGGGTCTCATAAGGAATAATATTCAACAGTATAAGATCGACATGGCTGATGAAGTCATTAATGCTGGGCGTTTTGACCAAAGGACGACTCATGAAGAGCGACGAATGACATTGGAGACTTTATTACATGATGAAGAGAGATATCAAGAAACCGTCCATGATGTACCTTCTCTTCATGAGGTGAACAGGATGATTGCCAGAAGCGAGGAGGAAGTTGAGTTATTTGATCAGATGGATGAAGAATTTGACTGGACCAAAGAGATGACTTCTCATGAGCAGGTGCCTAAGTGGCTTCGAGCTAGTACCAGAGAGGTGAATTCTGCCGTTGCTGATTTATCTAAGAAACCGTCAAAGAACATGTTGTCAAGCAGTAATCTGATTGTGCAAACTGGTGGCCCTGGAGGTGAGAGGAAAAGGGGGCGACCCAAGAGCAAAAAGATTAACTACAAGGAAATTGAAGATGACAATGGAGGATACTCTGATGAAAGCTCTGAGGAAAGGAATATTGACTCTGGGAATGAAGAAGAGGGAGACATTCGACAATTTGATGATGACGAACTAACGGGTGCTCTTGGTGATCACCAAACCAACAAGGGCGAATCTGATGGAGAGAATCCTGTCTGTGGTTATGATTACCCTCCGGGTTCAGGTAGTTATAAAAAAATTCCTCCACGGGATGATGCTGGTTCGTCAGGATCGTCGCCAGAAAGTCATAGATCGAAAGAAATGGCTTCTCCTGTTTCTTCACAAAAGTTTGGCTCTTTGTCTGCATTGGACACTAGGCCAGGTTCTGTCTCAAAAAGACTGGTAGGCACCTGAGTTTGTCTTGCAGGTTTCTCTTCTTCTTTGTCGTTTGTGTAATGTTTATTTCTTTAATGATGTTTAACAGGGGGACGACCTAGAAGAGGGGGAAATAGCAGCATCGGGGGATTCTCACATAGATCTCCAACGATCAGGAAGTTGGGCCCATGACCGTGAGGAAGGGGAAGAAGAACAGGTTTTGCAACCTACAATAAAACGGAAACGGAGTATTCGTCTAAGACCCCGTCAAACAGCAGAAAGATTAGACGGTGGTGATATGCATGCAGCTCAGCCATTGCAAGTCGATCGTAGCTATCGATCAAAGTTGAGGACAGTTGTTGACTCACATGGTTCAAGACTAGATCGGAGTGATTCATCCTCGAGACTTAGGAGTTTACCTGCAAAGAAGGTAGCTAATACGTCTAAGCTGCATGTATCATCCCCAAAATCTGGTAGATTGAATATCACACAGCTTCCCGTGGAGGACAACACTGAAGCTGCCAGAGAAACATGGGATGGAACTAGTCCCATTGGCTCTTCAAATGCAGGTGCAAGAATGTCCCACATCATACAGAAACGGGTATGTTCTATCAAGTGGAAGATATTTCATTTCATTCTCTTTTATGGTTGAGTACATCTATTTTGTTTGGCTTGTCTGAACTTACCCAGTTCTTGACCTTGCAGTGCAAAAACGTCATTAGCAAGCTCCAAAGGAGAATTGACAAGGAAGGTCAGCAGATTGTACCTATGCTGACAAATTTGTGGAAGAGAATTCAGAATGGTTATGCAGCTGGAGGTGTAAATAATCTTTTGGAACTACGAGAGATAGATCTCCGGGTGGAAAGGCTAGAGTACGTAGGAGTTATGGAACTCGCATCTGACGTGCAGTTTATGCTAAGGGGAGCAATGCAATTTTATGGATTCTCACACGAGGTTTGATTTTCCGTCTTAAATAAAAGTGAAATTTTTCAATTTTGTGTGTTTGATATATAAGCCAAATGAGTTTATTAAAGCTAATCAAAATCATATGCAGGTGAGATCTGAAGCAAGGAAGGTTCACAATCTGTTCTTTGATCTATTGAAAATGTCTTTTCCAGACACAGATTTCCGGGAAGCAAGGAATGCTCTTTCCTTCTCTGGCCCAACCCCAACTTTGGTATCTACACCGTCTCCAAGAGGAGCAGGTATTAGTCAGGGTAAGAGACAAAAGCCGGTAAATGAGGTGGAATCCGAGCCAAGCTCTCCTCAGAGACCTCAACAACGCGAGAACACAAGGATCAGAGTACAGATACCTCAGAAAGAAGTAAAGATTGGCGGGACATCAAGCCACACCGATGACTCTCCAATATTAGCCCATCCAGGGGAATTAGTAATCTGCAAGAAGAAGAGAAAAGACAGAGAAAAGTCGGCTCCAAGAACCCGAACCGCTGGCTCCAGCAGCCCGGTCTCGCCCCCAGCTATGATAGGTCGTGGGCTTAGAAGTCCTGTGTCTGGTTCATTTACAAGGGAAACAAGGCTAGCTCAACAGCAACGCTGGCCAAACCAAGCCACTCACCCAAACAACAGCGGTGCGGCTGGTGATTCGGTGGGATGGGCTAATCCGGTGAAGAGGTTAAGGACGGATTCTGGTAAGAGAAGGCCGAGCCATTTGTAGACAGGACTCTGAAAGGATTAGCTAAGCCTCTTTTGTCCTTAGTGCTCAGATGTGATTGCAATGTGGTAATTGAAAGCAAATCTAGCAGCAGCGAGTCTTTGGCCTTAGTAATCAAATAATTCCATAGCTCTTATTATTCCCTTCTTAATATGTTGTTGCTCTTTAGGTTGTAACACCGAAAAATTTACAGTAATTTTTTAGAAGAAAGTCCTTTTGTCTGCAGCATCCGTCTTTAGATAGATGTGTTCATGTATAAAATAAAATAAAAAATTGGAGGATAAAAACAGACAAATTGAGAAACTGGATTCATGTTCTATTATTATTGTTGTAGGATTGATTGCAAATTGTTACATTTTATTTACAGTTAAAACAAAGGAAATTTCAATATTCCTAAAGAATAATCATAAGGGTTTACAGATTTACAGAGGAAAGTTAACTCCTCTTTGTCAATGGACATTAATGGTTTAATATCTGGAAATGAACTAATGAAAGAGCAAAGAAAGATTGATTTGTAACAGTCATGGATCGGCTTTTCCAGCAATTTCTTCGTTGTCATCAGAGTCCGAACCAGCTTCGCTCATGCTATCATCATCATCATCATCATCATCATCACTTGAGTTCTCCTGAGGTGCTATGTCCTCTGGTTTAGCATATGTCTTACAATACTCTTCAAATGTCAAAGATTATAAATGTGTGTCAATAAGAGGTTGAATAGAGAAGCAAGTCGGAAGAAAAGGGTGTTTTTTTTTTTTGAACCTTTGACTTTCTGCTCGTAGGCTGCGCGGTCACGCATCAACAGAGAGGCAGCTTCTCCATTAAAAGGATCTGATGGGTTTGGATACAGAAGCAGTTGCGGAAGGAATGACTCGAAAACATTGATAAGATCTGCTAAACAAAGCACAACTTTAAATGGATGCAACACAAACAGATGATACAAAGGCATTCAAAATTATATTACCAAACATCGGGCTCCATGTCTGGTTTATTACATCTAAGCAAACTGCGCCCGAACTACCACAAAACACGAAACCGAGTTTATTAGAGCACGCAAACACAAACACATCTCGAAATTGAATCAATGACGCTCTTGCAATGCAGCGAGAAACTTTTTATATATACGGTTTGGGTCTCACTTACGATTCATCTACATTGGGGTGATAAATCTTGTTAACAAATCCAACTGATGGAGATTTGTATGGATAAGCTTCAGGGAGTTCGACTTTTATCTTCCACACACCTCCTTGATAAAGACCTTCAAAAAAAACACAACACAACACAAAAAAGAGGCACTTCATATATTAGAGAGATGATGAATCTGAAGTTGTAGACTTGAGATTCATCCTATCATAGCCCTATCAACTATCATATATTAGAGAGATGATGAATCTGAAGTTGTAGACTAGTGCGAAGACCAAATACACAAAGACTCGTTCGTTTTCATTCCGGCATTTCAACAAGTAGCTTATAAGCACAAAGGCAAAAATCAAGAGATTAAATTAGGACACAGAGTTTGGAGAATTACTGTCAGTGGGTCCATGGAATGTCACATAGAACATCTGCAAATCGTCGTTGATTGTATCCACCTTGTAATCACTCATCATCCTGATCCAATTATAATAAAACAATTTTTGAAAGAAGAGACTCATCAGCAGATCAAAACCCAGAACAAAAGGGGGAAAGTTTCATAAGAAAAGAGAGCCAAATCGAGAGATAAATTTTAAATCAACAGGAAAAAATTGACCGACAATTTCATCATGTCCATCTCTCGGCGTTTGCTCGGCGAAGCCATGACGATTATCCGTTCTTCTTCTTCCTCTTCTTCTTTCTAGAATCTGGTGTTTGAGAGAGAAAAAAGATTCGAAAATGAAGAAGAGATGAAATGAAAATATAAGACAAGATCAATGAAATGGACGTTTGCCTTGTATCATTTATCCTTTTCCCTTTGTTTTTCATTATTTTCCTCTTTTCTTTTGAAACAATTCTTTCTCGGGTTCACGCTATAACACCTCATTTATTTAAATAAAATAAAAATTAATAGAGAAAAAAATTGCCACCGGGATCACAAGGTTTAACTTTCAAATAATAATTAAAAAAATTAATACAATGTTTTTAAGTCTTGCTCTTCTCATTTGACATTTTTTTACCTTTGTTCTTCTTTTTTTCTTTCTTTTTTTTGTTACTCTTTGAAAAAATTTCTGAGGAAAAACTGGAGAAAAAAAAGATATAAATAAATTAACTTTTTATATATTTTAACAAAAATTTGATTAACTAACGATGTATTACAACATATGTCAAGTTTCAAATAAGTTTAATAAAAAAATTAGATCATCACACAAATTTAACAACACCACATCATCACCGTTTCTGCTGATACTTTTTCTTGATTGGACATCAGAATGTCGGAAGACACAACATTTCTTAGCTCGACAAGCTGCAAAATATTATTGGCCAATCAACAAAATATTCTATATATTTTTTTCTATCATTAAATATCATATTTTTATCATTTTTAAAGAATTATAATCTTATTAGCAAAACCTTCTATTTTCAAATTCCAATAGTTAAATATATATAGTTGCTCCACATATACTATTGAGTTTCAAAACACTGTTATAAGTAGTGACATGTCAAGTTTTTAATCAATTAAACAATATAATAATGTTAGAAAAGACACGATGATGATAATTGCACAAATATTGTCTTCTACACTTTTTTGTTTTTTGTTTTTTTTAACAAGTGTAGTCTTTATCCCACTATTTCCATAAGGTTTTTAACAACTAATGGTTAGTAAATTAATTATTCAATTTCAAGCGTATGCAAATCAAATGCTAGCTCATTATTCTAGTTTCAATTACCCATAATTGTAAGTGAAAAATTTAGATGAATCCCAAAATCTTTAAACAACTAGATGATCACATAATAGATTCATAAAAAGATTTATAGAATTATATATTCCCTAGATGAACTCTTGGATAGAAGATGAAATGTTTAAGCTATGATTAGATTTTTTTTCTTCTTCCCTATAATTTTTAGGTGTTATTTTTCTTAAGTTTTAATGACAAGTATTTATAGGTGGAGAAAGAACCTAATTACTCGTTAGGGTTTCTATAGATTTAATCTCAATCATCCATAAAGTAGAGAAATTTAGAAATTATTCTATTATTTTCAATATATTTTGATATTAATTACATTTAATAATAACATTATTTCAATAGAAAATGAATGAATATAACCGGAAAAATTTATTATTTATAATAATTTTTTTGAATGTTTTGTTTGTTACCATACAACGGGAGTTGTGTACTTATATCATAAGTATCATTTGTCCAATGATGTTTGAACAATCGATGATACCAAAAAAAAAATATTTATTTTAAAAGAAAACGTGAGCTATAAACTTATGACAATATATTACGTGTCTTTTTTAAATGGAAAAACATATATGTGTCTACATGCATTAAGTTAATCCTCAATCCAATCTCTTAACATACATGGTTTATTAAAACCGAACGACATTAATTAATAATATGTTACTTCGGTCCCTTGAATTCCGGAAAAAAAAAGAAGAAATAAGAAAAATTGCACACGCGCCCTTGGACTCCAAATTGTTGGATTCAGTTGATTTCGACCTATTTTCGCTGTGGTTATACCCACGCGATTTTGATGCGCGTGGGTTAACTATGAGGGTGTGGATTTTACGTGGATTCCATAATGGGCCTACGCGCAAACAATTGGCCCAGCTTATGACAACTTTTTTGGGTCAACCAAAATTGATATCTACACTATTTATATTGATATATATTGGGCTTTTAACTTTCTCATCATAAATCCCATATTTTTAATTTTTGTGTTAAGATGATGACTACATGATTATCTAGTTTACATACGAACTGGTTTAAGCCTCTTAAGCAATCAACCACCACATAGAGACTAGTACGTTTTTGAATTATCAAATAAGCCAATGAAATTATGTATAACTTAGTTTGTGTGAGATTTTAAGATAAAATGAGATATCGAGGTTTCAAGTGATGTGAGATTACTCGAAACCATGATACTGAGGTATAAAACTCATTTCATACAATCCCTAGGAAACCAAATAGCAATTACATTTTGCCTCTCTTGTATTCACCAAACTAATCCGAAATTTCACTGTACTTGTTGTACAAACCTTCTCTCTAGTTCATCAGTTTTGGCAAAGACTTTTAATCAATGCCAACCCAAAAAGAATACTCGTGTAGGTGTAGGATCATCAAAAGAGTGGAGAGATGGAAGTATATTTACCTCAAAACCAAAACGAGAATTTGCTGAGCCGATGTGTGTCGATAGATGACTTTTCCTCCCCCAGAGTTTAAAGCAGTTTCAATGGCAATAGATGCCTCCAAAAAAGAGATTGAAAGAAGAAAAAAAAAAGAAGAGGAAAAAAAAAACAACTGCTCCAACTTAAATCTCAACAGGGTGCTCTCTCTATCGACGCCTCTTTTTCTTAGGCGTAAGCAGGACGGGTTTCTGAGATGTGTTTGCTTCCGGGGTTGGATCTTCATTCGCTGTTGCAAGGTTGTAGAGCTGATCAGTATCACTGTCTACCTCCTCAGGTGTGATTCTACTCTGATTTGCTCTAAACTGCAAAAGGGTCACGTTGTAGAAGTAGCTCACAATCTTTCCTCTGCTCTTTGAAGGAAGCATAATCTTGAGCTCGTCGAAGAATGATGGGCTAAGTGTGGGTGGAAAAGTCATCAAAGACTTTACCTTCTCCAGTTCTATGTCTGTCCAATACTGCAGCGCACCTTCACCCATAGTATCACAACACCACATGTAGAAAGCTGAACCAAGTTCAAGCTTCAGTTTCTCCTGTTTTGAAGTGATATGAAATCTGACACATTCAACAGAACCTCGATTTTGGCAGCCACAAGAATCTTGTCTTCCTTTTCCAATTGGATCTCTTTCAATAAGATGATTACTGTTGTTTTGATCTTTGCTCAGTGGCCAAATCCGAGTGCCCAACCATTTTGCATTGCTTTCAGATCTGATGTCAGTCCACTCAGGTACCTCAGCTTGATAGCCTGAACCAACTAGAGCACCTGGTCTATCCTCCTCATCTGAACTGTTTGAAGCCGAGCCATTCTCTGAAGATATCTTGCCTTTCCCAGGTTTCTTCTCATTTAACTGACTCCCATCGAAATTTAGTCTCTCTCTTAGATTGTAACTAGGCCCAGCACTATCTTCATACAGACATGGATGCATCTTCTGGAGTTTCTGAAACACAGGAGAAAATCATCAAGACTTGAATGGCATAAGATTAACAATCACCGTCGTATTAATTAGATTCTATTTCAATCACACACGATTCACAACCTCTGTGTAGAGAATGTTCCCTAGCAATAAATAATCCATGGTGCTATTCAGGGAAGCCGACATTATAGACAATCAAATTTCTTATGATAAAAGCTGTTCCAGCATGTCCTAAGTTGCTACTAGCAACTCCTTAAAATGCTTTTAAGACATATTAAAAAATTCATGACTCTACAGGCAAAAAAATCACACCTTGACGCTTATAATCAACAGTCAATAATGAATTTCAAATCAGTAAAGCAGGAAAGTTGGTGCATCTAAATCCTGTGGGCTTAGTTCACAAAGTGCAAAATGCAAATTTCTCGAATACCCACCTGCCAAGTCTTTTCACAAGCTGGATCAGTTTTTGTTCTTGAGGCCCTAAACAGAAGAAGTTGTTTCCATGGCTCTTCACTTGCATAAGATTCCCACTTTGATCTATCTGGCAAAGTACCAATAGATGTGTCACATGGATCCTTGGCAACCTCGCTTAACCATTCCAATGTCTCTAAAGGACATTCCCGTTTTCTCTTCCCAGGCGAAAAGCATTCCTTGTTACCAGTACCAAGGTTCATAAGTTTCTCCAGACACTTATCACTCGTATTAGAATCACCAGTTTGGTACTTATCATATCTTCTCTTGGTTTTTGATATAAACCATTTAAGCTCTGCGCCTGACTCCATTGCAGCCTCACCTTTCCACAGCTCATAGTTCATTTTCACTTGAGATAGAAAATCTTTAAGTTTACGCAGCAAAACATCCGAGATCCCAGACAGCTCCACGCTAGTACCTTCGGTATCACCTGCAATAACTCTGTTCAGCCATCGAGCAAGTGCATCAAGATACTTGGCATAGCTCAATTTCGCAGATGCTGAGTTATTAAACCCTAATCCAGACTCTTGAGCAACTTCATCCCATGAAGCAACAGCATCAAAACCGCCTCTGTGACTCACGTTCACGAAAAGAATGAACAAATTGACGGCTCTCCTGTCGCCGGTCATCGGCGGAAGACTATCTGCCGAACAAAACTCGCCGATGAAAGATTCGAGTAAGCGTTGGAACAAGGAGGCGAGTTCCTCAATCTTCTTTTCAAACCCCAACACTCTAGAATCTGGGTAGTTAACGGCTTCAGGAGACTTATTCACTTGGAGATTCTTCGAGGTTTTGCAAGAATCGGCGGCATCCTCGTCCGCTACCATCGACCATCCAGCCATCGACGACGAGCAACGAACCCTACAGCCATTTATAGATCCCATTTTATAGTTATCTCTCCAGCACAAGAACAAATAGGAAGAACAAAAGCGGGTAATCCAAAGAGAACCGGAAAACCTAGGAAATGGACGACGACAAGAACGAGGACCGAAAAATCCCAAGGGGATCTAAAGAATCGTGAACTTGTAAAGATTCCATAGCGGAACTAGGGCTTTTTTAGCGGGAAACATAAAAATCGAAAAAACTAGGGCATGTTTTTTGCCTTTCTGAAAAACCCCACCTCCCTTGACCCGCCATTTTCTCTTTTTCTCTCCAGGTTTTGGGTTTTGATAGATGGTGACCGAAGAAGAAGTTTAGGGTCACAAATCAAACTTTTCACAGATACAGACCCTTGTTCCTCAAAACCAAAAACTATTTTTCCCCCCAAATTACTAAATTGTAGACAATGTGACAGAAAAAAAACGAAAATCGCCAACGAAAAAATTATAATATGAGTGCGGAATCACTAACCTTTCTCTTATTAAGAAATCAGATTAATTTTCCTGCGTTTTCTTCTTTTTTTTGTTTGGCTGGTATTTACAAAATGTAGAGAAATGATTTATTGACGAAGCACGACGGTTTATATATATGAAGACGCATTGGAAATGAGAAAGACTGGTACCATCAAATATGACGTATTAACTCTAGTTAATTGTTAACCCACAGGTTGAGTTAAATACTTGCAAACACTAATAGCATCTCCATCTCTAAATCCTTTATGAAGTTCTTAACAGTTTTAGATAATATAATAGAGTCTTTTTTTTTTTCTAACATCTATTATAATAGAGTCTACTTGCTTTTCTTTGGACTAATCTCAAAACATGAAAATGAAATGGTAAAGCCCATTTGTTTTTTTCCTCACTTTTCACCCAATCAGATAGTATCACATCAGTAAAAAAATTTTAAGAAAGAGTTTTTATATAAAAACATCATTAACCCAGAAATTCTTTTAGATTTTTTATGTATTTTTTTAATATTAAATTTAGATAAAAAGCTGACATAACAATAAAAAACATTGTTTAATATTCTTAAATAAGAAACATTTTTTAACTAAAATTTTTTCTTTTAATTATTTTAATTGAAAATATTGTTAAAAAACTCCTAAAATATTTGCGTTAATGATGGTTTAAAAGATTTAAAAGTCAGATTCTTAGATTTTTATTTGTTTTGTATTTATTTTAATACATAAAAGCGTTAAAAATCCATTAGAAGTTCAGAAATGGAAATAGTCTAACAAACCCATATAGCATGATAAAAACCATCATATTACACAATGATGTAAAACGGTATTTAAAGACTAGTTAGAAAATATATATAGTTTGAACATAAATTACAAATCATTTGTCGGTACTGCATTATTCTAAATAAGTGCAAACCAATGTAATATATCATTCAATTTTATTTACAATATAAGTAGAATGTTTACCATCCGACTAATTATCAAATATGAATGTAGTCGTTAGCTCCCTAAAATTTCTAAGTGAGCTTTAAACATAATATTATTATTTTAACTGGTTAAAGAAGAAATGTTACACAATTCTATGTTTGAAGAAAATTGATTTTTAGCATAAATCTATACTCCTTGGCAAATAAAAACTACTAATTCGCTACCATTTAGTTCTCTGATATCAAAAGTTCTTTGATATAAATTATATACCAATGACATTGTATTTTTTTTTATTTTATTTTAACTAATGAAATGAATGAAACGTATCAAAATAAATCTAGTTTATTTACTTAACCTTTTTTTTAGTGCTGTTTTTTTTTTGTTAATGAAACGTATTGTTTTTTTTTTTACCTAATTCCTATCGTCGGTCAAAAATCTTTTGATTTACGGTTTCTGTTATAAATAAGTTCTTAGGTTATGCAAAATGGTTTGTATTAAACGCATTTAACTTATGATAGAATATGAATAAAATAATATTTATAAATTGAGTTATCTATGTAATCAAATGATTTGTGTTCCATCTTGCACTACACCAAAGCGTGGTATACTGTGATTTATAGAACACTTTGAAGTTTGAACTCATAGCAATGAAGGACGAGATGGGATTCAATAAATTTACATGATAAATACTGTAATTTCATATTAGCTAATAAAAAAAAAATACTTGTATTAGCATAATGGCCTAGCATAATATAACGACTTCCTTTAATGTTAGGGAGAGAAGAGGATAAGAATGAATGTAATTACCAATTTGTGATTACTGTCGTCTGTCGACAAAACTCATTAGTGACTACTGATTAGTCATTAACTATTACATTCACATACCTATTTTTGTATAACCGGCTCGATTCAGTCGACTCAAGAGAGTCAGAGATTTTCAAGCCATGCCGTCTTTTTTCAGTCTCCGGTAGAGATGCGTTTTAGGTTCCGCTCAACTTCGATCGTAACCGTCCATTTCAAAAACTATTTGTCTTCCTCGCGAACTAACCGAACCCATTCGAATTCTTCTTCTTCGAAGTTATCTGCTAGACTGAGTAATCTCGTTGAGGTGAAACAAGATCATGGGCTCATGGTAAAACGAGGGGCTTACAATTCTCTGTTCCTTCAGAACAAGCTCTTGCAAGCTTACATGAAAAGCAGAGGATTCGATGATGCAGACAAGCTCTTCGACGAAATGCCTATTAGAAATATTGTTACTTGGAACATTTTGATTCACGGGGTCATTCACAGAGACGGCGAGACCAAGCACAAAGCTTGTCTAGGTTTTTGTTATTTGAGTCGGATTCTTCTCAGTGGGGTGAGTTTGGATCATGTCTCGTTCATTGGCCTGATACGGTTGTGTACTGATTCAATCCACGTAGAAGCTGGTGTCCAATTACACAGTTTGCTTTTGAAACAAGGTCTCGATTCAAATTGCATCCTGAGTACCAGTCTCGTTGATTTCTATGGGAAATGTGGTCACGTTTCTGAAGCGAGACAAGTTTTTGAGACGGTTTTGGTTAGAGATTTAGTGCTATGGAACGCTTTAGTTTCGTCGTATGTTCTTAACGGTATGATCGATGAAGCCTTTGGTTTACTCAAGCTAATGGGGTCCGGAGATAACAGCTTTACTGGTGATGATTTCACTTTCTCCAGTCTTCTCAGTGCGTGCAGGATCGAGCAAGGGAAGCAGATACACGCCATCGTCTTCAAACTGTCATTTCAATTCGACATTCCAGTGGCGACTGCATTGGTCAATATGTATGCTAAGAGTAACCATATGAGAGATGCTCTCGAGTCTTTTGAATCGATGGTTGTGAGAAATGTTGTGTCCTGGAACGCAATGATTGTGGGTTATGGACAAAATGGAGAAGGAAGAGAAGCTATGAGACTTCTTGGTCAGATGCTCCGTGGGAATCTCCAACCAGATGAGTTTACCTTTGCAAGCGTTTTAAGTTCTTGCGCTCAGTTCTCAGCAATTCAGGAGATTAAGCAAATTCAAGCCATTGTTACTAAATGTGGCTCTGCAGATTTTCTTTCTGTGGCTAATTCTCTGGTAAATGCTTACTCCAAAACTGGAAATTTATCTGAAGCACTTCTGTGCTTTCAATCGATCGGAGTACCCAGTCTTGTTTCATGGACTTCAGTAATCGGGGCTTTAGCTTTTCACGGGTTCGCGAAAGAAAGCTTGAGAATGTTTGAAAGTATGCTGCAGAAACTTCACCCAGACAAGATCGCTTTTTTAGAGGTTCTGTCTGCTTGTAGCCATGGGGGATTAGTTCAAGAGGGGCTTCGTTGCTTCAAACTAATGACTGAGGTTTACAAGATAGAACCAGAGGAACAACACTACACCTGTCTGATCGATCTTCTTGGTCGAGCTGGGTTCGTCGACGAGGCCTTGGATGTTTTAAGGTCAATGCCTATAGAACCACGCACAGATGCTTTGGCAGCTTTCACAGGAGCATGTAACATCCACGAGAAGAGAGAATCTATGAAATGGGGTGCAAAGAAGCTCCTTGAAATTGAACCTAGCAAAGCTGTGAACTACTCTCTCTTGTCAAACGCTTACCTCTCTGAAGGCCATTGGAACCAAGCGGCTCTACTGCGCAAAACAGAGAGGAGAAATTGCAATAATCCCAAAACTCCAGGTTGCAGTTGGGTTGGTGACTAGTCAGTCTAGCAACTATAACCATGATTCATGAACACAACGATAATTGGTTTAGCTTAACAAGCCATGCAAGTAAAAAATGTGGAAGAATGCCAAAGCCTCTCATCGTACCAAAAGATTGCCTGGAATTAATACAAATGGTTCAACTGGACAACAATTCCAGTGGTATTTTCCTGTCACTATGTGTACACAAACATACAAGAATACAGACAAAAGAGTTGGCAGTGAGGTCCGGATGCCATGAAAGAATCCAAGTGAGAGAGAAAAAACCCCTGAATATTTACACATTATCATGTTGTTCTAACACTTCTTTGGTTGGTACTAGGTATAGATATAAGAGAAGGCACATCAAGAGTTTGGTAAAAAGCCTCTATCTTTATGCTTAGTTTCTTGGTAGCGAGTCTTGCCTTGTTAACTCGTAGTTGTCACCTCCGGGGTGGGTTTGGTTCTCGTTATTTACAATTGGAATCTTCGAACAGAGGAAGAAGAAGGACGATGTGTAAATGGTGAAATGCCAAATACTGCACATAATTTTCATATGTCAATATTCAGAAAGTGATACCAATCGATATTACTCGTATTTGAACTCTTAACGTACAGTATACACACACCTGTGCCAAATCCAGTAGCTTGAACTGGTTTCCACTTTGAAACTTATGGCTGCCATGGTAAAGGCTACAAGACCAGCCGCCACAAAGCCCCAACGAAACCGTTTCTTGAGCGTCTTGATTAAATTACTAAACCATTCTTTGACTGCCCGTGGCCTACGACAAGCATATGTCAGAGCTCGGATATGTTATGATTTGTCAAATTTGTGATAGTTATTAACATTTTCAGGAAAGGGAATGGATTCATTATGTTACCTGTCGAGCATGTTCAATGAAAATCCAGATGATCCGCAATATGATCTATACTTTGTAACAAATTCTACCAAAAACCCAATGAGTAGACCAAGTGACCCGATTGCTAATACAATGATAATATTTGACGCCCTGCAAATTAATAGCGAGCCAATGTAAGGGTTTAAAAAAAGTTTCAAGGTGCTAATTATCATAACCATTCAGTCGAACATCTCAGATACCTTGTTGCCTTAGTTAAGGCCAATAAAGCTGTGAGGATGGCAACGACTGTGTGTATTGTCCTCTTAATTGCTTCATCAGCCGTGGATAAGTACACAAAAGTACCAATAACCGCCATGAAAGAGAGCCAGAAATCCATGAACTGAAGGCAAACAGAAAAAAAAAGTTACCATCTTGTAACCAAGTATAGTTTCACATAAAGGATGACAATAATGAAGATAACAACTACACGTACCTGTAACACATTGTAAGTTAACACACACCAAGTGCCTACATCACATGCATGATACAGAGCGCTCGAGATTCCGCTAGACGTGAACAGAACCCACTCTGAATACTCCTGTTTTGAAGATGAATTATCAACTTTCAGAAGGGAAATAGGAATAAACAGAGCATCGAATGAAAAGTGGAAATTTACTCGCTGCCGAAGAGCCCAGTAAGCTGGCAAAAGAGCCGCTGCATTTGATGCTATGAGAGCAACAGACTGAATGATATGTCCTGCATCAGATTTAAAGCACATGAGTACATAGAAAAAAGTTGTAAAATTCCAAACACTGTTAGATTAAGATACCTTGGTGTGACACAATTTCAATGCCACAGTCAAAGCCTCCATGGGTTCGGTCACAAGCGCAAAAGCTGAAACACAACACAAGAAAGTTAAAAACTTTCAGAATAATCTACTCACCATATGTTTACAAATTTTGACTGAGCCGAGGTAGAAGAAACCTGTAGGATGTCAATCCACTAGCGTCAAAAGCATATCGACAATTCCCATGAGACGAGCACCTTCTCGGGCATCTTTCAAGAGAAAGAGATACAAGAGTAGGTTGACCTTCAGGAGCAGTAGAGTCACTGAGCCGCCTTAACCCGAATGACCATGTTCCTTCTCGAGCATACAAGATGTAGAAATCAACTTTTTCTTGGCTAGAATTATACAGTGAGAAGAACATTGAGCGGCTGGAACTTGTTCGATTCACATAATAATAATCCCGGTCATCAGCAGTGGGCAATCCCCCAAACCTAAGATATACTTCATACTGTATCGTGGAATCTGATGTTAGTCTGAAGTGGATATGCCCACCAGCACCTCCTTGAGGGATGTTCATGAGAAAATAAGTCCACGTGCTTGTGTCTAATTCTGGATGAGAGGAAACGTTGCTGGAAAAGGGTTCAAGGGGGAAAGCTGTGCTCGAGCCTGAAGGTAAAGCATCATTGACCGGCAAATAATATGATTCAAATGGTGTCAACGATCCTCTCCTCATTACTGCCTGCATAAAATGTATCGTGGTTCAACAATTTCCATATGTATAGAGCTCAATCTTGATTTTGACATACTCAAAAAGCTTTTTAGAGAAAATTACCTGAAGCATGTGGATTTGCTGCCCACAATTTGGTCCTGCTTTTCCCATGGGACATCCCAGCACTTTAACATTCATCGAAAAGCAGACCTTAGAACTGGAATTTGTGCCCTGTAAAAGTCTATTCTCCCTTCCGGGAAAACTAGCAACGATATACCATCGACCAGCTTTCGGTTTGTTGATAACCAAAGGAAGTTTGTGTATATTACCAGCGTAATCATGTAGAGTCTCTGAGGCAATAGCTCCAAAACGGGCGTAACACATGAGATAAGTTTCATTGGAATCTACTTTCAAATTGGATGCCATAATAACTAATTGTTCCGCTATTTCATCTACATCTAAAGCATATGTCTTCGTTTCAACACTAGTCAGACAAGAACTAGGAATAGAATCTGAGCAAGAAACAACACTTGCTGCCTGGTTATCGAACCGTGAACATGAAAGCGCATAAATAGTCTGGTTGCAAGAAGGCCCCCACATGGTAGCGGTTTTACAACCTTCAACACTAATGTTGGCACTAAATGAAAAGGCCGAGGAGCGAACGATCTGTGCAGTATCCGAGTATGTATCAGAGATCTAATTTAGATAAGAAAAGATGAAAAGTCATTGAAAGCAACAATTTTAACACCCATACCATTTTCCCCTGCGTCCTAGTAACACCAATTCCGTTAAAAAGACCAACATACCAAGCTCCAGGAGATATCTGTAAGCAGCAACAACAACACACAAGAAACTCATCACCTTAAAATGTCCTAACACACAAATTTTTGGGTGAATTTCAAGAGATTACCTGTTCATTGGTCAACCTCAAGGACATATTCTTCTGCATAGGGTAACACTGTTGCGCAATATCAATATCTTGAGCTCCTTCAAAAGATCCATTGAATAGCCGTCCTAGCTCTACAAAAATTTAAAAGAAATACACTTTCTTAAAATAGTAAGGTATTTGATCTCTATAAATCAGACAAAGAAGCACAACTAGATGTTTCTTTTTTGTTTACCTAAATCGTACCTAAACCTTTCAGAGCATTGGTTGAGGCATCAGGCAGAGGAGGACTACCGTCTCTGAAGCATATCACAGGAAGGAGACTTTTCGAAATCTTCGAAATGCTCTTTGCAGTCTACCGAACAGAAAAAACAAAACAAAATCCAAAAATCAATCAAATATTCTTTGAACTCCAAAATCAAATCTTTTGAGCTGTATAATTTATACTTACGATGTCAACATCAGATTCCAAAGCTAGATTCAAAGATGAGAACCATGGAGGCAAATCAACTGTACCGGAATCAAACAGAGAATCAGGCTCGTGAAGACCAACAAAAAAAAAAAAAAAAGAGAGATCCTGATAATTGAAATGATCGGCAAAAAAAAGTAGTGATCAGATAAACAGACCTCTGATGTAACGAGTATCGTAGGGCCTGACTTCAGATTTTGGGTATCTGAAGCTCGAGACCGTGAAAAAGCTTCCATTATTGTCGTCAGACCCAGAATCTTGGAGAGAAGTACAGATTGATACAGCCCATGAGAAGACGACGAGAGTTGTTAAACCCAGAACCGAAATCTCCGCCATTGATGATAGGTGAAAAAAGATTTAGCTGAGAATTAAGGGGTTTAGACTATATCAGTGTGAGTAGAAGACCAAGAAGAAGAAGCGCATCGTTTCCACAGAATTTTCTTCGTTCGTCTTTGACGAAATTTTTATTATACAAATTAATTATTGTGACTTCACTTTTCTTCCTTTCATTTTTCTTTTCACCCACCCCGAAAGAAAAAAAGAAATTAATCAGTAATAATAAATAAATAAATCACCTTTGCGTTATAAGTTCTCCCTACCGAGACAAACAGGTTTATATTTATAAATTCATGTGTTTTTATAATTATGAAAAATTTAGTTATTATAAAATAGAAAAAGAAACAAAAAAAGAGGTGAAGGGAACTCATGGTTTTTTTTTTTTTTTATAAACATTAAAGGGAACTCTCATGGTCCATGCACCGTCGAGTTGGCATATTCGTCTTTGAAGAATGTGGGGGTCGTCTTTGATCTTTGTTTAATTTTCGTAGAGTATCTTCTATAAAACTTAGAATGTATACATAGTGGATTAGTGTCAGAGTCATTCATAGCAAAAAGAAGAAGAAAAAAAAAATAGTGTCGAATTCTCAGGTTCTTTACATTATACGTTTTTAAATTCTCTAATTTGAAAGATCACTTGAATTTCGGTTAAGAATTCTTGGGTTAATCTTTTTAAAAATAATATATGAACATAAGTCTGTTGCTATTCTCTCTGGATTTGAATGTATGAGAAATTTAAGAGAATGAAAGAAACAAAAATCTAAAGTACACAAAGAAACTTGCTATCGAAATAAATATTATTTTCCAAGCCACAATTTACAGTATAAAATATAAATAGTGGTTTGGAAACAGATTGATGATGACGTCATATCAATTTGTAAACCGCGCAAGAAAAAGAAACTGAAGACGCCATCACTAACCGTATCAATTTTCCATTTTGTTTTGTGCACACCACTGATAAATATAGTTAAATACTTCTGATCTTGAATTGTTTCACTAAACTCTAGGAATGCAGACGATAATTCGAACCTCTTCGCTTGATGGAAAAGAACTCAACCAAGCTAATCTTCTCTTGGTCTCTGTTTTTGCTTTGGGACATGTTCTACTTTTAGCTCTTCTTTTGCTTAAAATTACCAAACTTCCAAATTTTGTAAACAATTTCTTTTCTTTATTAACCTATAAATTTTACTTTAATATAGAATTAAAATATTATTATTTGTGCATAACACTTCATCAGTAAGAGAGTCTGCCAATTATTGTAATCAACTAAAATGTAGTGGACAATTGCAATCATTAGTGAATATGTTTTGTACTTTGAACTTTGTAAGATTTGCTACTACACACAAACCAGACAATATTTTACGTGAAACAGTCAGTGTGATTTTTCGACCCATGTACCGACTGACCACAAACACAGTGTAGTTTTTTAACCAAACGAACTAAAGACACGAAGACTCTATAGTCTCTTTGTGAACTCGTGCTCTCTTATTATAACAAGATCCATAACTGAAGAAATTGATATAAAGAAAGTCAAGCTCTGCAGTAGTAGCTTAGATATAGATATGTATATTATATGTGTGTATCATCATCATAGCAATTTATTCATCCAAAATAAAATGAACTTAGATTCATAATAAAGGAACCTGAGATTTAAAAAAAAAAACAGAGAGACTTGAAAGGAATCCTCAAACATGTTTTTTTATTTTCTTTATTGACTCAATGGTCAGGATTGAATTTGACAGACTCCTTGTAGATAAGTTCCTTTATGTGTTCTTCCGTGCAAGAAGGATGCTCGAAATCGAAGCTGAAAGGAGTCGAACAGACCGGTTCTTTGGTCACATCGTGGTGCGGTGATAGGTAAGCATGGCCAAGAGCTTCATCGACTACACACACACAGCACAAGCAGCAAATGCAAAAACAAACGAAACCCAAATTCATAAGCCAAAGCAAACTGCATAAGAAAGCGCAATAATGTTTCAAAGATCTTTGTGTTTGTTACCTGAGATGCGCCGGTTTGGATCAAAGATGAGCATTCTCTCCAACAAGTCGATAGCGGTTGGGGGCATTTTCGGGAATCTAGCAGCAAACTGTTGTTTTGGGTATCGCGGAAGTTGCCTAACGTATCTTCTTGCGTTGTCACTGCGAAGGAAACCGAGACTGGAATTGTCTGGCGAGCCTACAAGCTGGTTTCAAGAAATGGATTTTAAGTGAAATCAGAACGTAACTGCGATTTTCAGATAAGCGGAAAACAAAGGTTCTCTCTTTTTCTTAATTACCTCTGTGATAAGCCTAAGCTGATGAACATAATCTTTGCCAGGAAACAACGGTTGTCCCGTCATGATTTCGCCGAGTATGCAACCGACAGACCAAATATCGATAGCTGCAGTGTACTCTGAGCAGTTAAGAAGCAACTCAGGAGCTCTGTACCAACGGGTAACGACATACTCAGTCATGAAGTCTGTGTCCGAAGTTGTTCTCGCAAGCCCAAAATCACCAATCTTTAGCTCGTGTTTCGAGTTAAGTAGCACGTTGCTTGGCCTCAGATCACGATGTAATATGTTTGCCGAGTGCACGTACTTGAGCCCTCTTAAGAGCTGATACACAAAGAACTGTAAAAGGAAGACAAGTCAATTTTTAATAAAAAGATCAGATCAGAGAGTTCCATAGTTCGAGAAGATCAGATCAGACTTACGCGGCATTGATCATGGCTTAAGGTCTGGTTAGAACGGAGGATTCTCTGAAGATCAGTGTCCATTAACTCATAGACAATGTAGACATCGTTGAAGATATCTCGTTGCGGAGGTCTTACAATATCTTTGATGGTTATTACCTGAAGAATCAGACCAAGGCTTGAAGATCAGATTCATTGAATATTAAAACAGAGAAAACAGAGGATTCTTCTTCTGTTTGCCTCGTCTTGAAGATCAGGAACACTTGATAGATCTAGCAAAACTATAATTACAGATAATTAATATGAGCAAAGCTGACTAAACATTACGTTCTCATGATCCATATGCCTGAGAAGCTTAATTTCGCGTAGAGCCCTCTTTGCATCGATAATGTTATCGAAAGCATTACCGATCTTCTTAATTGCCACCTTCTCTCCAGTCACTGAGTTCACCGCAGCACTGAAACTCAAGAATCAAAAGCCTATGAACATCCAAAACAAGAAGGCCTTTGATAATTTATCAGAAGAGGAATCAAAAGAACTTACCAGACAATACCGCAAGCGCCTCTACCAATGGGACGGATAGGAGGGACATACTTTCTGGAAACTTCAAAGAGCTGTCCGTAAACGTTGTATTGAATATAGCGGCCTCCGTGTGTCGGTACAACTTTGATGCAATGATCGGTAGAACCAGAGCTTGATTCTCCAGACATGATGCAATAATCAGACCAAGAGCCAGAGAGATACCAAGAAGAAGGGCTTTTGTTGAAGTTGAAGGTTCTCTTGAAAGTCTCTCTTGAAGACACTTAATCCCTGTGAAAAGAAAGAAGCTTTTTCAACTGTTAAAGATCTCTCAAGTGATCCGTGATTCTAAAGAGCATGAAAGATTACATACGTGTATGGTCACAAAAAGCAGAGTCAATCGTTAGCTCAATATTGCATATTTTTTTTTCATTTGTTACCACTAATTGCACCTATCTATGAATTGTATCCTTTGTAATCTGATTTGATCCTTTGATTGAACTGGTTCAAAAAGATTAGATCTTTGCTAAAAAAGCTGTGATATTTTCAAGCCAAACAGATGCATTATGTATTTATATAATATATTGCAGAATCGAATTCAATACAGACAAGACCAACACACATTAAACCGAAGAGACATGCTCATATCTATGAATTGTATCCTTTGTAATCTGATTGATCCTTTGATTGAACTGGTTCAGAAAGATTAGATCTTTGCTAAGAAAGCTGTGATTTTTTCAAGCCAAACAGATGCATTATGTATATATATATTATATTGCAGAATCGATTTCAATACAGACAAGACCAACAGGTCCAACACACATTAAACCGAAGAGACAAGTTCCACAGATGGACTCAAGCAAACAAAAACGGAAACACTTTCGGAGACCTAAAGCTACCTTTTGTAAGGGTTATACTTGTTTATTTACCTCACTGTCTTAATCTACATCTTCTCCAACTGCATTGACAGAGATTGAATCACTTGACCTAAGATTACAGAGCAACACATCGCGTCCTCTTAAAGTCATTTTGAAGAAACTGTCAACTTCCTCCAGTAACTGATCTAACCCTTGAGACAATTTCTCAGCCTGTGTCCCCAATTCCATAACATGATCCTTAAAGGTTTCAACTTCGACAGGAGCAACGCCATCTTGGATCATCGGGTATAGCTTCTCGACACTAGCAGTAACGCTCTCTAGCTCTTTGAGAATAGAGGTTCTACCGGAAGACAACATGTCTCTGATCTCAGCATTTACAAGACTCTGCATATCGGTAAAGACCTTTGCCCACAATGGTTTTTCAGAGACAGGTAAATCGAAAAGATCCTTGGTGGAATCAGACCAGGCCGCGGTAAAAACACTGCAAATATAAACCGTTTGAACTTTGACACCATAAAAAGCCCGCATAAGAACCTTCCCTTTAGGCGAGTTCTTGACTTTAGGTAAGCTCAGAGTTTTAACAAGACTGTCTAGAACCGCTCGGCAGTTTTCGATTCTAGGGTTGTTTGCATTAACATGTCGCCTCCAGCTATCAAATGACGATCGAGCCTGGAGATACTTCTCACCGGAATCCGATTTTAAATTGTGCAGAACACACTTAAGGTAGAGATCTCCCTGGTTGAGGCGTGTCAGCTCCGAGCTAAAGGCATTGCAAAGATCTAGTAACTTCACACTTATGTCGAGGTAAACATCAACCCATTTCCCTTCCCAGTCAGAGACAGGAAGCTGGAGATCAGTTATGAGTGTGTTTATGTTATTGTGAGTCTCGCAGAGTGACTCCATAGCTAGCTTCATCCACGATAAAGTGAGGATATCATCTTTGTTCTTAGGCATAAGTTTCTTTAGTCTCTCTGCCAAAAGTAACTCAAAGCCGTTCAATAGAGAAAGCAGCCATGGCGATAAATCTGAGCCCTTTGGCGATAACATCCGAAAGGGGTTTCCAAATGGGAAGAAACCTCGTGGCGGATCTTGTGGTCGACTCATTTTGCTATACACTGAAAAATGAAAGAGAGAATGCTGTAAGGATCATGTTGAGTACATTAATAGTATACTCCAATTGGATTTCAATTCAAGGTATATTAAGGGATCTTGCTACATAATAAAAGGGATAATAGAGGAACAATCCCAACTTAGGAGTCCTCAAAAGCTGACAACTTTTGAGATCTTGATGCAAAAACACAATTTTCCATTTTATTGTAATTATGCAAAACCCACATGGAAATAAAACCATAAACAATTGATGTGACTTAATCTAACACTTGAAGATGTCCAGAGCTTAGCAATTAGGAGAGAAAAGTTTTGATCTTTCGAGAATCGAAGAACCCTAAAACCTAATTATCCACACAAAAGAATACCACCAAGGAAATACAAATAAACAAGATCTACACAAACTCTACATCGAGCAGTAAACTCTTAGCCCTAAAACTAAATATGCAGAGTTCAATTTTCAGCACACACAAAAAGAGAAAATATATGGGTGGCAAAAAAACTCAATTTCCAAGAATCTTACCGGTATAAATTTCTGGAGATGAAGAAATCACAGGAAATTCTCGTGGAAATTATCTTTCTAATGCTTCATTGAATTTTTGGTGCCGGTTTGGCTGGAAAAAAATATATGGCGGAGGTCCGACGTCAGTTTATAAGGATAAAGTCACGGCCTGTCACATAGAAAACTAATTACAATCTTCCACGTGTAAGATTATTAATGGTGGTTACGTTTAATACTTCTGGAGCTCGGTGCATGAAATTAAAAACTCTTATATAATCAGTGGATGGCTAATAGTCTTTATCGAAAGGCCAAAACGAGACGATTTCGTGGGATTATAAAATAGTCATTAGCTTTAAGTCTTTGTTTATTTTAATTATTTAAAACCAAATCTAACGGCTACAAAACAATTATATAATACCACGTTCTATCTACTCATGTTTTGATTAATTATACATACTAAAAATTTCAATAAAAATTTGAAAGAATTACGAAATCAAATTTTAGGATTCAATATTTTTTCTAAAACAGATTGCTTAAAAAAAATTTCCGAATCATTAATAAAAAAATTAAGTAAATGAAATATAAATAACGTTTACGAGGATAATGATCAAAACATAAATTATCGTAGTCATTATTACGTAATTAGGACACAAACAGCTGTCGGGATGTTGGAGGCCCACAGTAAACACACCGGTCGGCAAAAGTAGGGACCCCACACACTTCATTGACTCACATCGACTTATCTTAATCTAAAATATCTCAGTAACGGGCATTCGATTTTAAAGCCCAATGTAGAGTTAAAAGACCAAAATTGGCCCAAAAAGTTAAGAAAGCCTCTGGTTGAAACAGAGGGTCTCTGCAATTGTCGAATTGCGCGACGAACTGATAACGGCGATGATGTCTCCCGGAGCCGAATTGCGGCCATACAATGCTACGATACAATTGCTGCTTTTCAATTTGCCATGACACGGCGAAACAACCTTCGTTCCTTAGCGCACAGCATCGTATTTCCTCCAATCTCTCCTCTGATGGCATCACCCTTCGCGGCTGTGGTGGTGCCGGTGCCTCCGTCTCCTCCTCCCGCCTCCGTGATCTTGTTTTCGTCGTGAACCCTCAAGGTGTGTTTTCTCTCTTACTCTCTCAGTGGACGAAGAAATGACTGAGATTTGGATTAATTGGGTTTAAAAATGATGTTTTTACATATGAGAATCAGTCTCGAGGTGGAATTGGGGTTCTCTAGGGATAGAATTTGACTACGTTTGATGATTTATTTTGTTAAATCAGGTGCTAATGGTAGAACAGCTAAGGAGTGGAAGAAGTTGCTTCCTTACCTACGATCTCGTCTTGGTAAAGACTGTAATGTGAGTTTTTGATTAGCTTACCTATTCATGTGCCTGTGTTAGTGATGCTATCTCCTTTTGCTCTCTCTCTGTTTTTCTAATGAGAATTGATTTTTCCCGGCTGCTTGTTTGCTTTACTCCAGATATGCGAATCTTTGACATCGGGTCCTTCTCATGCCATTGAAATTACAAGAGAGGTAAGTGGCAGTGAAAGACAAACATCATCACTTTGATGGGTTCCGTATTCTCTGATGATTTTTTTGTTTGCTTCTATCAGGCTATTAGGGATGGCGCAGATGCTGTAATTGCGGTAGGAGGTGATGGAACACTGCATGAGGTTAGAATTGGAAATCTTTGGTTACTAGAACTGAGCTCTTGAGAATCTTAGCTCCACTCATTCTATCCTTTTGATTCACAGGTTGTAAATGGTTTCTTTTGGGAGGGGAAACGTGTCGGTAATCTCAACAGCGATACTAGTCATTCGGCTGCACTTGGTGTGAGTAGCTTGAATTGACTTTTTTTGCTTATATTTACAGCTTACAATCTCATTCCATCTTTCCTTTTTGCAGCTAATTCCCTTAGGTACTGGCTCGGATTTTGCTAGAACATTTGGCTGGTTAGTTTCTGCAACTTCTGTTTGATGTGATATTTTTTGGAGGTTATGTTGAGCCAATCTTGAGTATATTCTGCGTTTTGTTAGGAAGAATGATCCTTGTGAAGCGGTGGAGCGCATTGCTAGAGGTATGTCACTGAACCCATTCGAGGAGTTAGGACTTAGCAACCTATGTATAATATCACATAATCTGCAATTTTTTTCAGGGATAAGGTCACGGGTTGATGTCGGTGTTATCGACCAGGAAGGAAGGGATTTGCATTACTTCATTAACGTTGCTGATGTTCATTTGTAAGGATATCATGCAAGTTTCCTGATCGTATTGATCCTTAATGAGGCGGTTGTAAATCTCTATTTTCTTTGGTTGCTCATCACTTGCAGGAGCGCAAAGGCAGGTTTTTACGCATCAAAGTACAAGAAATTTGGAAAATTGTGCTATGTGATTGGTGCCCTACAGGCTTTTATGGGGCATCATAACCGAGATATGAGAATCAGAGTAAGCAATTATTTCTGAAAAAATCCCATCTTCACCGGAGTAAGTAACTTGAAATCACTGTGTTATATTCTCAGGTCAATGGAGGTGAATGGGAAATATATACTCAAGTCACCGCTCTCTGCGTTGGAAACGCTAAATACTTTGGTGGAGGAATGAAAATCACTCCCAACGCCGTCCCTGGAAATGGAAATCTTGAGGTGCAACAGTTTGTGTGTTTATAAGAACTCAAATACTGTGTTGTAAATGTGATAGCTTTTGACCTTGATACACTTTCTCTGTAGGTTGTGGTTCTTCAAGACTTCAAATGGTACGATTTCATACTGAAACTTCATAAGCTATACAGTGGGACGCATCTCTCGGTTAACAATGTGAGCTCAAGAAGGTCAGTTTTTTCTTTGGTTCCTCAACGCTTCTGTTCTGTAAATGTCCTTGGCACTTGAAAAGTCACCACCTTTAAGCGTCCTTTTTTCTTGTAGTGTACAAAGTATCGAAGTTGAAGAGATTTCAGACAGTGGAAGTATCTATGTTCAGTCAGATGGAGAACATCTTGGATTTCTACCTAGAAAGTTTCGGGTTTTACCCGGTGCCATCGACATGATCAGCTGATCAAAACCACGCATGTCATGAAATTGTTGAAGACGACTCATATATCACCTCAATTTTGTTTCAAATACAACTCTTTTTTTTTTCTTTGTGTGTAGAGAGATTATTCTTTTGAAAACCATTGAAATTTGATTCAATTGTTTAACGAATCAGATTTGTGCTCGTGTTATGTTGTTACTATCACTATATTTTTGTGTGGTCTCCGTTAACCAGAAAGAGGATACTTTTAAAGTAAAACTCTCCCTTCCTTGATCAATCACACTTGAACCCAAAAATGGCGTCTTCTCTTTCCTTTCATTCCATCACCACCGTCAACCCCAGCTACTCCGGCGATCGTGGCCGTTCAAATTTCCGGCGTAACCGCCGATTCGAAGCAACTGGAGTGAGTTGCAGAGGACAGAATCCGGCTAACGAGCCACAGACAAGTAAAGGAGCCGAGCCGGAGAATGTTCTACTCAAATTCGCTTGGTACGGATCCGAGCTACTCGGAATCGCTGCTTCCGCTTTCCGATCTCCGGCGTCTCCTCCTCCTCCGACTGTGACAGGATTTGAGGTTCCTGTTGATTGTTCGGGACGAGCCGTTCGTGTAGCCGTCGTGGATTCGATCAAACAAGACTTCAAGCGATCGTATTTCGTCACAGGTCAGTGAAGAAACAAAACATCCAAATCAGGATCTGATTTTTGTTGCTTCTGTCTAAATCGGAATCTGGGGAGCTGATTCTTTCAGGGAACTTGACGCCGGAGGTTTACGAGGAGAAGTGCGAATTCGCCGATCCGGCTGGTTCTTTCAAGGGTCTTACTCGTTTCAAAAGGAATTGCACTAATTTCGGAACCTTAATTGAGAAATCGAATATGAAGCTCATGAAATGGGAAAATTTCGAGGTACGGCCGAGTCTACTTGTAAAAGATGGATTTTTTTTTTTTTTCTTTCCGATGTCGGAGGAAAAAGATTGTTTTTTTGTTTTTTTCATCGCCGGAGCTCCGTCATGGGTTTTGCAGGATAAAGGAGTCGGGCATTGGAAATTTAGCTGTGTCATGTCGTTTCCATGGAAACCCATTCTTTCAGGTATTTTATTATCCCCACCACAAAACTTTCAAATTTGTGTAAAAATGGGCAGATTGTTTGGATAGACATTTTATGGAAATTTATGAGAAGCAAAATCTACTTTTACAGCAACTGGTTACACGGAGTATTACTTCGACACAGAGTCCGGGAAAATTTGCAGGTGAAAGATTACTTCTGAGCTCATAAATATCAAAGACATTCAATATCTCTCAACTTTGAGAAATCTTTGTGGTTTCACATTTTCGATAAATGGGTTTATGCAGACACGTGGAGCATTGGAATGTCCCTAAGATTGCTCTGTTCAAGCAACTTCTGAGACCCAGCCGTGGATTAATGGGGACACAAAACTAGCCCGATGAAGAAAATGATGATGTCAATTATAAATTAGACTTTTGAAACAGTAAATATATAATATTTTCTTCTGACACTAATATGGGATACTGTACTATTAGAGACCTGCAATGAATCTATTGAGAAGGCATCCATTAGCTTAAAAAATGGGATCACAAAGTTTAAAAAATTTGCATCTAAAATATAAAGATGAAACATAAACATACTATACCGCTGTCTCATTACTACATCGGCTTAAAGACAAAGGTGCATCCTTCTCGATTGAAGAAGCAACAGAGTAACCCTGCATGAACTTCTTCAGCCTTTTCGATTCTCCAACTTCTGGGAGCAGCTCCATTAGAACTTCCATGGTTATGTGATTTGGTTCACAAGAATGTTTAGCCATCTCATCCAATAGCTCAAGCACAGTCTCAAATTGGTTCTTGTCTTTAAGAATCTTAAAGAACGCATTGTATGTTTCCACGTTCGGTCTCACCCTTTTCTTCATCATATCTTCTTTCAGAGCGAGCCCTTGTTTTAGGTCCCCGAGCTTGCACAAGGCGTTAATGAGAATGTTGTATATCACTGTGTTTGGGAAGACCTTCGAGTGCGAGCCCATGTCATTAAAGACCTTCAACGCTTCATTCAGTTTCCCAGACGAGCAACAAGCATGGATTATTGCACCATATGTCACAACATTTGGAAAAAAACCATCTTTTTTCATCTTCTCCATCATCCTATGAACACTTTCAAAGTCCTTGAGTTTGCCGAAATAGGAAATGAGAGTGTTGTATGTGATTGAATCAGGCTTCATACCTGCTCCCTCCATATCGGTTAACATCTCATAAACTTCATCTGCTTTATTCTTATCACAAAACAATCCAATAAGCATGTTATAAGCCATCAAGTCAAGAGCGAATCCTGCTCGTTTCAGTTTCTCAACCATTGCAAGGGCATCATGGTCTCGTCTAGCTTGGCACAAACCAGAGATCAAAGCGTAAAATATCTTGGCGTCAGGAGAGCATCCAGCTTCAACCATTTGGTCAAACCAATGGATAGCCTTCTCAATGTTATTGACGTTGCAATAAGCATTAATTAATGTCATATAAGTAACCACATTCTTCTGCAAGCCTTCCTTTTCCATATCCATTAAGAAAGAAACCGCACTGCTCACTCCAAGATGCCTGCAGATTCCCTTAATCATTGTATTAAGAGTAACCACATCCGGTTTTATCCCTTCCTCCTTCATTCGAGAAACAGCTGATATGGCAGTGTCAAGCTGTCCAGCTCTGCAATACCCATCAACCAAGCAATTGTAAGTTCTTGTATTAGGCACACAGCCCTTTTCCATTTTCATCTTGAGCAACAACTCCTCTGCTTCTTTTAATCTTCTTACCTTGCAGAGGCTGTTGATAAGGGTATTAAAATGGATCTCATCAGCTTTGATCACGTTTCCATCATCACTCTGACTTCCACGCATCTGTTCAAATACTTCTAAGGCCTCATCGACTCTCAATGACTTGCACAAAGTGTTAATGAGAATCCCCAAAGTCACTGCATCAGCTCGAATGCCCATTTCGTCCATCTCTGCAGCGACAACATTCATTCTACCAATATCCATATTCCGTCCTAATGATGTCAAAAGCGCATTGAACGGACCCGTCTCCAGGGGAATTTTGTTTTTCATCAGCTTGCTCAAAGTTTCCCAAGCTACAAGGGTTTGACCATTCTTGCACAGAGTAGTGATAAACCGAGTCAGCCAAACACTGTTTGGTGACAAGCCACGATCGCCAAATTTCAAAACCAACTGTATAGTCTCCTCGTCTGTCACACGCCTTCTCTTTGGTTTACCCTTAGAAACACAGCCGTGGAAAACAATATCCACCGTTGATTCATTTGGCGGAAAAATGGATTCTTTTTCAAGCATTTCGTCGAGCACCTTCAACGCATCATCCACAAGACCACCTTGCAGAAGAAGGTCGATGAAAACGTTTCTCACGTGCGTGTTCTTCACGTCTGGATCGAGTTCTTCGTATACAAGAACCGACTGATTCAACATTCCAAGACGTCCAAACCAACGGATGAGGAGTTTGGCGGCATTGAAAGTAAGCGGGACTTTCTTCTCTTTAGAAGTCTCGTAAAGTTTTAGAAGTTTATCCCGCGAGTCAGGTTCCTTACAAGCGTATTCGATAACCGATTGAAACGCAACGGCGAGAGATTCATCGCGGTGCTTCAGAGACTCAGATTTCTCGTTCAGGTAATCCAAGAAGGACACTGCCAATGAGTATGAATCCAATCGCCGCGTGATTTGCGAGAACACACGAGGAGAAGAAGAAGAAGATAGAAGGAGAGAATCAAGGAGTTCACAGGATACCCAATCATGTTGCGGAATATCCCGAAGATGCTCCAAAAATTCCCTTGCCACTGATTCTTCACAATCCGGTTTAATCACCTTTGATGGATCAGATTCAGCAGAAAAGCGGCGAAGTAGTAGACGACGATCGAGCAGATAATAGAAATTCCGGCGCCGGTAAAAGGAGGAAAGCACACTAGTCATCTCCGACGTTGAAGAAGAAGAAGAAGAAGAACTCTCTCTGTCAACAACCCAACTTCAATTCTTATTATGCCTTTAAAATGGCCTTTGAACATGATGGGCCTTTGAAATGAAAGTAATAGGCCCAATAACATTTGAAGAAAAAACTATTATTATTGTTTGAAATTCTACAAGAGCTTATTATTGTTGTCACTGAAGAGACGGTGACTCTGAAGGTTTCATCTTCTCAGCTGCTGAAGCTGCGGCTGATGCGGCCTTGTCAAAACCAAGCTTCTGCAACTCGGTTAAAAACCCGTCAAGCTCGCTTGTCGTGATCTTGTAAGGACTGTGAGAAGGACCTGGAAACAAGTTTTTAGAGACTTCTTCTTTGTATTCCACCAAAGCTTTGTTGATCACTTCTCCTACTTCAGCATACTGCTTGCAAAACTTTGGAGTAACCTGCGAAAATCAAAGAGCATGAAACAAGGAGAACGTTGAAAAACTAAGAACCAACAAGAGATTTTCATTTCAGTAACATTGATGATGACCTTAGCATGATGTGGATGTTGCATCATACCAAGAAGATCATGGTAGACTAGCACCTGCATTTTCAAGAAAACAAATTAACAGATATATAAGACGTAAAAGTTTGGCACAAGAAAACGGGAAAAAGAAGCAATTCCTCAGACAAGACCTGTCCGCTGCAGAAAGGTCCAGCTCCAATGCCAATGGTTGGAATATTGAGAGCAGAGGTTGCAGCAGCAGCTACGGGAGGTGGAACGCATTCCAAAACAACCGAAAAACATCCAGCTTCTTGTAAAGCCATTGCGGTCTCAACAACCTTAACAGCACTAGCTATGTTTCTGCCTTGTGGTCTGAAACCACCAAGAACGCTGATCGCCTGAGGAGTTAGACCCACATGGCCGATAACCCCAATTCCTGCTTCAACAATGGCTCTTGCAGCAGTGATCCTAGAAGCTGATCCTCCTTCCAGCTTAATCGCATCCATTCCTCCTTCCTTTAGAACCCTAACCGCAGTATCAACCGCCTGGAGTGGACCCATCATTTCAAACTTACAACCTCATTATACATCCATTAATAAATGAAATTCGAGAAACATAAATCGTTGATAGCACAGACAATGACACAAAAATGTATACCATTTGAGAGTGTTCCATTATCAGGAAATGAATTGAACATTGCAAACCCCACTGACTGTGACTAATTCAGTCTCAGAGGAAAAAAAAAATCGATTTTTTCAGAAAATGTTGGATAATATAGGTTTTCGGATGAGTTAAGAGATTCAATTCTTGATCATCACCTGAGTGGTGCTTGATTCGTAAGTACCAAATGGCAAGTCACCAACAAGCAGAGGCCTTTTTGCGCCACGAGCAACGGCACGACAATGGACAAGCATCTCGTCTAAGGAGATAGGAAGGGTTGTGTCGTGACCATGAACAACCATGGAAGCTGAGTCACCGACAAGACAAACATCGATTCCAGCTGTGTCTAAGTGAACGGCGGATGGGTAATCGTAGGCAGTTACGACGGTGATCGGCTCTCCTTTCCGGTGTTTTTGTCTGAGATGCGTCAGAGTCACCCTCTGATTTGGATTTTGCGGCTTTGGTCCTCCGTAGACGGTGTTTTCCGGTAGGTTACTCATGAAACGGACGGAGATGGCCTTGGAGAAGCGAGAGCAATTCCTGGTGATAGAGGAAGCCATTTTCACTCTCTTTGTGTTTACAAAAACAAAGGATTTCTAAAAAATTGAACTTTTGCAGAAACGGAAACCGAAAAACATTTCTGGCTGTCTGTTTTGGATTCTGGCCAGTGGCGATTCAATTCTGGGTTACGCACGCATATCAACATGGCGATAGTTGAGAGATTTGTTTATTTTGTACTTAATCTATTTAGTTTGCAGGTTATACAAAATCCGTTGTAGTCTAGCTGGTCAGGATACTCGGCTCTCACCCGAGAGACCCGGTTTCGAGTCCCGGCAACGGAGCATAATTTTTATTTTATTTTTATATTTTTATCAGAGGAATTAGATAGGAAATCATAGAACAATTTAACCATCTAAGAAGCTGGTAAAACTAATTTCAGAATAGAATATAGTTGTTGTAATACTTATCATACATCACCTTGTGGTAAAATCGGATATGGAACTCCCGACAGAATTAGTACGAAGAAGGATCTGGGAGGCAAGGAAAGACTTCTTCAAGGTCTTCTCACATACCATACATGGCTTTGTGAGTATCCAAGAGGATAGGATCAGACTTCTTGTAACGTAAATTCGTTATTTAATTTGTAGTGTGCTGAATCTGCTTTAAAGTCAGTCTTAGGAGACTTAACTCACACATACTTTGTTGGAAATGCTCCAATGGCCCACATAAGTAACTGCGAGGATTTTGTGTGGCTAACCAAAGCTGAGCTTTTGGAATTTTTCCCTGAGCAAGCTGAATTCTTCAACAAGATGATCATTAGCTGAGAGTCACCCACACGATACAGAAACTCTTATTTTGTTAAATCCCTTCTTCTTCAACACTGTTCTTTGAACGGGTCTTTCTGGTTTTAATAACCACATGCGTTGTAAGTCTCTGTAATAATAACTCTCCGGTTTTTGTTTATTTTTTAAGTTTCACACGTGTGAGATGACGTGAAGGGTTTTTTTGTTGTTGTTGATCTGAAGTAGTTGAATGTAGTTGGCTTCTTTCTCAACCTTCTTTTTTATTCTTCACCACAATACATCTAACATGAAGGATTCTCTCACACACAACAGATTGATCTTGAGAATACATCACATTCAGTTGGTTCGTCGCACCTCTTCAATGCACGGCTACGATTCGTCTCATGCTTTGAATCATGCGAACAACCGAAATGGACTGTTAACACCAAACGAGAAGGCTATGAAAAAATCGCGGTTTGCTTTTCGCACAAAGAGTGATAAAGATATACTCGATGATGGTTATAGATGGAGAAAGTATGGTCAGAAATCTGTCAAGAACAGCTTGTATCCCAGGTAAAATTTTGACATTAAAATATCGGAAAATTGTTTTTCGTACTCGAGATATATATACTGACACTAATTATGGTCACATGAAATCGGAATTTAAAAACGAGATACATCAAAAGGAGCTATTATCGATGCACACAACACATGTGTAACGTGAAGAAGCAAGTTCAGAGGTTGTCCAAGGAAAGGAGCATTGTGGAGACAACTTACGAAGGAATCCATAACCATCCTTGTGAGGAGATTATGCAAACCTTAACTCCTCTTCTTCACCAGATGAAGTTCCTCTCTAACTTCACCTCCTGATGATTAAAATAATTAATTAATATGCTTATAGTATAGTTTAGGTGTGTTTATAATGATATGTATCAGCAGCGATTCGACGGTTCACCGATTCGTATTATTGTTTAAAGTAACGAATAAAAGCCTTGTAACTTTATATGTCAATCGTATGTTGATAGTTTCAATCTCTTTTTGATATTCATTTTTTGGTATTTACACACCATGAAGACATATGCCTAATCAGACAGCTAATTACATGAATTTAAGTTTTAATAAGTATAGGCACGAAAAAAAGTAGAGGCAAACAAGTCTTGGACGAAGTCGGAGCCACAAAGTGAACCAATAAATACATATACGTATATGGATTAGCGAATTAACAAAATGAAGTCCGCTGACCAATTCTAGCAATTGGAATCAACAGAAAAGTAAAGTCTACGTCGAAATATTTCTCAAAAGAAAAATCAGTCCTAATAGCAAAACAATTGCTAATTTATTTTCATATATCTTTTAAAATGATTTAAAAAAAAAAAAAAAAAAATCGGACAAGCAAACAAGTAAGAACGCACGTTATGACCATGATGCTACAAACCAAAACAAACGGATCTTTCCTTTAGTATAAGATGCATTGTATTTTACTCCTTTGTATTTATTTATTTAAAAATAAAAAAAAAACTTTTTGCAAGTAACTATAGAATAATGCCACGCTCCGGCAATTAAGGTATTCATCATCCTTAAAAAGAAAGAAAGTACATTATATAAATAATCAACAGAACCATAGAGATTTGGTCAAATAAAATAAAAAACAGAGCCATAAAAGTTAGAGAGAGAGAGAGAGAGAGATCTGATCATTTTGAAGAGCAAGTAATTGGAAGATTAAGAGAGAATGGCATCGTCAGAGCAAAAGGTGGTTGAAGAAAAGGGGTCGGTGATTTCAAGCTTGTTGGACAAAGCAAAAGGTTTCTTTGCGGAGAAGCTGACGAATATTCCGACGCCGGAAGCCACCGTGGACGACGTCGATTTCAAAGGCGTGACACGTGAAGGAGTCGATTACCACGCCAAGGTCTCCGTCAAGAATCCTTATTCTCAATCGATCCCTATTTGCCAGATCTCTTACATCCTCAAGAGCGACACAAGGTTTTTTTTTTCCCTCTTCTTCTCGTTTTCTTAATTTATTATTTGTGTGCCGTCCGATTGACACCAACCCTTCATCGAACGTATGAAATTATCTTCTTTTTCACGTGTATCTAGCAAACTAACAAAAAATGGTTTAAAAATAAAACAAGATCCGGATTGTGGACTTGCTAATATATGATCCGTATACCGGATCTACTTGTGTCACATACAAAATAATTAATGGCTAAATGTTGAGAAACGTGTATGATACTTTTCTTCTCTCGTTAGGTCTATTTGTACACTTGCTATTACACATGTTACTTATATATATCAAGGGAATCGAAACGATAGATCGTCTTAGATTTAGATTTTGAGTAATTAATAGCTTAAGATAACATTATCATACATCAAAAGTTTAAGGTTACGCACGTGTCATGTGTATTATTTTTTTCCATGTGTAATGGATGTTCATCATGTGCGGCGAATTAATAATGTTAATGAATGGTTGCGTAGGATGATAGCGTCGGGAACAATACCGGACCCGGGTTCGCTGGTTGGGAACGGCACGACGGTTTTGGACGTACCGGTTAAGGTGGCTTATAGCATAGCGGTTAGTCTGATGAAGGACATGTGTACAGATTGGGACATCGACTATCAACTCGACATTGGGCTAACCATCGACATTCCTGTTGTCGGTGACATTACCATTCCTGTCTCTACTCAGGGCGAGATCAAGCTCCCTTCCCTTCGCGACTTCTTTTGATCATCCTTTCAACTATATCTTTTATAATAATTACAATATCAAATTTTCAATAACCTACTATCCATAGACGGATCGTACACTTCAATTCTGAATTTAAGTTATTTTTATATTTTTGTTGGTTTTGTTGTTGGATTATTAAGGATTTTTTTTTTTATTTGCCTATGTATGTTTCCGTGGAGTTATTTATGGCTTTAGTTAGATAGAAAAATATGTTTATGGCTTCGGTAGTACTCTGTAACAACAAAATTACCAGATTCTAGAGGTCACGAGTTGGAATACCTAAGAAATGATGGAGAGTAATTTTAGTTACTCCCCTAAAAAGTAAAAGAAAAAAAAAAAGAGCGAGTACCTTCTTTTCTACAAAATTCAAGATACTAGTGAACTAAAAGTTGTGTTTACATAAAAAAAAGAGTAGGTTGTCACCAGTTAACCATAATCGAGAAACTGCCATGACGCCTTCGCAACTGTACAAGAGAAAGAGAGTGAGAGTGAAAAAAAAACAAACAAACTAATGATGACTAACTTAGTTACTGGATATGATGCTTTTCAAGACGCTGCCGTTTTCGCTTTTAAAAATTGAGACCCACTAAATCAGCCCATTACATGTCAGAGTCAAAGATCAAAAATCTCCAAAGAACAATTTCATATGGATGATCAAAACATGGTGGAGATTTATATTCTTATTTTTGGTTCAAAAGTCTATTGAGATTACAAATATTTGCAACATAATTTACGTGGACCACCAACGCTTACAAATTTACACACATAAACTTCCCATTATTTCTCTCAATGATATAAATATGCACACATGAGAGAAAACATTCCCTATTGGGACAAAAGAAGAGATTCCTCGATTGTCAATCTTTGACAACAAACAAAACTCCATATTTGCATTTTCTTCTTAGAAGCTCTCTCCCCTCCGCACTGCTCTGGCAGTTCTTCTTCTTATTCTTCTCAAAAGTTTTAATCTTTTTGTTTTCAAGTCTTTTTTTTTTTACATTTTAGTGGCTTAGTACCTTTTTTCTCAGTGGTGTGAAGATTAATTCTTTTTACATTTCAAATCTTTCAATCCTTTTTTTTGTTTTTATATATTTAAGTGTTGTGAAGATTAATCTTTTTTTATAGCTCACAAATGAACTGAATCGAACAACTTAGAGATCTAACCACAACTGCATCTAACCTTTATTTATTCTTATATTTTGCATTTTACATTGTAATATATTTGTTTCACAACCAATAATACTCCCTAATTTCTAATTTCTTTTAAGAGAAACACCATAATGACCAAATAGCGCACGATAAAAAATTATAAGTCGTTACTCTACTATTTATAAGTGTTTTTAGCATAATTTTGAAATATATAATGACGAAAATATATAATTTGTTTCAGATTATACATACACCAGTTTTATTACATTATGATTATCACAAAAAAATTGATTTTGCAGGGACGACGTAACTACTGTGCTGCATGAGCTCTTCAAACACGTTACTGGATCAACTTGGAGTTCGGAAATCTGAAGAAGATCTACAAACCAAATGTTGGTGGAAAGAGAAAACATCAGAGAAAGAGAAAGCAATAACCTGCATGTCGAGTTTAGAGGAGATAAACTTATGTGGGGTTTGAAGTAGTGCAAAATATATTATCAGATTGAATAATAAATTGAGGTGAGCATTGATCAAAAATTGAAACATTTTCATGGTGTCTTTGGATCGGTCACTATTGATATTGGCCAGGCCAAAGGTTGATTTTCTTTGGAATAATGTTGTAATCTGTTTTTCATTTCAGACTTATAATATCAAACTTTAAAGCTTGTGTTTGGTGTTTAGTGTATTTGTGTTTGGTGTTTATTGTATTTGTGTTTGGTGTTTAGTGTCAAATAATGCTGTAATCTTGTGTTTGTGTACTTGTCTAATTTTGAGTTTGAGAGAAAGGAGATCATCGATCGAATCAAATAACATACAAAATATATATATGTTTTGTCTAATTTGGACAAGTAGAAAAATACATAGTGATATAATCTAAAAAATCTGTAGTTCTCTTTTCTTTTTTTTACAATGTAAACCTTCATAATAATGGCGGTTGGAGAGTAGTCCAGCTCGTATTGCTTCATGTCGTGACTATCGTCAAACTTACTTTCCAACACATTGCAAACCATCATCTTCTTGACATGAAGATACTACTAAACTAAAAGTTGTGTTTACGTAAACAAAGGGGGGTATGAATGTAGGTTGTCACCAGATAATTAGAAACTGCATCCTAATGAGACTGGCCATTTCGGAAGAGTTAATTGTAATCCAAATATTCTTTGTCGAAAGTACTCTCAGACGTTTATGCAAAAGTCAAACTTGTAATGAACTGACAATTTCTTATTGGTGCTTCTACCTTTCTCCCACACAGGTATAACCGTAAAATCGGACCCAATTTAATACCATTCCCATTTTCTACTTCAATAATTGATCTCAGTTTTGTTAGTGGTTAGGCCACTTACATTAATTTTCTCTTACTTTTTTCCCCCTTGAAGATATAATAGTGACACATGAAACACACATATATAAGTCAACATTCTCCATCACTAAATTTGGTTTATATATAAATCACATAATCAGAAGTAATTAATCAAACCTACACACACACAACATAAGAAGAAAAAAAACCACCATGGCCGAACCAGAACATGTTCGTCCACTAGCTCCGGCGACGGTAATTCCGGTGAGCGATGAATCCACATCCAACAAGAACAACACTCTCCGTCGTCGCAGAAACCGAATCAAATGCTTAATCTGCGTCACAGCAACATCTCTAATATTAATCACGATCGTGTTGACTTTAACCTTCACGGTCTTCCGAGTCAAAGACCCGATCATAAAAATGAACGGTGTAACAGTCAACGGTCTAGATTCAACCACAGGGACGCAGATCCAACTGTTGGGAACAAACATCTCGATGATCGTCGACGTGTCTGTCAAGAATCCGAATTCGGCGTCGTTTAAGTATTCCAACACAACGACCGATATCTATTACAAAGGAACGGTGGTGGGTGAAGCACGTGGGCCACCGGGGAAAGCTAGACCGCATCGGACGGCGAGGATGAACATGACGGTTGATATTATGATAGATAAGATATTGTTGGATCCGGGTTTGGCTCGAGAAGTAAGTGGGTCGGGTCTTGTGAACGTGTGGAGTTACACTAGGGTTAGTGGAAAGGTGAAGATAATGGGGATTGCGAAGAAGCACGTTACGGTTATGATGAATTGCACGATGGCTGTGAACATCACGCGACAGGCTATAGAAGATGTCGAGTGCAAGAAGAAAATCCATCTTTGAATTTTCGGTTTCCAAAGGTATTCGTTAGGATATATATGTGTTAACGTTTTTAATCATTTTGTTAACAGCTTTTTTTGGGTCATTAATTTAGATCAGCACGATGATACATAACGTATATCTGAAGTATGTTTTGACTTTCTACTAGTTCCTAGCGATTTTGCTTTGATTTTGATTAGAGTACATAGCATATGAGGTTTTTTTTTACCAGTTTCCTAAAATTCCATCGACTTTTCAATTTAGGCTAGTAATAATTTCTCGACTAACACCAGTAACCGATTGGATTGTGCATTTTATTCGTTTTTAGTTAACCGGATAGTAAGTCTATCTTCAGACCAATTGGTCAATTTACTGATTAGCCGCGTGGTTTACTAACCAATATACAGTATTGTTCGATTAGTCAGTCTTTTAAGAATCACACACATATATGCGTTTGTTAGTTCATATAGATCCCACTGGTTTGCTCAAGTTCTATTTTTGTTCGGTACTGGTTAGTTTTTTTTTTTAAATTATAATTCTGATTACTTTTTTTTATTGTTATGTGATTAGTTAATATTATATGCTTATCAATCGCTTTTTAGCTAATCGACTAGCTATTAACAAATTTTCAAACCTCGGGTCTTTCTTTATTGCGAAACACAAGAGGCAAGAGCGTTTAAAGATGGGACTGAGGAAGCCTTGAATCACACATATCGAACCAAAACAAATTTCAACGAAACAAGACAGCGAATAAGTATGATAATTAAACAAGAATATTTTGTGATTGAACCCATCAAATACGTATGTGACAAATATTGTTAAGCAGTCAATGTTTCAAGGCTCGAACGTATAAAATAAAACAAAATAAATAATTCTATAGTAATAAAGTTAAATACAATATACCTTGGGGTTGGGCCACTTAATTAATAAAACCTACACAAGAACCTTATCAATAAATGCAAATTTCAGTTTCCAAACAATTGTATTGAATGCATCAGCTGCAATTCCCACCCACCTCTCGTCTCTTCCCCTAACTAATTAAAGTTTTTAAACAATATTCAGAAATTAAAGATAAAAAAAAATTAAAATCTCTATCACTCTCTCTCTCCTTCTCTCTCTCCCACATGGACCCATTTTTCTTCTTCTTAACCATCAAATGTCAACCGCCTCCTCCTCCTCCGCCGTCTTCCTCCACCATCCTCCTCTCCCGCCGTCTCCGCCACACGCCCCCAACCACACCTACCTCACAACTCTAGGCTTCGGCTACTCCATAGCCATAGCTCTCGGTTTCCTCGTACTCCTCTCCACCGTCCTTTTATCCTCCTACATCTGTTGCCGCGACTCTCGCCGCCGCACAACTGCCGTTGAGTCCACCGGAGAACGTGGCGGAAGCGTAATCCTCCCCCGCATAATCTTCGTCGCCGAAGAAGACAACGAAGATCTCGAAGCGGGTGACGTCATCGTTGGTCTCGATCAAGCCGTCATAAACTCCTACCCTAAGTTCCACTTCTCCAAAGAAACCTCCGCCGCGTCCTCCGATGGATTTGGCGGCGGAGGAGATACGACGTGTTCGATCTGTTTGTGTGAGTATAGAGAAGCGGAGATGCTGAGGATGATGCCCGAGTGTAAACACTACTTCCATTTATGTTGTCTTGACGCGTGGCTGAAACTCAACGGTTCATGTCCTGTTTGCCGGAACTCGCCGCTTCCGACGCCGACATCTACGCCTCTGTCTACACCATTGTCGGAAGTTGTGCCGCTCTCGCAGTACGCCGCCGATCGGAGGAGAGCAAGAAGATGATTTTTTTTTTTTTTAAAATAGATCCATTCGCCCTTAATATTATTAATTATTTTTGCTCCGTTTCAACTTTCATTACAACTTTACTGATTTGTAATTAAAAAAAACTCCGTCAAAATTAAGTTCAGTTTGTCATTAATATCATCGAAATGAAATCCAATTTGAATGGTTTATATACTTCACAAGTTTTTATCCTTCTTTTTTGTTGACGTTAATTATTAAATTTTGTTACCTTATCATATGAGCATTTTAAAATCAAATACGCGGTCGTGTTTTCACTGTTTTGTGACATAAATAAAGGGTTCGAGTTTGAACAGTGTATACGCATAACTTACTCTAGTTAAATAAATATTGGTAGGCTTTTGAATGTCGGAAATAGATGTTTCTAAAGTTGGGAACAAGAAATTTTAGAATAGCTTTTTTTTTTCCCAGCAAGTAGTTGACGACGAACTTACCGTCATACCTACGTTTGTAGGTCCAAATGTTAAGTGGTTTGATTAAAAATGTATACTGTATCTTAATTTTTATAACTGACATAAACATCTATAAGACAAATTTTCCTAGACTAATATTTGCATACACTTCTTTTCTTTTTGGTCTAACAAAGAACATGCAATATATTTTTTTTTGTTTGAATGAATGACGCAATATTTTGCATACACTTTTTTTTTCTATCTGAAAATCTAGTATAAACGTTCTGGTAACTGTATGAGAGGAAACATGGTTGCGGTTAGTGCGTTCCAAACACACCAATGGCAACATGCCTAATTTTTGAGAAGAGTTAAAGTGATTCTGCATTCTCTCTACGTGACTTGAATTAAGGTCCTGGTTCGATGGTGATAGCCGATAATCGAAGGTTTTTCTTTTGGAAGGCGCACGTCAGCATAAAATCGTGAGGAGTTTGAGTAGTGTGTGAACATATGTATATTTGAAATATTTGTTTTGTCATAAGTGATGTGAATGTGTTAAATGTTATTTGACTTAGAATAGTCCACCAGTTCGCCCCGCACTATCTTGTGGTGTATTTGTTGATTTTTTTTTTAAAAAAAAACAAACAGTTGTGGGACACTTTATTTTATCAAATAAATGCAAATATGTGTATCAAATATATGCTATGGTTCTGGATCCAGTAAAATAAACGGACAGTAAACACATGTAAGTGAAGAAAACAAACATCCATCCATAATGTATGAATACTATGTAGTTAGACTTTGACTTTAATCCAACCTAGACGAAAGCGCTGACTGGGAGAGAGAGATTGCCCCTCCTATTCCTCAGACGGATATCGTTTGAAACATGATTTTGTGAAAATTGACGAGCGTTAAGTTTTGAGCCGTCGATTTCGCGATCTGATTTGAGACACGTCTCCTGAATCCACTCGTGGTGTCGGGTTACCGAGTGAAAAGGTCAAACGCTTAACGCACTATCAGCGTTTCCTCCTTTTGGTTGCCTACACGTCCGAGGCTCTACTTCTCCGTCAACAAAACGTTGACTTCCGTTTTTTCCCCTATCCTATGTCAAAATACTAACGCCGTTAACGTCCCTATTTAAAAACTATCTCCGAACCACCACGGTCGGGTCCCGAACCTCAGGCTCGTGGTTATTTCCTCTTTGCATTTCCTCCTCTCGTTGGATACAAATATTTTGAGTTTTTCTCTATTGAGTTCGGGATCGGAGAAATTCAATCGATAATCAATGGCGGAAGAAATTGAGAAATCTGTGCCGGCGGAGGAATCTCTGATGGAGAAGATCGCCGAGAAGATTCACCATCACGATTCGTCGTCATCGTCTGAATCCGAGTACGAGAAACCGGATTCGCCTTCGGCTGTGAAGGCCAAGATCTATCGCCTCTTTGGCAGAGAGAAGCCTGTTCACAAGGTTCTCGGTGGTGGAAAGCGTACGGGTTTTACCTTTTTCTAATCTCTCCTTTCTTGTTCTAGTTCATTGGTTTGATCGTGTTTGTTTTATACCCCATACGTTGACGCTTGATCTGCAACACTCGTATAAGATCGCATTTCTGATATTGATATGATGCATGAAAGTAGTTTCAGAAGGAAATTACGTTTTATAATTGGATGACAAACCTGATCTAATATATACAGTACTTTGTTATACCTGCATTTTCTTAAATCAGTCCTGTAAGATTTGTTCCCGGTACGAAATGGGAGCCCAAGTGATTCAGGCATCAAAAAGAGGACCTTTTGCTTTAAGAAATAGTGGGTATATAAGCTTGGTTGATTAGATTACAGTCATTTACGTTAAGAAATTGAAGAGATCTTGCTACATCACTTTGAATTTTTGATGTGAAGGCTGTTTATTGGCTGTTATTGGTTAATATTATGTTATTAACTTGTGAGTAATGAGGAACTTTAATCTCCGTCTGTATGCTTAACCTTCACTCATGTCGTTGCCTAAGTTCTCCTTTTTCCAATGACTCTGCGCAGCTGCTGATGTGTTCTTGTGGAGGGATAAAAAACTATCAGCCGCTGTTCTCGGCGTCGCGACTGCTATCTGGGTTCTGTTTGAGCTGGTTGAGTATCATTTGTTGTCTCTTTTGTGTCACATTTCGATACTCGCTCTTGGAGGCCTGTTTTTGTGGTCCAATGCTCACACATTCATCAACAAGTAAAGATTCAGAGCCTTGACCATGTTAATATCTGGATGTTTGCTCTTTGTTTGGTTTTGAAACCCCTCTTTTCTTTTCTTCTTTTTGTTTGCAGGACTCCACCTCAAATTCCAGAGGTCCATGTTCCCGAGGAGGCTTTCCTTACGATTGCTTCTTCTCTGAGAAACGAACTAAACCAAGCTTTTGTTATCCTACGAAGCATTGCTTTAGGAAGGGACCTGAAAAAATTCCTGATGGTATGTTCAATCTTTGCTGCTGACATTTGCAGTCTAGTTAAACAATCTAAAAAATGGTTGAATTCGTATGGGGAATTAGTTTCATTTTAAAGCTTTCAGTTGAACCTTGTCTATACACCGTGTAAACAGAAATATGCTCTATGCAATAATCTGTGAAATGAAGTGATTTGGTTGGTAATCCATATTGTTTATTGTCATCAGGTTGTTGTTGGTCTATGGATCATCTCGGTAGTAGGCAATTGGTGCAATTTCCTGACGCTGGTGTACATCTGCTTCGTGGTGCTGCACACAGTGCCAATGATGTATGAGAAACATGAGGACAAGGTTGATCCATTGGCAGAGAAAGCGATGAAGGAGTTGCAGAAACAGTATCTGGTGTTTGATGAAAAAGTTATTTCTAAGATTCCCATTGCTTCTCTCAAGGCCAAGTTGGGTTAAATACAGACGTCTATGGTTTTTTTATGCTTAATTTTTGTCGATCATGTGAAATTGTTGGTCATTTCCAGAGTTTTGCCGCCGATGGCCCAAATGTCACTTTATCACATTATGACTACCCTTTTTTTCCCCCAATTCTCAAAAACTATGTATTTTTTGGTTTCCCGGCTATTGTATGAATACTTGAGTAATTCAACCTTGGGATATGTTTAGTTTTAAGTTTGTGGGTACTGACTGAATTAAAACACATAGCTTAAAAGGAAATACTGTACTAAATAGAAACCTGTTACATAATTTATACCCGAATTAAAATTTACAAATTTTAAAATACTTGCAAAGCAATTCCATATCTTCTGGTACATTTCAACAAAACTCCATAGAACCTTTGGTATTAACAAAACCATTCCTTAGATTCTAGTATTTTTTAAACTGACACAACCCTTTCTTTTCTATAAGTATAGCCCAACATTGTTTTTCGGAAAGACGGTAGCATATCGGAAAAAAACAGCTGCAGATATTTTCATTTTTAACCAAACCAATGGTATATTTTTTTTGGTCGAAAACCAATGGTATATATAATAAAGAATTAATGGAATAAAAATGTGTGAGAGAGATAATTACAACACAAAAAAAGCAAGACATTCAGGTTTAAGATTCCTATAAAACGTGTATATACCCATACTAGTCTTCAGAGGTCAAGTGAGTAATCTCGAGAGCTTGTGATTACTATCCGATGATGTAAGAGGCACCGTTGAAAACTCCGAATCAGATTGCTCATAGGTTGGTCTCTGCGTACTAGTCTTCTCTTTATCTTTGATCGCTGCATCTTCTGCTTCTCTTCTCTCTCGCTCTTCCGCGTCTTTAAGAAGAAAATCGACCCACATATCTGCAAAAGACTGAACCAAACAAAAAAGGCAAAAAAATTAATCAAATGATCTTATATTCAGAGCGTTTTTTTTTTAATTGTTTTAAGCCATTTGGTACCTGATTATCTGAAGCGATATTAGGATGTGAATCCGGTGAACCACCACCACCGCCTAAGATGCCACCGACTAAGCGGCCCGGTAAGCCCAACACGCCTCTAACAACACCTTTACCGGCGGCTCCTTGCTGTGCCAATCCTATTCGCTGTTTGTCTTCCTCTGAGAATCCCAGCATTCGAACCATTAGGTCCAAAACCTACTCAGAGACATTCATATAAGAGAAAGATAAGCTTAAGGCCATTCTGCATAAGCTTGTAATTTATAAATACAAAAGCTAAAAACAAAACAGAAGGAGAAAAACTCCGTTTGCGTTTACAATGAGCGAAAGTATTTAGTAAAACGTCAAAATTTGTGTTCGAAACAATCAAAGCCGTACTTCTACAGTTCTACTGCATCTTGAAAGTTGTGATGTAACTTGATTAACAGGCTAAGTAGAAAAAATGAGTTTTGAATTTTAGTTTCACAAATCTTACCTCTCTGCTGTGATTCCTCTGGAAGTATGTAACTAGTAACTTGATAACAATACGCCTGAAGAAATAATATGCCATAAGATAAAGAGTTTTAAGGAAATGTAACAGTATGTAAAATAAAAGACATTGGCCCACCTATCAACGAGATAATCGGAGTCCATTGACATTCTATTGAGCCTAGTCATGCTCTGCTCAAGAACACGCCTTACTTTTGCATTGTCTTCTTCAACCTTGCTTACTCTGTTTTTCCATTCTTCTGCAATTTTTTCTGCGTGTAACAGCTTCGATGTTACTTCCTCCTTTTCTTTCTTTGATGACTCTAACCGCTCATCAGCATCCTTAAGAAAAAGAAAAATCGCATTAATTGAAATCCATATGAATATAACATATCATATAGTTGACAAAGGAAAGGATTAGAGATTTTACTTTCAAACGTGCTACAAGTTTCATCGCTTCTTCTTTAGCCACTGTAAGCTCTCTTTCAAAATGCTCCTACAACATTTAAGAACAGGAATACATAAATTAATCAAGGTTACACCTAATAGGGAAAAACTTCAAATATCTTGATCAATACAAACCTTAGCTTCAATTTCAGCATAGTACTGGCCAAGAGCAGTTTGAAGATTTAGAAGTTCCACATTTTTGGAATCTATCGTTCTCAAACAATTTGCAAGCTTTTGATTTAAGTCTTCAATTATACCCTTTGACTTCCGGATTTCATGGTCGTTGCTCGATTTGATTTCCTCCTGATTAGCCATTGCCTGCTTAAGAGCTTTTTCCAAACCTAGTATCCGAGACCTTTGATATTCATTAGTCTGGCGGAGTTCTTCAATCAATCTACTATCTTCATCCATTTTCTCTGACTCCTCAGTCTCCTGTAAAAATATACAAAGAAAAAGGTGTATAGAATTGTATTCACAGATACAGAGAACATTGGCAAAAGTATTGATTTACAATCTAAAGAGTTATAATCAGAGGACAATGGATAAACTTCGCAAAACTATTTGCAGGTAAAATAAGATGAACATAGCTGTGCCTTATAGGGAATTAGCTTTAGGATAGATAACCTTTTCTAACAGGTGTTGTTTAAGCCGCTTTAGTTCTTGCCGTGCCTTATCTTTTTCTCTTCGTGCTTCCTGCAGATCCTTTTCCAACATCTGCAAAGATTTTTCCATATCTTCTTTCCCAAGGAAGCTTGCAAGCCTCTCCTAATTATACATGACGAAAAGCAGAAGGAACAATAAATGTCTGCTCCACATTTAAAAATTTCGCATAGAAACAACGTTTCTTTTGGTTAAATGACCAAATTGAATCAAAAGTTAACATTAAAGAACCTTGTCCAGACTAGTAGGATGTCTACTAAGAGCATCTGTGCCCTCTGGGGAGAATTTGCTACTTGTTGACCTCCGGCTAGCTTCTAAAGAAGCCTCTAGTTCACTTCGTTTCAACTACACAACAGAGAGAAATGTAGATCTGTTTCAGAGTCCGAAGCTCAGAGGAAATCTATAAATGAAACATACCTTGCTAAAAAGTAAAAATTGTCTTAAACCTTAAGCTCATTATTTTCCTTCTCCAGAAATTTGTTAGCCTCTTTTAGATTTTCAATGGAAATTCCAATGGCCTGCTGCTCCCAGCCATTCAACTTCATCTGCAGTTGCTTGGTTTCAGCTACTTTTGCATCCAACTCACTACGTACTTTGCTAATCTCCATGAACGTCTGCATCCAGTTGGAATAAATATCTACTCATTAATCAGATTACAAAACTGTAATGTAAAGATGGCTATGCCTAACCAAACAAAAGTTCATAGAGATTCAAATACTTACTTTTTCCTTATCTAACCTCAGAGATTGGAGTTCCTTCTTGAAAGACTCATTTTGTTTCCGCTCCTCTGATGACAGCAAGGTGAGTGAGAGAATACTCGATAAGAAAGATATAAAGAAACAGCCAATCTACCAGTGCTGCTATATACCTTGTAGCGAAATCTGCAGATTTGCTGATTTTTCTCGCTCTTTCTCAAGCTCTCTAGCCTGAGCAGATGCCATGGACCTGGTTCTCTCTTCAAGCATATCTGCAAACTCCTGAAAGGCAATCAGATTGTTGTTTAGAGTTCCGCGTGCGTGCTGCCAGAAGAACACACAAAGGTAATTTTTTGGCACTTCCTTCACAGAGAATAAAGTCATTTACGTATTATTAGATATACATATAATGTAACTATGAAGACTTCGCTCTGAAACTACGATACATCAAAAGACATGTATCTAGCAAACAAAATAACCCAAAGCTTTTTTTAATTTAAGAAAATGATTAATCAAACGGCAGAGATACCTGCTCCTTTTTATGTGAATCGGAACCGTTCTCAGTCCCGTTTTGTTTCGAGGCAATGCCATTGTACATATGGTTTCGACTTTTCCAATTTGTAGGGGATTTTTGTGACCTGCCGGGTGAATGATTACTGTTTCCCTGCAGAAGACTATATGTTAGTCGGATGTTTTAAACCTTAACATAATTAGCGGGAGAAGCATCAGTCCCATCGAATCAATATACTATGCAGTACGCAGCAACATGTTATTCTTCCTGAAAATTAAGATTTGCAGGCTAGCGGCAGTACCAGATAGCACAAAAACAGTGCGCGTATAGAAAATTTGACAAACAGTTTAGAAAAGGTGCAAAGACATTTAAGCAAACACCATACCATGGTTAATGAACACGCCACAAAGAATAGAGCCGAAAGAAGCAAACCTTGATAGCATTGTTATTTGATGCCCTGGAAAGATCCATTCTAGCCTCTTTAAGAGCGGCATTTGTTGAAGTCAAATTTTGTTTCAATGAGCCATTCTCCTGGTTCATTCTGGTTATCTGATCCTGTAACCAAGTGGCTTCTGTGTGAGGAACCAAAGCATAAGAGAAAGGGAAAGGCAAGAAGACTCTTCATAAATCGATGAACATCCTCAACCTCTTTTTCTTTTAATAGAGCCGCATAATTAACAGACAGAGCTTTGATTTCTGCTTCTGATTCCTGGAGCTTGTTGATCTCTGCTTTATATCTCTCAATCTAAAAAATTGAACATAAAAGTAAAAATAAACAATCTACTACATTCCGCAAACCATTTCTCAAAGTTTTAACACACAAAACCCAACTTAGACTTCCAGTCCCGTGATTAAGCAACATTTCAGTGACGTTCGGATTCCTAATTTATAAACTAATAAAGTAGATGACCAAGAACAAGTACAATACCTCAGTATTAACAGGCGGTTCGACGCCATTGGTCATCGGAGACCTCGATACGGACCTGGAATACCTAAAGCCATTAGAAGTCCTCCGATCAGACTCCATAAAATCACCGTCGACATTGGTGGAACCATACATGGAGAGATCTTCATCATCTTCTTCGTCGTGCACATCGAGCGCGATCTTGTTCAAATTCTCCTTCAAATTCTCAATCGAACTCCACATTGAGAATTGATCACAGATTCTCAGCTCTTGTAACAACGAAAAAAACCGACAGAGTCACAGATTCCTCCTCCGAGGATTTATCAAAAAGAGACAAGAATCTTTCTCTGTAAGATTGAATTTCAATATTAATCGCGTAAGGTAGATCGGCAAATGTTTTCATGATTTAAGTTGGCGATCATTTAATCGGACGGGTCGGGTCATCGGTCATTGAATTTTAGGTCATTCAGATTTATAATCAAGGCCCAAAAATATACATGGCCTAAAACACACCACAGCCTTTTATTTAACCATAGAATTAAAAATCCTCCGGCTGACTTTACTTTGGAGACATATCAAGACGCTGATTCATAGCAGGAAGATGGGCTTTTAGCAAAAGTCCAGATCAAAAAGATGGGCCTAATCTACTACATCCGTTGATTTATATAACTCCAACGGCTATGATACGTTCGCATTAGCCCTAATACATGCTCTATATAAACTCATCAAAAGATATATCACCTTCCACACCTCTTCTAGGGTTAATGGCTAATCATCTTTCTTCTTCCTCGCCGTTTTATTCATTGCGTTTAGCTCTTGTTTTTTTTGTTTACTTTGAATTTTTCTCTGTATCAAGAGATGCGATGACGAGTTAATATCGGAAAGTTGATAGATCGCGAGGCGAATCTCGTCTCGCGAGATGAAATCCGATTACATTATGGTTCGTATTCGCTGAGCATCGGATTCGTATTGTTTCATAGTTTTTATTGGAATTTAGCGAACGAGGGACCTATGGGTGAAACGCTGTAATCAATGCGTATTCAAGCCAAGTTTACCTTCGGAAAAGAAAATCGGAGATTGGTGGATAATTCCGAGATCTGTGGTTTATAATTTCGGATTTCGGTGTTTCATCCCTTATGGATTCAGTATTCGATTAAATTTTACTGGTGATTATGTTTATTGAAAAGCGAAGGACCCAGCAGGGAAGCGAGTATGCTCATGAAATGAGGCTTCTCTAACAATTTATTTAACCTTCGTAGATTGAGTCTCCAAGGATTCTTTGATGCTCTGCTGTTTTTTCAGCTATCGTCTTGTGTTCTTGGTGTATAGTTTGCTAATGAAGACTGTGTTTTTAGATAGCAGGGATTGTGTGTATCGGCTTAGTGCGATCAAATGCATTTTGTACGAAAGATTTCCCTGCAAAATCAATTAGGGGCAGATGGGCAGTTGTGATTCATTTGTCAATTGAATAGCTCAACAATCATCTTCCCCACAACTCCTCTTTTGATTCAGCTAATTCTTGAACTTCGGTTACAATCTGTTCCCTGTACTTTTTTAATGTTAATTGACCGAATATTTCAGGACAATCAGGCATGTGGAATTTGCAGAATTTAACATGATCGCAAATCTTAATTTAAAAAATGTTGTTAATGAAGTATGGTGATAAATCGATTATAATTCTAATGGTAACTAATCGACTGAAAATGTAACGTAAAGTTTAAAATACGAACTTGGACATGTACTCTGACTTTGGACATGGACAGTAAGCTAATAATTCGATCAACGCTCGACGTTACCCCTTCAGCGACAAGAATGGAAATAGACAGAACCGATGTTTCCTATATATCGAATATGTTTCAGATTTCTGCCAAAATACATGAAGAATATATTGCAGAATTGGATCTACATTGTCTCGTCAACAATATTATTTGGAGCTTAATTAAGGTCTTTCTTGGGAGTTTTAACAAGACATGAAGCCCAAATCTCATTAGCTGGTGGCGATGGCTGCACCCAATTTCTAGGAATCCGGCTGTATAGAGACAATCAAGACTATTTCTTAACAGACAAACATCAAAAACTTGTCTAAATTATGACAAAAAAATGCTAAGCTTACCTTCCTACGGGACTCAGATATGCATCCCATTCTCGTCTGATCTGTATTTTTTAAACCATAAATCAGGTGAATCACCTCTTTGAAATAAGAGATAAAAGAGACGGAGATTTAAATCAAACCCACCTCAATAAGTCTACTCATGTCGAAATTGCTTCCGTAGTAGTAGTGATACATCTCCACTGGTAAATTCGACACATTGTCGCCACCACTGTCAGGAGCTTCCATTGACTTTTCACAAGATGCTGCAACCATACCGCTTTCTTTATCTATGTCTTTGTCGATTTTGTTACTGGTGGCGAGAGGAGTGTCCTCCTCGGAGGCAATGACATTCTCTTTGGTCTCTGTGTTTGTTAGGGACTTAGCTTGGGTTTCCTCTTGCTCCACCGCAGCACGAACACTCTCGAAGAACTTGTCATCTTCTTCCGGAAGAAAATGCCCTGCATTGTGTATTCATATAACCCGTTTAATTTAGTCAGACTCTTGTTTCAAAAAGCATTCTACGACTTCAGATTAATGACATACCTTGCTTCTTCAGTTTTTCGATTCTTAAGGAACGTAACTCTTGCATTTCCTCAACAATTAGAGCTAGTTCAAGCTGCAACATTCCAAACCATGAGTTTGTTTGACGTAAAAGAACCGAAATGAAAAACTGAAAGATAGCTTTACAAGCGTCACCTCGGGTTCTAATCTCTTTCGCTCTCGTTTTACCTTAACCTTCTCAATTGCCTTCATCTCGTCGACCTGAAAAATAGACAGAACCAGTCAGATACTTAAAACGAGAAACACCAAATTATTGCTTTACACATTGATATTACCTTTATGTTTGCCATGTCCTTGGCCATTTCCTTTTCTCTCCATTCGTCGGCCTCTCGATCAGCTTGTTCAAATCTTTCAGGTTCCTGAAACCATATAACCAAGATGATGATAAGAGTTCATAACTCAAACACTGCGGCCATTGCAATAAAAGTTAAATAGAGCTTTCGAATCCACCTTAGCTCGCATTTCTGCAGCACATTGTCTCTTTCGTTTCCTCCACAGTTTGTTCCTTTTCGATTTCTTCATTTTGCAAGTCAATCTAACTGCTGCAGATTTCTCCTCCCATGGACAATTCTCGTCAATAACAAACCTAAAAGGCTCAAGCTGTGCTCTTAAGGTAGAGATCAAGGTGTTAGCAGCTTCCACTGAAAGTGTCTCCTGCTCTCCCAATTCCATCCTCATACCTTCTATATATCTCAAATACTCTACTCCTGTCCCTTGTTCCACAATTTCCATTGAACCTTTGCCTTCTTTGATCATCCTCAATGCATCCAGTTCCTTCTCCCTATTAGAAATTTCAACAACGGTGAAATTGGTAATATAGCTAATATGTCTTAACAGATCAAGTTGCTCTAATTGGCTGTGAAAACTACTGATATTCCATTTAATTTACTGTGATTCGATATTTGTAACTATCTAAAATCAAAATTCCGACACTCAAGTGATTCAGTATCAAGACAAAACAATAATCATATAATTTCGGGTGGCCTTTCTTACACTGATTTTGCCAGGTTAAGCGTATCTTGGAGTTGTTTAATCTGGTCGATTATGTTATTTTTATTCCAAAACACACCACAGCGAGGCGGATCCGGAGGTAGCATCGGAGCCCACTGGAACTGTGGATTTGGAGCCTGAAAATTCCCCGGATTCATCTCGGAGGCTCTATATTAGAAACCCAAAAATTCAGCGATTTCGATTGCACCAGCCTAATGTGAGAGCAACGAAAAAGAAAAACTCATTACAAAATCAAATAAATCATTGTAATTATTACTTAATACAACAAATGATTGCATGCAAGTGGATAGTGAGTGACTAATGGCGTCTTACAGATTAAAGTTTCTGCAGAGGACTTCGGCGACATCCTATGCCGGCGAAAGCAGCGCGCGAGCCGCGAGTTCTAAAACTCGAGAGAGATCATTTGGGCAATTAGGCCCATTTTAAGAAGATATAAGCCCATACAAAATTGCACAAAAATCTGCTATTAGAATCTAGAGCCATAAAACTTTTTAACTTCTTAAGATGTCTTCTTAATAGAAAAAACTAACTTACGTTACCAACTTTTGTGCTTTTGGGATATTATTCATTTGTTGTTGGCGACTTGACATTGCTTTTGAGGAAAATAAAGCTTTTTTTTTGTAAAGTCAAACTGTAAAAGAAACTAATAGACGAAATAATATGTTAGATTTATTTCTGTAAATGGAGTTCTCTCTAATCAACATTTCCCATTTGCTTATATTTGCTCACCATCAACATTTCCATTAATAGAGTTAACGTAACGGATTATTATTTTCACACGCTTAAGTAGTCTTAACCATTCAAATCAGTCCTAAAAATAAAACACAAAGAAAACAAGTGTCAAAGATTCGAATTACCAATTCTAAAACAGTAAACAAACCAAACCAGAATATAAGGTAGAAAAGGGGTCGATGAGAACAATTCGATTCAGAATCTGTGAATTGCGAATCCAGAGAAAAGGTTTTTAAAACCTTTTTTCAGATTGGGTTCTGTTAATTTCTGGATTTTGGTTAAATCCCCTCTCTCTCTCGATCTCTCTTTCTCTGGTTCAACAACAATGGCGGAGCAAACGAAGAAAAGGTACATTTCAAGCGAGGATCTAAAAACCCATAACAAATCAGGAGATTTATGGATCTCGATTCAAGGGAAAGTCTACGACGTCTCCGATTGGGTTAGATCTCATCCCGGAGGCGAAGCGGCGATCCTCAATCTCGCCGGTCAAGACGTCACCGACGCTTTCATCGCTTACCATCCCGGGACCGCATGGCACCACCTGGAAAAGCTCCACAACGGCTACCACGTGAGAGACTTCCACGTGTCCGACGTGTCACGTGACTATCGCCGTTTAGCCGCCGAGTTCTCGAAACGTGGCCTCTTCGACAAAAAAGAACACGTGACTCTCTACACCCTCACGTGCGTCGCCGTAATGTTCGCGGCGGTTGTCTACGGCGTTTTGGCGTGCACCAGCGTCTGGGCCCACCTCGTCTCCGCCGTTCTCCTCGGACTTCTCTGGATCCAGAGCGCTTACGTCGGCCACGATTCCGGCCACTACAACGTGACGTCGACGAAGCCGTGTAACAAAATCGTCCAGCTTCTATCCGGAAATTGTATCACCGGGATCTCGATCGCGTGGTGGAAATGGACGCACAACGCTCACCACATCGCTTGTAACAGCCTTGACCACGATCCAGATCTACAACACATCCCAATCTTCGCCGTCTCCACCAAGTTCTTCAAATCGATGACGTCACGTTTCTATGGCAGGAAATTGACCTTCGATCCTCTCGCTCGGTTCTTAATCAGCTATCAACACTGGACGTTTTACCCGGTGATGTGCGTCGGGAGAATCAATCTCTTCGTACAAACATTCCTCTTGCTGTTCTCGAAACGTCACGTTCCCGATCGAGCCTTAAACATCGCCGGAATCCTCGTTTTCTGGACATGGTTCCCTCTCTTAGTGTCATTCCTCCCAAATTGGCCAGAGAGGATCATCTTCGTGTTCACAAGCTTCGCCGTCACGGCGATCCAACACGTCCAATTCTGTTTGAACCATTTCGCTGCCGACGTATACACCGGTCCGCCAAACGGAAACGATTGGTTCGAGAAGCAAACTGCCGGTACGCTTGATATATCGTGTAGATCTTACATGGATTGGTTCTTCGGTGGGTTACAGTTTCAGTTAGAGCACCATCTGTTCCCTCGGCTACCGCGTTGCCATCTCCGGCGAGTATCTCCGGTGGTGCAGGAGCTTTGTAAGAAGCATAATCTTCCGTACAGGAGTCTTTCGTGGTGGGAGGCGAATGTGTGGACTATTAGGACTCTGAGGAATGCAGCGGTTCAAGCTAGAGATGCGACAAATCCTGTGTTAAAGAATTTGCTCTGGGAAGCTGTGAATACTCATGGCTAAATATTGCTCAACAAAAAATCTGATTACATTACAGATCGGTTTTGTTCGTGTTTACATTTCGTCTGTGGAGTACTTTTTTAAACAATTGAAGAGGTGTATTAGTTTGAACTTTTAGATTGGATATAAGTCATATAACTCATCACATGATCATAAACTATATGTATTTATATTTTATTTTGTGCTACTTTTGCTGGCTCCTCTTTTTATGTGTGTTAATTATCGGAAAACTTCTTTACCAAAACTTGAGCATATGCATATGTGTGTAAGAAGAAGTAAAGCATGAAAAATGAAAAACAAAAAGTACATAAAATGGGCTTTAAAGATAGGTCCTGAAGGCCTTACCATTAATGGACCGTCATATGATATTCAATTTAGTCCTAATTTGAAGAAATTTCTACGGTCTTTATCGTTGAAGATGACAAGTCCGGTAATCGTTATCCATGAGAAAAAGAAAATTTATCCGCAGGGAATTTTCCTGACCTATCCTCGCGTCGCGCCTTCTCGTCTTCTTCTCAATCCTGAAAGCAGCATATTCTTCTGCAAAATCCCTCTCTTACTCCCTTTCTTTTTCTCTTGTCTCCGAGAAATTTTGATAACTGAAACATATGTTTGCCCTAACTTAATCTTCAATCTCCTCCCCGCATAGCATTTCCCCGATGGCATTCCTCGTCCGTTCGCCGGAGATATCCACCGTCTCGGCGAGAATCTTCTCTGATTCGAATTCGAATGTAAATCATGCGTTTATGAGGAGGAAGGTTACGGTCTCCGCAGTTGACGCGAGAAATTTGTCTGGTGTGAAGAATCAGAAATCGAGATTGTACGGTAAATTCTCGGCTCCGGTGAAGGAAGACTGCGAGATTAGCCGAGAGGAAGAAGAAGATAAGCAGAACTACTACGTGAATATGGGTCACGCCGTTCGTTGTATCAGAGAGGAGTTTCCTTCCTTGTTCTACAAAGAGCCCAATTTTGACATTTACAGGTTTGCGGATTCTCAAATTTTTTTTTTTTTTGCTTTTCCAGTATTACAGTCTTTCTTCGTTTCCTAGAACAAACAAACAATCGGAAACTCTAACTGAAAACGTTCTTGATCATCTTTCTCAATGAATCTTCTGCTTCAGGGTCGTGCTTTATGCTTATATCCCAAATTTGATCTGTTCTTTGTTAGCTTTTGTGAAACAATCGTCTTCTTGCTTCATGGTCGTGCTTATATTCTAATTGATTTCCTCTTAACTAGCTTTCTCAACGAATATTCTGCTTCAGGGTACTGTTTGATATGTTCTTGGGAGAATCCTCTGCTTGATCCTGTTCTTGATTAGCTCTTCTTGTCTAATTTGACAGGGATGATATTGTGTTCAGAGACCCGATGAACACTTTCATGGGAATCGATAACTACAAATCCATATTCTGGGCGTTACGTTTCCATGGGAGGATCTTCTTCAGAGCACTCTGCGTCGACATTGTTAGTGTTTGGCAACCCACAGAGAACACACTGATGATTCGATGGACTGTTCATGGAATTCCTCGTGGTCCCTGGGAGACTCGTGGTCGATTTGATGGCACTTCAGAGTACAAGTTCGACAAGAATGGGAAGATTTATGAACACAAGGTCGATAACATTGCCATTAATTCGCCTCCAAAGTTTCAAATGCTCACTGTTCAAGAGCTTGTTGAAGCCATTAGCTGCCCTTCGACACCGAAGCCGACGTATTTTGAGTTCGGAGATTCATCATCGTCTTCGGAAACATATTAATGCTGTATATAGTCTTTTGTGTGTAATAGATAGAGTTAAGATCCGGTGGGACTAAAGTTTGGTGTGTGTAAAAATATACATCTGATGGAGAATAATGAAATAAACTCAATAAATTGATATAAACGGTATAACTTAAAACCGTTTCAATGCGTATAAGTTATAACCAAGAAAAGCCATATATACATGTTAGGGACGAAATGTCTAAGTTGGAACTTTGAAGCCAGGGACCATTTGCTATTTAGTCTATATGCATGCTGAAATCAGATTAGTTGCTTTTTGCATGTGCTATCTTATAAATTCGACTTTTTTTTTTAAGATGGCTTGATGCAATTTGAAGTTGGTTTTGAATAATCTTAGGCTAGTTTTTTTTATTCGCAACAGACCAAATAATGAGAACGTTCACTTGTTAAATCTGCTCCATCTATATAGAGTGAACAAAACTAAAAAATTTGGAGCTCGGTTGTTTTTGAATATATGCAAATAATCATTAGATTAGGTGGTTGCCTTTTAAGAATATGATTTAGAGTCTCAATTAGTTGTCTACATGTTGCATTTATCTGATTTTCGCCGGTTTTTTTTACTGTAATCTACAATTTAAAGTTGAATTATAACGGATTTCAGTGCCAATGACAACCTGCAAATCGGTATTTTCGCCTGACGTTAATCCACCTGAATCATTGAAAATTTGAAAGTAGATCGCAGAAATGATTTCAAAGAGTAAGTTGGGCCCCAACTGTTGGGCCAATGATTTTTGCCGAGTAAACGATAATGGAGCCATGGGCCTTAGCACGTGCAAATCGGCATGTCCGTTTGGACAGCTGGTCCACACGTGTGGATCTCAGGATGCGAAGCTGGCTAATGCTTACGTGTCCGCCAGCGTTTCTTTATGTACAACTTGACCGATTCATTAAAATCTTGTCCCGTTGACTGGACTTTTTTCACAAGGTCATTTCCGTCATTATCATCCCTAGATCCACCTCCGTTTTAAGTTTTGCTTAGTTTAAATGCTTGCATTGAGTCTCACCGCAAATATATAACTATTTAATGTGTTATCACCTACCGCAATAAAAGCAAGATATACAAGACATGTGAACTTTTTTGTTTTACATATCTTGTATATTTTGGAACTACAAATTAAGTTTTTTATGTATACTAGACAAAAGTATTAATTCAATGTTCTTTCAGTTTATGTTGTTTTAATTCACATACATGTTAATTTTGAGTTTGGCTTAATTGGTCAAGCTAATGTAGAGGTATTTAATTAGATCATAGTTAATCAGTTGATCAGAAACCAATACTAAAACTGAAAGCAACAAATATTCGCCGAGAAACCAAACGGAGATTAAAATTCGATTTTTGGTTTATAACAACAATTCGGGGTATTAGTATATATAGTATGAATATTGTAATGAAATAATAAAAAACATCAGTGCGTCTTTCCCGAAGTCGTTTTCTATATTCGTTTTTACTCAGAAAGGAAAATGGCATTTGAGTCCTTGGGAATCGCTTCTACTTCACTCACCTTCGTTCTCTCTCTCTCTTTCTCTCTTTCTCTCTCAAGTTAGCTTAGCAGTCTCACCAGAAAATCTAACCTTACATCACAAATCCGAACAAACATTGATACAGTAATCGGAATACGGTGCCGTAATTTATACACAATTTATTCCCTCTCATCGCTTAATTCGACGGTTTTTTAAGATCGTTTTCTACTAACATATCGTCGGAGAAGAAGAAGAAGAAGAAGAAAAGGCTAAAATGGAAACGGAGAATTCGGTAGCGGATAATCCGGCAATGACCTTCGACGAGGTTTCCATGGAACGCAGCAAGAGCTTCGTTACGGCATTGCAGGTTCCTTTTTTTTCTTCCGTTTAGTTAGATTCTACAGAAATCAACAGCTATGATCACAATAACATGGTTTGGTTGAGCCAGATCCATGATCACAACTTGTAGCCTATAGGCGTTAGTGTCCATGGTAAAAAAAAAACTAAGTGTTTTTAGCTGTAAATTTGAGGATTAAGTGTCTAGCTATATACATGGGACCGAGATGATGATTGTCGGTTAGTGTTATCACAGTTCCTCAAGATTACATTTGGGTCAATAATAGCTCTTTGGATATAAAGACAATGTTTAGTTGACTAATAGTTTTAGAATTGGTTTTGACTTTTTCTCTACCATTGGATGTTAGCTTTTGATGCATAGATACATCTGGAGACAGACTGAAGAATCCTGTGATTTGTTGAATGGTTTTGGCTTACACTGTTTTTAAATTGATCCCCTATTTTTAATGTAACAGGAGCTTAAGAACTTGAGGCCTCAACTTTACTCGGCTGCTGATTACTGTGAAAAGTCTTATCTACATAGCGAGCAAAAGCAAATGTAATCTTTCATTTCAACTATCAATAGCTTCAGATTCCATAGCTTTGAATGATGGTTGTTCATTATATTTTCCCTTTTACGTTACCGTTTTTGTTAGGGTATTGGACAATTTAAAGGACTACACTGTAAAGGCTCTGGTTAATGCTGTTGATCACCTTGGAACTGTAGCTTCCAAGCTTACTGATCTCTTTGATCAACAAAACTCGGACATATCAACTATGGAGCTGAGAGCTTCTTGTGTTAGCCAGGTTACAAACGATCACACAAACACTTATCTGTTGATTTTACCTTTTGTAGACATTCTTCCTTAAGGTTTGTGTATATCTTCTTATCGTCAGCAACTGCTTACATGCCGGACGTATATCGACAAAGAAGGTCTTAGACAGCAACAGCTATTAGCAGTTATCCCATTGCATCACAAGCATTACATTCTACCCAGTAAGAGCTTTTCTATGCCTTTGTTTAGATTCTGGTCATTACTATGGAAATCTCAATCCTTCTTTTTTTGGCTGTTGTTAGATTCCGTTAATAAGCGGGTACACTTTAGTCCTCTGAGACGAACTGACACAAGACAGAATCATTATCAAGCTATATCCCGTCTTCAACCTTCAGGTGCAATGTCCTCATCTTTGAGCTTTGTATACTAGTTATAGTGAAAAATTGAACTGTTAAGTAATGTTTGCTTTGACTCACTTAGATGCACCTGCATCGAAATCACTCTCCTGGCATTTAGGCTCAGAGACCAAGTCTACCCTAAAAGGAACAACCACTGTTGCACCAAGGTGAGCCCACAAAAAGCCTTGGTACTGTTTCACACGTTCTTGATGACTAAGTAACTAACGCATATTTATTGTGCAGCTCCAAAGATTCAAAAGCTTTCACAAAGACATCTGGAGTGTTCCATCTTTTAGGTACGAGAAACAGGGAATTGAAGAAGAATATAAAAAATAGCATTTCTTCCAATACAACCCATAAAGAAGAGACTTGAAACATTTGATAATACATTGAAATTCATGCAGGTGATGAAGAAAACTTAATAAACAAGAAGCCTTTGGCTGGTTCTCAGGTCCCAGGTGTCCCTGCAACATCCACCACCACAAGGCAGACATACGGTGTTGCCCACAAGGTAAAATCTCTGAGAATACATAAAACAAACATCGCACAATTCCGATTAGATTAGTAAGCTATTTTAAATAATATAAGCTCATGGCTTTTGATGATACAAGTTTGTTGTTCCTCAGGATGTTGAGGTTCCTAAACTTATGTCGGCACACAAGTCACTTGACAACCCACGACGAGAGATCATTCAAGCCCCTGTTCGGACCAAAAGTGTTCTATCTGCGTTCTTCGTCAAACAGAAAACTCCAAAGCTCAAAGCTGGTTACGTCTCGTGAAAACATTTCTCGGAAGGAAAATTCAGTATTATACCACGTTTATTTTTCTTTTAACAACCCGCTGTTTCCAATGTAATTATCTTAATCCCCACCTCAATGTTCGAAGTCTAAACAAGACATGATTATGGCCAGCGATTAAAACTAAACATAGATGAAGAATAATGTGTTTCAAAAGGCTTTCACCAAAAAACAAATGAGGCTTTGTGCAAAAGCATTATAAAGATTTCTATTAAGTTATTATTAACTAACTTTGTATCAAACAGACAGCAGATTAACCAACTCAGGGAACAAAAATCGCTTAAGGTATCACAACATTTGATTCATAGCTTAAACCGACACTAACTCAGGCTTCAGAACTTCTCGGAATCCATACGGGTCTCTGTTCAAATATCAGTATCTTGGAGCTGCACCAGAAAAAAACCAGCCAAAGGTTACAAAAAGGGAATTCATATAGGCTAACACCAAAGTACCTTTAGATTTAGATGTCACAGTCAAAAGATACACACCTCCACCAATTGTTGCTTCTGGCAGCCTCTCTACTGAGTACTTGCGCTGCGTCACATACATGATTGGCACACCAGGAATCTGCAAACGAACAAAAGAAAAGTTAACATTTAAAGAATTTCAGCTATTGATATATACATTTTTTCTTTTTTAAAAAAAAGAGCTGTGCCTTATCAAACTATCTTTACCTTTCGAATCCTTCGCTTCAAGTCTCTATCACATGTAGCTACTATGAAGCACTTATGCTGTATATAACAAGAAAAAGAATATCACAGAAATATACGAAAGATAGGATCTATAACCCAAGAACCATGAGAGTAGAGCATCAGTATCTCCTTACAGAGTCTGTATACAAAGTTCAACAAGGTAAGACCGAAGCATTACCTGAGTAACTCTGTCAACGAGACAGTCATCAGCATATGTCCCTTTGTGTACACAAGGTAGTCTTTCAAAGCGAGGATCTTTCGCAATCCTACCAAACTTAACAGTTAAAAATACACGAAATGGAGATGAAAACAATTATACTAAAAAACCCTTTGAAATCTTGAAGGGTTACCTTAGAGCGACACGATACTTCTGACCCAATTTCTCTAGCTCAGCCATGACGCAGTCCGTGATACAAGGAGTGCCTTCAAAACCGAAATGATCAAAGGTCAACAAGAGACTAAAAAAAAAATCTGGCATATCTATCCATAACTAAATAAACCTAGCAAAGTTTAAGTAACTCACATTTTGCGTACAAACAGTCCAACATTCCCTTCACAAGATCAATCTAAAGATACAGAGAAAGAATAAAAACAAGTTAAGAAGGATATCAACTAGAACCAAAACGAGATTCCAATCAGGTCCACGAAGACAATAACACAACAAAGATCGACTATAGCTCTGTGGTAGAGAAACGCAATTGGATATGTACCTTATTCTGGATTGAGAAGTTGATGAAGTTGGTATCCACCAAAACTTGGTAAGGAGGAACCATATTTGTGTTGTGAGAAAAGAACATCCCTGAAGGAACATTCGGGCTGATCCAAACAAAATACAAAAACACAAATCAAAATCTAAATTCTACGGAAGCACAAAAATTACAACTTGACAAAAGTGTTAGCCAAGCTTACACGTTTCTCGGAAGTTCCGTGAGGTCCTTCTTGTTTGGATTCAGAACCTCTTCCTTGTAACTGAAGAAAAACACAGAAGCATTAAGAACCTAAAAAAAAAAATTCCAAATTTGAAGGAAAAAAGAGTCGTTTTTACTTACTGCTTCAAAGCTTTGTGGCTTATCATCTTCTTCATGACAGCAAACTTTTGAGGTTTCTTTGCCCTTCCCATATTTGAAGCTAAGAGTAACAAAAAACCCTAGAAAAAGCAGAGAGAACGGAAAGCTAAATGTGCGATGCGAGTTCCAAATCGGCGGAGGCAGAGAGGTTCAGAAGGTATCAGAGACGGACGCCGATATTGAAGATGAGTTACAAATTTACATATTTAACCCTAAATAAACTCCCAAAGTTTAAGCCCAATAATGAGACCTGTCTCGATTAATAATGGGCCTAGTTTACATGGGCCCATATTAATTCATAAGTAAATCACGTGTTGTTTTGTTAGTTTAAGAAATGGGGAGAAAAATCGAGATGCTTCAATAGTTGTGGCGAGAATGATCTGGAGAGCAGAAGAAAGATCTTTTCCCTCCAAATCTTCTTCGTCTCTTTATAAATTACGAAAATGTCTTCAGGTCTTTTCACTATCCATAGAAGCTTGAATTATCTGAATCAAAAGAAATCAAAGAAAAATTTTGCATTTTTGGTTGGTGGAGAAAGAGAGAGAGAGAGAGATTCGCAGGAACTGAGTCATCGGGAGTTGTGGATCCTTTTGCTGGGTTTTCGTCGTCATTACATATTTTTGTGTAAGCTTCGTTGCTTTTCCTTGTGATCCTTAGTTTAAGGAATATGAGAATCCTAGTTTGCCATTTTATTATTCTGAAGATGTAATTGGTTTAGCTTAACAAATTTCATTTCGGGGATAGAGCTAGCGTCAGTGAATACGGTGGATCTTGATGGCTTGGTTCTTGATCATGTTGCGATTTGATTTCATCGACTTTTGTGTTCAATATTTTTTTTTTTTTCCTGTGTATTTTATTACCTATCCAAATTCCCATAGTATTTTTTTTTTTTATTAACTTATATCAAATTGGGAATTTGCTGCAGCTTTGCTGGGATTGGTCAACTGAATTCGGTCAAGGATGATGCCTATGTACATGAATTCATCACAACCAGACCAGATGAGACCACAAGGACACTATCACCAAATGTTTGGGAATTATCCTCAACATATGACAATGGATGCTTCATCGCCTGCGTCGTCATGTGAACATTGGCCTGCTCCATCACCGTGTTACGGAAGCTGTGTCCATGGAAACTATCCTGCCTACACTCCTTACTGGCCTCCTTGTTATCCCCCACAAGTACCGTACCATACATGTCCCGTGTTCCATTCTCACGCTCCTCCTTATTACATTCAGCAGCCGTTTCCAGTTGGTTATCAGCCTGACAAGGATGTGCCTGGGAAGCATCGATGCACAAACTGTTCTCCCCAAAGGTGTTACCCGAAGAATGACAGAGGCGTTGTAATCGAAGAGCACGAACCGGAGATTGAGAAAGGAGACCACGGAGAGCTTGTTCGTTCAACCAACTGCCCTTATCCCATCATATGGATTCCTCATGAGAATGCTTGGAATCAAGAACATGGAAGCCATGACCAGCCTCCTGCTGAGATTAAAGCTCCTGAGAGTACCAAGGTACAGAAAAGCGAACCTAAGTCTTGGAATGGTTGCTTTCCGTTCGACGAGAACATCATCAAGTCCTTCATAGAAAATCAAGACAGGAGAAAGGTGCAGAATGGTAAAACCGTGGAACTCCCTTTTGATATCAGCAAGCTGAAATCATTATTGCAGGGTCAAGAGGGGAAAGAAGTACAGATCCAGAAGAACAAACAGCCGAGACAACTTCAGTATCCTATCTTTTGGATACCATCTCATGGGCAACAAGAAGATGTTGAAGCTTCTGAGAACAGGGAGCGTGGTCAAGAAGGGAGTAACCTGAAAGGGGACTTCGGGTGCAATGTACCCTTGGATGCGATGAAGAACAGTTCCGTGAGAAATATTTCTGTGGAGAACCATCTACAAGAACCAAAAAATATTCCTGTCAAACTATTAGAAAACCGTCTTCCAGAAACAACAGAGCCTACCAAGAAGATTGCAAAGACAGAGTCAGTTGAGAATGCAAAAAAAGAGCAGGGTTCGTCTCCACCAAAAGCATCTAGATTACCTCCGGTGTGTCTGCGTATTGACCCATTGCCGAAGCGGAAAAATGGTGGTTCCAAATCTCTAAGCCCTCCTAGACGAAAGGAGCAACCCTTGACGACAAAAGAGACCAAGGTCGCATCTCCAATGAGCTCCAAGAAGGCCGAAACAAGGACTGTTCCTGAGGCTTGTAATGTAAAATGTGAAGAGTCAAACAAAGGAAAGAAGATGTCTGAGGGATGCCCAAATTCAGCAGGAACAGAAAGAGAATCAGGTGAAAGTAGCTCAAATCTGCAAGAAGGAACAAACTTTGAGATTGTTAAACCTTGTGAAACTACGGAGAAAATGGAAAAGCCTACAAAGAAGACCTTTGCAGAAGAGGAAGCTGCTCGAATTATCCAATCCAGGTACCGCGGATATGATGTGAGAAGGTGGGAGCCAATAAAGAAATTGAAGGAGATAGCTACTGTCCGCGAGCAGATGGGTGATGTTAAGAAGCATATGCAGGCGCTGGAAGTTTCTACTGATCAGCACAATGAAGGAAAGGAGATTATAGTTTTGGGAGAAATGGTGATGAGCCTCCTACTAAAACTGGATTCTATCCAGGTATGCATGAAAGACTGGTGTTTCGTTGTGTTATCAGTTTCATTGATAGGCCAGTACAGTGTATCCGAGTATATATAATTTGTTGTTCTCTTAAATTGTTGGTAACAGTTTAATAAACTTCTGTGACTTTCCTGCAGGGCTTGCATCCAAGTATCAGAGACTTTAGAAAATCTTTGGCTAGAGAGCTCTCAGACATGCAGGAGAGCCTTGACTCCTTGAAAAAGATCAGTGCGGAGGAAGAGGCTCTAGAGGAACAAGTGGAAATCACCTCCCAGACCAGTGATTGTCCAATGAACTTGGAACACAGTCAGCTTGCAGAAGAGAAAAAAATGGTACATGACTCGAATACAGAGAAGGTTCATCCTCCTCCTCGCGAGGAGCATCCTAAGAGTCTCATGAATATGACAGACGAACAGCTGGTGGCTGAAGCAGAAGAAAGGACCTTAACGAAGGATCCTGAGCCAGCAACTGAAAGAAGCATAAGTGAGTCAGGCTCGACTACCATTCCAGATAAAATTGAAGCGATTGAAGCTGTTCTACCAGTCAATCCATCGTCAGCTGATAGAAATGAATTGACGGTGACGAACATTGAGGAAGACAGGTTAAAGGAGCCCTTGCACGAAATGCCACATGTGGTGGAAACGACTCGTGGTCTGGGTTTTGAAGGCCTAACCGAGGTCTCTGAAATTGAGAATGGAGAGAGAAAAGGAGGAGATGGTTCCGTGTTCCCTTCAGAGAAGGATGTGGAAGTCCCCGAGCTACTTGTTGGAGTGATTGAGGATGAAACACAGGTTCCTTTACAAGATTCATTATCATGTGCTCGTGAAGCGGAAACGACTGCAATAGACCCTGAGGCAGAGAGCCAGGAGGAGACCAAAGTTAACCAGTCGTGCGATCGCTCCAAAGGCATAGGCCAAGAGACGGCTGGGCCACAGGAAGAGGTAGAAGTGAATGAAGAAGAGACATCAGAAGAAACAATAAAGGTGATGGAGGAGAAGCAACGATTCAAGGAAACGATGGAGGCGCTAGCAAAGGCAGGCAGAGAACAACTCGAAATCATATCGAAATTAACCGGTCGGATCGAAAGCCTTGAGAAGAAGCTGTCACAGAGGAAGAGGACTCATATTGGACGTCGTAAACCCAACCGTGGAAAGCAGAGAAACAAACCAATGTCCCTGGTTCCGTAATGTAAACAACAGAAACCTTTGATTCTCTGTTCTCTGTCCCCACATATCCTGTATCCATCTCCATAATTGAGTTTTCCGAAAAATTGTCCATCTGTTTGTTCTCGGCTTGTGAATCGAAAATTCTCAAGAGTCCCATTTCATTATTAACTTCAATTTACGGGAAAGATCCCGTAGTCTTTAGCTATGCCATTTTTTCATTAATCTCTCCGTATCCTGATAAACAGCGATCCACTCTCTTGAGATTTTTCCCCTGTCTAATCTCACAACTCTTCAAAATTCTAAAGATTCATCTGTGACGACGCATTTCTTCGGTATTCAGCAGAAAGAAAGGTGTGCGGTAGATTTTGTCTGTCTCTCTTTTTTTTTTAGAGTAGGCCCATAGAAGAATTGACCCATTAGTTGGTGGATTATGTCTTGCGTCTCTTTTTTGTGATTAGGCCCATATAATAATTGGCCCATTATTATTTTGGGGTCCAACTCTTTGCCCATTAGTAGTTCTTTTCAACTGTTCATATTGTTCATTTTATTTTATTATATAAAAATTAATTTTTGTTAACTGTTTTGATATTTCGGTCAAACAAAAAAAACGTTAATTATTTTATTTAGTGTTCGTTCATATTGTTAAATGTTCCATTATTTAATTTAAACAAAAAAAGTTGATAGCGCACCTGACACCACAACAAGTGGTTGGTTAAAAAAAAAAAAACTGTCGTCATCCACGCCCATGATTATAAGTTATGAGTTATTGACTAAATGAGTTTATACTTTAATACTATAGCCTATAGGGAGAGGGGACCATAATCCATACCTTACCTAGTAAATTTTTATCATGTTTACTTTTGTTACATTTACTAACCTTTAAAATTTGTTTTGTGAGAAAGGCAATGAGTATGCGGCTCGTGCGGACATAGTCATCCTTTTCATGTTCGTTTTCTCCTCTTTTTTTCTCATCGTCGTCACGTTTCTTTGTCTATTAGCCGTCAAATTCTAAAGTCTCTTGTGGTCCCGTTTCACGCCATTTACACTCATCTCCATGGTCCTTATGTGTTTTCTCATTACTACTACAAGTCTACAATAACAACAAAACTAACATGTGCAAAGGAAAGAGTGATTAATGATCTAATCTCATTCTCACCCAATCTATGGTTAAAAGAAAGGGAAAGAAAATCGGAAATGGTGTCAGTGCTGGTCATTATGTTATCGGAGCTCTAGTCTTGCATTAAAAGGACCAGGAATCTTGAAGCATGGTCATTTCTGATACGAATGATTTTTATTTTAATATTTTTTCTTAAAACACACATTTCTCCTCATAATGACTCTATTAGCCTACTCTCAATCCCCAAATTTTACTTGCATACCAAATAATAGTTTTAAGGATGTTGTCATCCGCCTAATTTGCTGCTAATCTGTCAAAATTTAAGTTTTTTTTCGAATTAGAAATTCATTTCCATCTTCTTATAAAGGTTTGCGTTTGATATATATACGTTCGGAATGTCTAAACCATCACTCATTTCAAAAATGTTTGAAGTGTCTGTGTTTCAAACACCAGGAAATAAAAAACGAAGGTCTAAACAGTTCGTTTCAAATTTAAACAATTTTTTTTTATCTATATGGAACTAGAAACTATCAATTTATTTATCACGACCACAAAAAAAAAACTATTATCACAATTGTATATTACTACAGGTGCAACTGCGACCAACCGATCTTTTTACCGCATCACTGTAATAATCTAGCATTTATTTCAACTACTGAATGATTCCGATCCAAATTCGAAAACGAATTTATCGGAGAAAAAGGTTATGCCGAAAAGAAAAAAATAGTAAAAAAGTGAAAAAGATCTCACACGCATACTCTGTCTCTGACGCGGGAGTATCTGAAAGAGAAGATATAGTTCCTCTTGCAGTAAATAAAAATCTATGGCTTTTTTGGGAAGAAGAAACGTCAGAGTTAACTCGTAAACTCTGTCGGGAGAGAGTAATAGACTAGCGACATTAAAGTGTTAAATAATAGTATAGTTTTATATGAATTAAGCATACGATAAACAGACAATACGATACCCCAAAGAAAAATCACTGTTTTTGGGTTTAAGTATAGATGAGAAAGAAAGATCCGACATTTTTAAGGATAAGCCATTGTGATCTGTAAATTTTTAAGGTTAAGAAGATAGAAAGAGAGAGTCGAGACATAACCGTAGGCTCCAACAAGAGACAACAAAAAGATCCCGATTTTCAATTAGCCTCAGAAATTCTACAATCCTCCATTTTAAACTCCCCGGAGTCATTTAAAGGGTTTAAGAGAGAGGGAGGGAGAGAGAGAGGGAAACAGAGAGAGAGGAAAACAGAGAGAGAGAGAGAGTAAGAGAGATGGAGAGAGACTGTGAAGAAGGAGAAACGGAGAAAAAGCTGAGACGAAGTTTCTTGGTGGGTAATTACAGTAAAAGAGCTGGTCCTTCTACTCCTCCACCCACGTGGCGGCTCGAGCTTTCACCGCCGCGAGTCGGAGCTTCCTCCGCCGTAGTCGAGACGAAGGAGTTTTTAATGAATTCGGAGGTTTCCGTCCGGAAATTGTGCGCCGATTTGTGGGAAACAGAACGATTCCGGCCGCCGATTGGGCTGCGGCGATGTCGACGACGTGATTCGGTTGGGGAATCATCTAGTGGTAGTCAGGTGAACAATTTTTTTTTTTTAATTCGCTTAAATGTTTTTGGCGGGTTTATGTAGGGTTTTAGTTTTCTTAATTAGTGGGTGGGTCGTTAACTTGTGCTCTTTATGGAAAGTTATTTCACCGGAAAATTTCTCATTTTAGCACAAATTCTCATCTTCGTAAAGCTGTGATCTTTATGGCGAGTCTAGAGGTTATTCCACCGGAAATTTCTCATCTTTGCACAAATTCCACCGGACAAAACCCTCATAGTCTCAAAGTTATATGATCTTGTTTTGATGGTTCTAAGAGGAAATTCTACCGGAAAATCTCGTCTCTGTACAATTTTCACCAAAAAAATATCGTGGTCGTCGTAAAGTTGTGACCTTTGAGATGGGTCTACTAGACTAGAGCCCATGTTTTGTTTTTGTTTAGAAATTGAACGTTTTGTGGAAGAAATAAATCATGTTTATATACTGAATTTTGATTTGCAGCCACCAAGTAGAGGTAGCTTGAGGAGACATATCGCAGCACCGCTTGATTCGACTGATGATCATAGACTGGTACAGAGAAATGGGGACTTGTTGCAACCAATCTCTCCTTCGAGCTTCAGCAACAATTCCTTGGAGGTGAAAAAAAACATGTCTTCATTTAGTCTAAAACACTTTCACTATTATTGTCTTTGACCTGGATTTTGGTGTGTTTTTGGCTCAATCTATCTGTAGGTTGTGGTGCGTAAGCCAGCGTTAAGTCAGAATGGTTCTTCGATGGCTAAGTCTGGTAGCTATGGTTTGGGTTCCTCTACAAATCTTCTCAAGGTGCTAAACCGGATATGGAGTCTGGAAGAACAGAATACTGCTAATATGTCTTTGGTCAAAGCTCTAAAGATGGAGTTGGACGAATGTAGAGCCGAGATCAAGGATGTGCAGCATCGGGAGAAGCAGAGGCCAATATGGAAGAAAAAGGAGGAAGAAGATGAGCTAAAGAATGTGTTTCGATCGATAAAGAAGGAGTTAGATGACGAGAAGGAGGTTAGAAAGAAGTCGGAGAGTATGCACCGGAAGCTAACACGAGAGCTTTGTGAAGCAAAGCATTGTTTAACAAAAGCTTTGAAAGATCTTGAAAAAGAGAGAAAGGAACGTGCTGTTGTGGAAAATCTCTGCGATAAGTTTGCTAAAGCGGTTAAAGATTACGAAGATAAGTTGAGACGGATTGGGAATAAGTCTCCGATGAGTGATAAAGTAATTGTTCATATTGCAGAAGTGTGGAATGATCAGAGGTTGCAAATGAAGCTAGAGGAAGGTGATAAAGAGGATTTAACATCTTCGCACAAACTCGGTTTCAATACTGAATTATATCTGCGAGCTAAGGAGAAGCAAAGATCACATTCAAGTAAAGAAAGTGACTTAAGGGCAAAACCAGATGATTCAGGTTCTATGCATCAAAGGGTTTGCCTGAAGGAACTCGAAAAGCGAACAAGAAGAGATAACAAGCTGCAGCTTAAGAGGTCGGATCAAGTTCTTAATCTATCTATGTCTTCGGAAGGAGACAAGATTCATCCAGAGACTAGTCCAAGGACTGTTGATGATCATGAGAGTTTCTCGAGGATTCTTCCGAGGAATGTGAATGTGAATGTGATGGAGATAGAGAAAAGTCGTAGTCTGAAGGATAAGCTGATGGAAGCTCGTGTAGAGAGTCGACGTTTACGTTCTTTGAAACCAAAGTCGAGTCCGAGTCATCTCGTTCAAGCTTGAGTCATTTGATCAAAGTCCTGTCTTATGTTGGAAAGTAAATTCTCTGGTTTGTGCATGCTTGTTTGAAAATAATATACATTATTAACTAACATTTGGCACGCTGAATTTACATGGTAACAGTAATAACAATAAATGCAAATCCGGTCAACTTTTCTGTCATTTTTAAATGGAAATAAAATCTAATGTATATAAGTACATATGTATATTTTCCATTTTGTGATATTTTTAAAAGAAATAGACTTTTTTATTGACTAGTTAAAAAAAATAAGTCTTCGGTTATTCAAAATTTAATTGTGTTCATTTCATAATACGCTTATTAATGGTAAATAGACAAGTCAAAGATGTGTTGGTAATTGAGTTTGACCAACCTCCATCAGCCTTATGGATTATCTTCAATATCATGAAGTGTGTGGTTGGTTAAGTACGGTTGTGTTTGTACATTTCATCAACGTTCAATTATCTATATAGTCATAATGCAAATAATAACTAGAATTACAACTAAGGGGGGTCCATATTCTCTCTATCTCCTTTTCCGTATTTATTAAAAGAGAATCTAGCCAATAAGATTATGTTCAGTCTCTAATTAATGACAATATTTACTGCCATTTTTTTTTCTTTGATGCTTTTCCATTTTTATAACATTTTTTCCCATAATCAACCCTAGACGCAGGACTAGGGTTTGTGCTGTTTCATCTATATAAACCAATCTTCTTCTTCACATCATTTAGCTTCATCATTCCATCACAATCTTACAATTCTTTCAGATTCTTTTCTTTCGTTTTGTACTAGAAAACTACCAAACTCTTTTTGTACACCAGTTTTTAAGTGTAAAAAAAGGAGCTCCCTTCGTCCAAAACGAGGAGGACAAGATCAAAGGAAAGAAAATAGAAATCTAATTGTTCATGGATTCCTCGAATTAAGTGCTTGAGCTTGAAGAAGGCGCACTTTTAAGAGGTTTGCATGGCCTCTTAGATCTTCTCTCCTTCTCTTCTCTTCGTTTGGATTGAAGGGAGCTCCTTTTCCTATTCTATTGTCTCTAAATTTACATAATGCACAACATATATTTAATCTAAAGCAGGCTACTTAGTTTTAGTCGTAATATTGTATCTTTTCAGTTTTGAGTTTTTGGTTTTAATATGTTTGGCATTAAGCATTGATCCTGGCGGACTTATTAACAGGGTTTTATTTTTTTTGAAAAAAAAAAATTCAAACAACTTGGTTTTCTCTAATGATTCCTTATTTCGGTTTGATTTGTTCATTTGTAATTTTGTTTAGCTGTTTATGGTTGATGCTTGCATCGAAACGCCATTTTTCATATAGGAAGATGTCGTGTGCCAAATTCAAATATGATATGAATGCTGTTTATTATATTTATTATTAATATGTATTAATTCTTAAAGCAGGTAGTTTTATTTATACATTCAGAACTCTACGTAGTTCCATTAAGCTGTGATTGTTGTTAATCACTAATGTAAGTATGTTTTTATTATGCAACAGAGTAGAATATTTGTCGTGTTTCAGTATCCTTTGCTTTCATTCAATTTTTTTTTTTTTAAAAATTATAGTGTTTGGTTAATAAGCATGGTATAGTTTCGTCTTAATAAAAAAACTACGTGGTCCCTTTTTTTTTCTCTGTCAACCGGTATTCAATTATTTTCATGTGTTTCTTTTCCTATTACAAGCCGACTAAAAATAGGGTATAAATTCAATCAGATTGAAACCATCTCGATTGTCTTGTCTGAGAATATATATTGTCAACTGTTTTATTAAAGACTCCTAACTTTTATAGATAATGAAGTAGTTGGTTTGATTGTAGTGTGTACATTAATTCGTTTAGTTCATATGATTACTTCCTAGTGCCAAAATACAATAAATTGGTTTGTCAAGTCATGTGTTGGCCTACCGAAAGAGAGTACCGGTGTCTATAAAATCCAATCATCATATTATTTAATTATAGTTCACTCGGTCAAAATCTAATTAACAAAGGCTGTAAAAACGTTGAACTAGGTGATTTAATTAAAAAGAAACTTCAAATTTGACTCTTGACTCCCAACAAATAATTAACGAGATTAGGCATTGCCGTTCGTTGGACGAGTTGCCTTCTTGCCAACTTTGACGCTTTCCAACCAATTGCAATCCTAATTTTGCATATTACCAGAGCAACCCTAAAAAATTATAAAATTTTATATTTTTAGAAAAGTAAATTTTTAGATCGGACAATTCAAAACTAGTGTGGTGTTTCTTTTATTTGAGTTTTGTTTGTTTCAAATATAGTGGACATATAAAACATGGAAAAACAATACAAAACTTAAAACCAAACATTAATTTAAATAAAATATTAAACTTTATTCATATCTCAGAAAATTGAAATTGCAAAGAAAGCCACAAGTCGAAATTAAAACAAAACTAAACAAGATATAGTTTTATTTCCTTAAAAACCGAAAAAGGAACAAAAATACATTCAAAACACTTCTACCCTCATTTATTTGGTGTTAATCACAAAAGACCAAACCGGTTTTTAGTTTACCACTAACGAACATATAAGTTACATTAGCCTTTCATTATTTATGAATTCGTCACCGCCCTGTAACTGTAACCATTCAACTTTACCAGCTCTGTTCAGCTCTTCTCATCCATTTTTGGAGGGGAGGAGTTCACAGAAAAATAAAAAAAATAAAAACTTCTTTTAGGGTAAGTTTGTTATTTCGTTCCTCGAAAATCCATTTTTCGAATTCGACCCCTTTTCCCGATTCATCCGCTCGGTTTTCGCCGGAGAGAAGACGGAAAGAGGGTTTCGAAAAAGGAGGATGAGAGGTTCCAATAACACCGATCTGTTTGACCCTAAGACGGAGATGGATTCCAATTTCTCTCGCCATAGTTCGTCCTCCGAAGGTGATTTCGGATTCGCTTTCAATGACAGTAACTTCTCCGACCGTTTGCTCCGGATCGAGATCATGGGTGGGCCTTCGGATTCTAGGTCTGATGGTGAAGGCTGTACGAGTATCGCCGATTGGGCTCGTCATCGCAAGAGGAGAAGAGAGGATAACAAGAAGGACAATTGTGGTGCGTTTTATCCTCTTTACGATTTATGATGATTGCGAAATAGGACTCGTAATGTTTTTTTGTTTTTGTTATATACAATTGTTCGTCTGCTTGGTTTAAGGGTTTTGGCTTTCGGTTTCTCCTCTCAGGTCATATGAGTTTTATTGTTTAAGAAACTTAATATGATTTGCATTTGCTGTTACGGTTTCAGACATTGTGGGATGTGCTGAAGAGCAGATTATAACCGATAACAACCAACCTGATATGGATGATTGTCCTGGTGGTGATAATCTTGACGACGAAAGAGAGGCAATGGTGGAAGAGCCTTTATCAGGTACTTGAGCGCTCCAGTCATTCTAAGTCTCACAGCGATCATTTTTGTTATACTTTTATAAATATTCCAAAAACAGCTGTTTTTCTTTAAGGTAACTTTGTCTAAAACTTTCTAGATTTGTTAATTGGGTTTAGGTGAAGACGATGCATCTAGTGAACCAAACTGGGGAATGGACCATTCTACTGTTGTTAGAGTTAAAGAGCTGCATATTAGCTCTCCTATCTTAGCTGCAAAAAGCCCTTTTTTCTACAAGGTATTGATCTTCCTTGTATATCCTCATTGTTTGCTCATCTTTATCTTGCAACGTAACAATATCCTTTGCTTCTTGTTGTAGCTGTTCTCCAATGGAATGAGGGAATCAGAACAACGACATGTAACCCTTAGAATTAATGCACAAGGTACGTCAATTCAAGTCAAGCTTTTGCTTCATTTCTGCCCTTTTTTTTCTCAGTCTCGTCTTGTTGGCTCCAACTCTCTGTTAGCTTTCTTATTGTTTTGGATTCTTTATTCCTTTTTTGCAAAATCATTCCTTTTTGTAACTGTGAGTTACTTTCTTTGATTTGCATATATTGTATGGCATTTGTATAGTCGGTGTTAAGAGTCCACAATTTTGATTTGGCATACTCTGCTTTTATGTGTATGGCAGAGGAAGGTGCGTTGATGGAGCTTTTAAACTTTATGTATAGCAACTCTCTAACGGTCACAACAGCACCTGCTTTATTAGATGTGCTCATGGCTGCTGACAAGTTTGAGGTTGCTTCCTGCATGAGGTATTGCAGTAGACTTCTCCGCAATATGCCTATGACCCCCGATTCCGCTTTGCTCTATCTCGAGCTTCCCTCCAGTGTTTTAATGGCCGAAGCAGTCCAACCTCTAACCGATGCAGCAAAGCAGTTCCTTGCCTCCCGCTACAAGGATATTACCAAGTAAGATTCCGATGGTTTTTGAAATGCATTTTTTACTCGAGTGTTGTAAAGTTCTTGTATTCATGTGTTACCATTACTGTACAGGTTTCAGGAGGAGGTTATGGCCTTACCGTTGGCTGGAATAGAGGCGATACTATCGAGTGATGATCTCCAAATTGCTTCTGAGGACGCTGTTTATGATTTTGTGTTGAAATGGGCAAGGGGACAGTACAGTTCATTGGAAGAACGTAGAGAGATTCTGGGATCACGCCTTGCTCTCTACATCCGCTTCCCATACATGACGTGCCGAAAACTGAAAAAGGTACTAACTTGCAGTGACTTTGAGCATGAAGTAGCATCAAAGCAAGTTCTGGAAGCGCTCTTCTTCAAAGCAGAAGCCCCTCACAGGCAACGCATTCTAGCCGCCGAAGGATCAGACTCCATGAACCGCCGTTTCATAGAGAGGGCTTACAAATACAGACCTGTAAAAGTCGTCGAGTTTGAGCTTCCTCGCCCGCAATGTGTAGTGTACCTGGACTTGAAACGAGAGGAGTGCGCGGGATTATTCCCTTCGGGGAGAGTCTATTCTCAGGCATTCCACTTAGGAGGTCAAGGCTTCTTCCTCTCGGCGCACTGCAACATGGACCAGCAAAGCTCGTTCCACTGCTTTGGGCTATTCCTTGGGATGCAAGAGAAAGGAGCTGTGAGTTTTGGTGTGGACTACGAATTCGCGGCTAGGGAGAAAGAGAAGGGTTTCGTAAGCAAATACAGAGGGAACTACACATTCACTGGTGGCAAAGCGGTTGGTTACAGAAACCTTTTCGGGTGTCCTTGGACTTCCTTTATCGCCGACGACAGTCAGTACTTCATCAATGGCATTCTCCATCTCCGAGCTGAGCTCACCATTAAACGATCCACAGACCTCTGAACAATTTTTCTCTACTCCCTTTGTCAAATCTCCATACATCTCCTATATATTAATTGAGAAGAACTGATTAAAAAAAAAAAACCTTACCCTAACATGTTATTTACAATTGTGTCATACTTATGTGTCAAAGCTTTTCAAGACAAACAAAAAAATAGTTTAACTTACTAGACTGATCACAATCATGCCATTCACACTAAACTGATACATAATCTTAGTTATATTTTGTCATACAAATTTTTGCATATTCAAATTAAAATCCATAACCACTTTCATTTTCATATCCAAAATTAAATGAGTCATTTTTGCTGATAGTATAAATGTGGAGTAACTATTAGTCCAAAATAGTTACACCATTACTCCTAGGTTTTGGGCCCTACTTGAAGGGTATAAACAAATTGGGCCTAGCCTATGAGTTTCAGCCTTAACATATGGGCTCAGGGACTTACTAACTACTGTCACTTCGTAAATATTCGAAACGATGTCGTAATAATAAAGCCAATTGCTTAGTGTGAACGAGAAACATAAGGCTTTCTATATTCAAAGTTCAAACAAAGCGGCCATAGTGGTAGGTCTAGTAAATAGTGAAAAGTCATAAGGGTAGTTTCGAGAAATCAGGTAGAGGATTCGACTATAGAGTCCTCGTCACTTGCGGGCCCACATAAATGCGTAAGTAAGACTATCCGCTTACCAGACGGACACGTCATTTTGTCGGGGACACGTTTGAACCGTTCGATTTAAATCTTCTTTTCTGACTTCGGCCCCACGTAGCAATAATATTTCTTTTTTTTTCCACTACAATATTGATTGCCACGTCAGATGATTCGAGTTATTCTATAGACACACGTTTTTTTTTCTCAAACTCGAGGCGGCGTTAACGTAGCAGCACCATCGACTTTCCAAAACTAGATCAACGGTCCATATCGACATCTGACGTGGTCTTTCACCTTCGCTTACGTCCCCGAAAACCTCAGTAGAATTATACTACTAGTATAGTATTATGCTCTGGTCTCTGTGTACTGTATATATATATATATAAAGTAAGAGCCCAGACAATATTTTCTACATCACCCAATCAATAAAAGCCACGTAGATGCATCCATGTGAGTCGCATTTCGTAATGTAGGGACCACTTCGTGGAAGGAAGCTCTTTTACGCCAACGCAAAAGCCTCGTTGGCCCCTTGTAACCTCTACTAGAACTAAACTGGCGTGGCTTGTTTTTCATCCGTTGGATCATTTGCTTATCCCAGCCGTTGGATTCGATGCAGTTGTCGGAATTGTGGGTCCTGATTTCTTTCTTTTAATTTATAAAATAAAGAAGAAGAAAAAGAAAGTGTTTTTATTTTGCTCTTCCATGATGGCAGAAACGTGGCCATACACGTTGGTCGTCTCGTGGCACTTTTGGAAGATCTGAATCGTGGTGAAGATGGACGGTCACGATCTTTAGTTTGGTGGACAGAAGTGCTCTCCGCGTCGATGATACATAATAGTCAAACGTCTTTTCTCCTTGTGTATAATTTTACCTCAACGTCCATTCCCTCTTTAGATTTCTAATATATTCGAAGTATGATCGAATTCGTTATAAACAAGCCGAATTTAGTAAAATTTAATCTGTTTCTTGCCATAGTAAATATTTCGAACGCTCCTTCTTTTTTCAAAGAACAAGGTAATTCTTTTAAAAGTTTTGCAAATATGGTATAACTAAAAAAAATGATCGATTTATTTTTGTGATAGAATGTTGGAACTTTTCTATTTTGTTCGTAAATGTATCTACCAGAATTCACAGATCAGCAGGTTATTTATAAAAACAGAAATTTAAAACTTTCAAGTTGCGAAAGACTTGAGTGATGTGATGACGGATTTGAAGAGGATTTATACACTATGGTAAAATATCGAATTTTAAATCCTTTTTAACTAAAAAAAAAAGACGGGAAATTAAACTGACGGACCACGTAACTCACATGACGGATGCGTAGAGCGACTCTAAATCGAACACGTGTACGGTAAAGATACATGAGAAGGGAAACACAAATGGCTGGCACGAAACTCCATGAGCCAACTCATCAAACACCACCGTAGTTTACGCTGTAATATATTCGTATGACACGTGTCTGATGACGTGGTCATCGTCTTGGCGCTCCATTTTCTCTCTCTCCCTCAAAAAAAAGAACTCTTTTTCGCTCGCTCTGGTTTTTTTAGAGAGAGAAAAAGGAGAGAGAGATATATATTGGAATGCGTTTGATTTCTCTTTAGGTTTCGAATTTACGACTTGGATTTCTGAGGTAGCTAGCAAGAGCTTTCCGGATTTTTGGAGGTAATTGCAAAACTTAAGACTGTACAAATCGATTATCTGGTCGAAGAATTTTCATTTAGAGATTCATCATTCAATGGTCTTCTTAGTTTTGGGAGAATTCATAGGATTTGCGTAAGATTTTGTCTTTTAATTTTTCATCTTGTTTTTTTAAAATAGTTTTCATTTGCATTTAGTTTGAATTCAATTAAAATTTGGAAGGTTTGAATTTTAAACATAAACAGCAAAAGCGGTGAGAAGAACAGAGCTTTTTTTTTATGCATGTGACTGGTTTCAGGGGTAAAATTGTCCTATAGTATCCACTTTGTTGATTCCCTTTGCCTTCCTGAAAGTTTTCTGAACATAGGATGGAAAGTAGAAAGACGTTTCTAACCCTATCTTTCTCTTTCTCACACTACATGTGTTTTTGTTTTTCTCCGCAGAAAGAGCCCATTGTTGTTGAGTTGGAAACTTTAAACCATGGGAAACAGCGAGGAACCAAAGCCTACCAAATCGGACAAACCATCTTCACCTGCGGTATGTTGAACAGTTCCAAACCATAATCCTAAGTCAATGTTCTTGTCTTGGAGTCAACTTAACGTTCTTGTTTCTTAAATCTCTTGATGTTTTGACAGGATCAAACAAATGTTCATGTCTACCCTGATTGGGCAGCTATGCAGGTTAGTCTTTTTTATTACTGTCTCTCTCCACTTATCTAATAGTACCATGATGATGATGATGATTCATGATGTGGGTGATGTTTCTTGCTAGGCTTATTATGGTCCAAGAGTTGCCATGCCTCCTTATTACAATTCAGCTATGGCTGCATCTGGTCATCCTCCTCCTCCTCCTCCTTACATGTGGAATCCTCAGGTATTTAAAACTAATTGTTTTGATGCATATATACATATATGGTATGGTAAAGATTAAGAAGACGATTCATCAGTGTTTTTGGTCTGGAATCTTTTAGCATATGATGTCACCATATGGAACACACTATGCAACTGTTTACCCGCATGGAGGAGGAGTTTACGCTCATCCCGGAATTCACATGGTAAATAATTTGGTTGCTAAAACAAATCCTCCTTGAACTTTTATCCGAAGATCAAGTGACTTAGACTTCAAATTTTTTTTGTTATATTTTGTATTAGGGATCACAGCCTCAAGGTCAAAAGGGTCAACCTTTAACAAGTGTAAGTAGTAGAGCTAGTTTGATTCATCATGGATTGTGAAATGGTTTTGATGGGTTCTTTTATAAACGGCAGCCGGGGACGCATATGAGCATCGACGACACTCCTACTAAATCTACGGGCAACACAGACAATGGCCTGATGAAGAAGCTTAAAGAATTTGATGGCCTTGCTATGTCTCTAGGAAATGGGAATGCTGAAAATAATGCCGATGGACATAAGCGCTCACATAACAGCTCTGAAATGGAAGGTTCTACTGATGCAAGTGATGGGAATACCACTGGGGTAATGTCTCTCTCTCTCGTACTCATTTGTTTCCATACGCATTGCACGGAAACCAAAACCGGAAAATGGTCTAAAAGCGTAAACCTTTTTGTATATTTGCAGGCAGATGAACCGAAACTTAAAAGAAGTCGAGAGGGAACTCCAACAAAAGGTATTAAGCCTTTTGCACGTCCCAACTAAAGTGTTAAAATCCGCTGTGAATGTTTGGATTTTTCATTCGGGTATTTTTTGTTTTTGGCAGATGGGAAGCATTTGGTTCAATCTTGCTCATTTCGTTCTGTTTCTCCGTCAAGTGGTGATAACGGCGTACAACCTGTTCAAGGAGCTGGAGCTATAGTCTCTCCTGGTGTAAGTGCAAATTCCAACCCCTTGATGTCACAATCTTTAGCCATGGTTCCTCCTGAAACTTGGCTTCAGGTACCCCAATGTGACTTTTTTTTTTTTTTTTTTTATCTTCCCGATTTTCGAGTTAGTTTGTTCCATTTCCCCTCACAATGTGAGTATCCATTTTTTTTTCCCTCCAGAACGAGAGAGAACTGAAACGGGAGCGAAGAAAACAGTCTAATCGAGAATCTGCTAGAAGGTCAAGATTAAGGAAACAGGTTTGGCTAATAAAAACAGAAAATGAAGCTCTTTTTTGATATTCCTTTTACTGGTGTGAATCTCATTAAAAAGGTTTACTAATAGTTTCGTATTGCCTTGTTTTAAAGGCCGAGACCGAAGAACTTGCTCGGAAAGTCGAAGCCTTGACAGCCGAAAACATGGCATTAAGATCTGAACTGAACCAGCTTAATGAGAAATCTGATAAACTAAGAGGAGCAAATGCAACCTTGCTGGTAAGTAAGCATTAAGACTAACCCAGTGATCCTTCACAATTCTCAATCCACGTTTATCATTTTTTTGAAATATGGCGGGTTTTTTGTTGGGTTTGCAGGACAAGCTGAAAAGTTCCGAACCCGAAAACAGAGTCACCGAGAATATGTTGTCTAGAGTTAAGAACTCAGGAACAGGAGACAAGAACAAGAACCAAGGAGACAATGATTCTAACTCTAACAACAAATTGCATCAACTGCTCGATACGAAGCCTCGACGAGGTGGTGCAGTAGCTGCGGGCTAACTAATGTTCGATCATAAGTCATAACACACACTCGGGTATCAATTTCTACTTAATTTGTCAACATAAACAACAAGTGTCGCTAATTCCAGAAAACTTGATAAATAGTATAGAAGATGATTGATCTATAAGTTTTCAGAGAGAGAGATAAGCTTTCCCTCCTGATGAAAATTTGGTGGTGTTTGTTAATATAGAGAGGTTTTTTGTTTTGTTTTGATATTGTGATATATATGGCTTCCTTTGTTGCATTTTTAGACCTGATGTAATTTTATGAGAGAGATCTCTCGGATCGGTGTTGCTGTTTTGCGAAGCTTTTTTTTTCTTAGGGAAAGTGTCGTGTACGATCCATCTTATTTTTCTTCCTCTATTACTCCTTGTTCAAAAAAAAAAAGTCGCCATTGAAAATCTGCAATGGTACTTGAAAATAGACTACACTTTCGGAACTTTGTAAAAGGGAACTCCACAGGTTGATTGACTTGTAACTGAAAACTTGGGAAATTCAGAAGTTAAAAGTTTCGGCCGAATTTCGTGCTTGATGTTGTTTTGGTCATCAAAGCATTGGTAATACGTGAAAACTCATCTAGTTACAGCTGATGCATCTTGCCCACCTCCAAGCACAACCTAAGAGTGAGGAAAAAACATTCATAAAGAGAACATCATGACTTCGTTGATTTTGGGAATTAGATTCTGAATTTCATGAAGCATACTAGTATATACATGGTTGAGAAGTGGAGACATGGGCCACATATGTCTTAAGATGCGTCAGCGTTCTCATGTCCCACAACTGAAACAAGAACATTCTATCAGAATATTTGTCTCTATATATGTATATACTCTTGCAACAAAAGATAGAAGAGAAAGAAAGGAACACATAACATGCCTTTGCAGCTTTGTCTAGTGAATCTGTAATGAAATGAGAATTATCAGCTGCTTTACAGAGCGATGTAATGGTCTTCTTGTGATCCTAGCAACAATGTGGATAAATATAAGCCAATGTTTCATATGCACCTGGATTCCTATGGATTTCTCATCTTTATTGGCAACGAGACCATTCTCAGAGAAACAATAATCATAGTCGTTGGTGACTGCAAAAAAAATAAATAAATGAAAACTCAAAATAAGTTAGGCAAACAGATGGAGACTCAGAAGGCAGGAAGGTAGAGCCAGATCTTGATTTCCCTCTTAAGAAAATCAGATAAAAACTAAGTCTTGGGGTAAATCAATCACATTTCAGAATTTGAACCAACTAATGATATGTAGCAATCCCGAATTCCCAATCTACAGACTTAAATGGATCTATAGTCAACAAATTTAAGCAGAGAATGTCTCTATAGTCTCCAGTTCTAAAAGGATCCTATCTAACAAAGAACAGAACAAAAGTGACCATTCTCATGAAAGTAGGAAAAGCTCCTTTCTTTAATCAAATTTAAAGTCTATTGATGTCTCTTATAATCTAGTTTCATTTGCTGATTTGGGGATGAAATCACAGAATTATATATTTTTTAATCAATCACGAATGAAATTAAATTGGTGTTGTATTGTTTATTTGTTTCAAAACTAAAATAAAAGAGGCGTTGAATTGATGAGTAACAAAAAAAAATATCTTGAGGAATAAGTTGATGAGTTTGCATGGTCTTCTTATGTAGACAGACACTTTGAACTGAACCAGATTTATGTGTTCATGTAACTCAGACATTTTTTTGTGGTTCCTTATAGTAAGTATATATCTCTCTGTTCATGTGTATGTCTGAAAATAAGTGTGGGAAGCAGAGAAAAAGGAGGGACCACGTCAGCATAAGAAAAACGGCGCGCGTGAGACTCGGCCTCAGACGAATTCTCATCCTCACGTCTCACCATTCTTCCATTTGCGACAACACAACACAAACTTTCTCTCTCTATCTCTCTCTCTCTCTCAATCTCCATTTCAAGATTGTCTCTGTTTTGATTCGATTTTCAGGAGATCGCCAAAGATTTCTCCTCAGGAGATCGTCAAAAAGAAAGAAAGAGAGGTGAAATCAAGAAAGAGAAATGGCAGATTATCCGATGCAACCGGTTCTTCAAAAACCACCAGGTTACAGAGATCCAAACATGGCGACTCCTCCGCCACCACCACCACCACTCGCAGCCAGACCGCAACACCCGATGAGAAAAACCGCCGGGATGCCTTCTTCTTTCCGACCAAAGAAGAAACGCAGAGGATGTTGTCGTTTCTTTTGTTGTTGCCTCTGCATTACTCTCGTCCTCTTCATCTTCCTCCTCTTGGTCGGAACCGCCGTTTTCTACCTCTGGTTCGATCCTAAGCTCCCAACCTTCAGCCTCGCTTCTTTCCGTCTCGACGGTTTCAAACTCTCCGACGATCCCGACGGCGCGCTGCTCTCCGCCACCGCCGTCGCTCGCGTTGAGATGAGGAACCCGAACACGAAACTCGTGTTCTACTACGGAAACACCGACGTGGAGATGAGCGTTCGATCGGGTAACGACGAGACCGGAATGGGAGAGACGACGATCAATGGATTCCGGCAAGGTCCGAAGAACTCGACGAGCGTGAAAGTGGAGACGTCGGTGAAGAGCCAGCTCGTGGAGAGAGGATTAGCCAAGAGACTCGCGGCCAAATTTCAGAGCAAAGATTTGGTGATCAATGTTGTTGCCAAGACGAAAGTTGGATTAGGTGTCTCAGGGATTAAGATCGGAATGCTCGCCGTTAATTTGAGATGCGGCGGCGTTAGCTTGAATAAGCTTGATACTGATTCACCTAAATGCATCCTCAATACACTCAAATGGTAAGAAAGATTAGCAACATTTTGAGATTGCTTTTGTTGGTGTTAATTAAATCGGAAAGTTTTAATCTTTATGTTTACTTAATGATGACATTGTCCTCATAATTGCAGGGTTAATATACAGTAACGAAAAAGGAAGAACTTGGGGATTTTGCTAAAAGGGTGGTGATCTAACGTTCGTATGAATGAATATCTGTAACTATACTGTAGATACTATATACTCTGTTTTTGTTTCCTTTTTCATATTCTATTTTTTCGTGTCTGTATATTTAATTTTAATTATTTCCAAACATGTTATTAATTATCTTGTTTTTCATGTGTGATAGATTTTTTCATGCAGTTGATGACAAATACAATGAGGTTTATGTGATAGATTTTTCATGTGTGAAAGAATTTTTTTTTTCTTTTGTGTAATGCCGTAATCGTTTAAGTGTGAGTTGTTATTTGGGAGGAAAACATAATGTAATGTGATGAGTATTTATCTTAAGAATATTTTCGACATTTTTTGTGTATGAAATGGTGGAAAATGTTGTTTTTATCTCTTGGAACTCATTTATATAATCCCATCAGCTTCATGTACCAGGCTGTGTCACGTACATGTTTATAGACATATTTAATATAATATATTCTGTATATAAGAAAATAGTATATCTATTATTTGATTTATATCTCTACTATTTAATTTTTTATTCTTTTATTAGCAATATAAGTTTTAAATTGTGCCTCGGTGAAAGGCCCCCAAAATCAGTTTGATTTCCTAGTTTTAACACTGTTTCTATGTTAAGGACCTTCCGGCACCCTAAAAGTAGTGAACGATAAAACACTCTATCAGTTAATTTTCAACAAGTAGTTTTCTGGTTTAATTGAATCATGCTGCTCCGTTTACTATATTTAATAACAACGATAAACAGGTACCTAACTAATTCACACAACTACAAAAAAAATAGCTGGCTTAAGAATTTTTTTTCAGCATTGGAAGAAGAAGTCCGAAATAAAGCATTGAATCTAGTGGAAGGTTATCAACAAATGTTGATGGCCATCAAAACAACAAACGAAGAAAGAGGTTGTTGATCTCTTTTTTCAAATTAGTTTGAAAATTTTTAGATTCAATTTTAGTATTTTTTTGTCCGACTCAATTTCATCTTAATTTAGTGGACTTATATAGATTCAGTTTAGCCAAATCACTACTTTAGTGACTTGTAAATGTGATTTACAATCTAAACTGATCACATATAAGTATCCTACTACAAAAAAATTGGCTGTTTATTTAAGTGTTCACGATGTTTTTTCCCCTCAACTAAACTAATACTAAAGGAATTGAAGAGGCATATATAAGACAGAACAAACAAATAAAAAAAAAAACCATCTCGTTTCCTACCTACACCAACTCATACCTAGCCAGAAAGAAAATAATAATTATATCTAACAAAAAATGTCATGCCTCAACGAGTATATCGTGCAATTTCGTTTGTTATCGCTTTGTCTACAAGGTTGTTCTTGTGGCCCTAATTGATATTTTCTTTTCTCTCTTCTTTTCTATAAATAGGTTAATCACATTGCAATTTGCTCAGCATATACAGATATACTACATAGTTAATTGTTGATTTACATTACTCCACATATATTTGTTCCACTACGAATCTGTTAATTTTATTAAAATTATATATTCATGCGAAACTGTTATATTAAACAAAAACTTTCATGCATCATACGAAAGATTTGTCCCACTACAAAAATGAGGGGTTTTTCCGTCGAATTAGTTACGACGATTTTTAGTCGTCGTAAATTTACGACGACGTTACATCGTATTTACGACGATTAAAATTTTCGTCGTAAATTCGACGTAAAAAATAACCTCGTAAAATCGTCGTAACGTTACGACGATATTACGACGAATGAAGAACGAATTTTAATTCGTCGTAATGTTGTCGTAATATTTACATCGATAATACGACTAATTGTCCTCTATCTTGTAATTGACGTAAAATCAATGTAAATGTGATGTTGATGAAGACTAATTAAATATGTTGACATTTAATTGCATGTTTCAATGTAACATTTGTCAAATTTAAATTTTTGAAAAATTAAAGCCAATTAATGAAAATAAAATTTGTTAAAGTGTTGACTTGGACATATGTTGACTTTTACGACGTATTTACGATGATTATTTAGAAATCGTCGTAACTTCGTCGTAAAATGCAAACCCTAAACCATATAGGGTTTAGCTTTTCCAACTTACAGAATGGTTTTTGGGTACATTTTACTAAGTAAACTAATATATTATATAAGGGTCTGTAGTATAAGGTTCAGGAACTTGTAGATATGTGGTTTTTATTACGACGAATTTACGACGAATGGGTGAAATCGTCGTAAATTCGTCGTAATATACCATCGAGATTACGACGAAATGTAACCCCTAAATCTTATAATCAATCTTTTCTGGGGTTCAGGGGAGATTTTGATGAAGAGAATGATATGGCTTACCATCTCATAAGGTAAAACAAATTTCTAAACAAAAAAACAAAAAATTCAAAATTTGACATATATGTGTTTATCAAATAATCTTAAGGTGTTATATACATTTACACAAGATGTAAGGATTTATCTTAGATCTTACTAAATTCTTCATTAAGTTACGTAAACATGCTAGAAAGTTATACAGACCACATTTATCATGAATAGACATGCTTGTATGTGCTTATGGATGTTTCAATTTTTGAATTTCATCAGTTTTGGTATAATTTGTCGTAAATTCGTCGTAATATTACGACGAATTTACGACGAATGGGTGAAAACACAGCCGTCTTAATTTTTATGATTTATACGATTCGTCGTAAAATCGTCGTAACATTACGACGATTTTACGACGAATAACACGGATCATCGTAAAATCGTCGCAAAGCCCAGATACAGCCACGTGTGTTTGTCTTATTTGCTTTCTTGTACGGTGGGACCATTACGACGAATTTACGACGAATCCGTCGTAAATTCGTCGTAATATTTACGTCGAATTTACGACGAAAATAAATTCTATATATAGGACCGCACCCCTTCCCCATTTCGTCGCTCATCTCTCCTTTCTCTCTCTCTGCTTTCTCCTCCCTTGCATTCCTCCTCCTTTTGACGCAAAAAAACAAAAAAGGTAATTTTTTTTTAATTACTTAAAATTATAATATTATTAAATAGTTTAGAAATTCAAACGGTTTAGGTCGGGAATTAGTTTAGGCTCGGAATTTGTTAAATTTAGGATCGGAATTTAGATTTAGGATCGTAATTAAAAATTAATTGTAATTAATGAGCAAGTGGCCCAGAAGCAGGAGCTCACCGAGATACACGATCTCTTCGACATCGTTGCGGAAGCGGTTCCGCAGTTGGCCACCGCAATCCGAGCGAGGCAACAGTGAGCACGAAGGGTTTTTGAGACCGGTGGTACTTCCGGTACTGGACCATCGGACCAGCAGACGCAGGGTCAGTCTTCGGCTCCGGTAGTGCAGACAGGAAACGACGGTCCAGCAGCGACGGACGGCCAAGACGGAGAGCCTCCTCGTGACGTCGATCTCAACCTCGACGATTACGAAATCACATTGTAGATTAGGTTTTTTTGTAAAAAACAATTTGTATTAAATTTTTTCTTTTTTTATAAATTATTTTCGAATTTAAATTTCAATTAAAATTGTTTTTTTTTCTATTTTCAATTTTTTATTATTTTAAAAATTCATTAATTAAATTAAAATCGAATTAAATAATTAATTTATAAATCGACGTAAATTCGTCGTAAATTTACGTCGATCTAACGTCGAATTATTAACGACGAATTTACGTCGAATATGTTTACGTCGGATTTACGTCGAAACTTTACGACGAATTAACATCGACAATTAAAAAATTAGTTTCCTTTAATTGAAATTGTTCGTCTCCTAATCGTTGTAAAATCGATGTAATTTTACATCGATTTTACGTCGTTCTTATGATGGACTTCTTTCGTTGTACTTTCGTTGGAAACTTTACGTCGCGTTTACGACGAATAGTTTCCGACGATTTTACGACGATTTTCCCGGGTTGGTAATTTTACGACGATTTTACGACGATTTCGGTTTTACGACGATTGTTTTACAATGATTTTTTTTTCGTCGTTAATTCGACGTAAATGCTATTTTACGTTGATTTTACGTCGATATCTCCCGACGTAAAACCCAATCTTTCTTGTAGTGTCGAGGTTCTATTATAACAACTTACTAAAGAAGTCTGTGTCCACTTAAAATTGGGGAAAATATACACAATAACCTTATTTGGCCAAAACTTCAGTAAAATGAAACTTAAGAAGTCAAATAAAAACTATGGTAGATAATTTTTTTATTCGATGTTCAATTGTAAGAACATGTACATAGTTTTTAAATGCTAAATACTACCATTAATAAGAAGATTAATTATCATAGTAAGACAATTTTTAAATTGTGTTTTCCCTTTTTCGTGTCCAGTGTTAAAGCTGAGTATAACTATAATAAGGAAACAAAATATTATAGGGCTGCAATCACTTGATCTCCAAGCAAACAGATAATAATTTCGCTAAACTAAAATAATCACAGTAGACATTCGAATTAAGACGAGATGATAATAACAAAAACGTTCTTTCCCAAAGTTCTTAAAAACATTCCAATTACATATCATTACCATAAAATTCATAATTATCGTAGTGGGTCAAAAGCAGTGAGTGACAGCACTGTGACCAGTCTCACGTGACAGAAGGCCCATTTCTACTCACTGGCGCGTGAACATTAATTGCGCGTGGGTATGCCAGAGTTGCTTGTAGAACAAGCTATGAAGCACTTAAGACCAGAACCGGAGCTCTTATACCGAACTATGCTACGTGTCAGAATTTTAGCTCTCTAATTAGAGAAGCGGCTAATCGTTTGAAGGGCCACTAATTTCCCTCTAAATTGCTACTTAATTTTTTTAAAGAGAAAACACCATTATGATATATAGTCCAATAAAATTTGAATAAAATAATCAAATCTCGGAAATTCCGTAGTAATAACAAATTTCGAAAATGAAGAAGGAAAGTAATAAAAAGCAAAACAAAAAAGGGAATAATATTTTTTTAAATTGGAAAAAGCAATAAATGGGGCGTGACTATATTTAAGAAGATGTTACTAAGAAACGTTTCGTAGCCTTTTTGACTCGCATTTTCTCTCTTATTGCATAACTGTTAAATCCAAAAAATTTACAGTCTCTCCCCCTTTCGTTCGTATTCTTCTCCCGTAACAAAGAGAAATGAAAAGCCGAGAGACAAAGGTAAAGTACACGGTTCACCGGAAAATCACCTCCATAACGGAAAAACCCTTAACCGGTTTCCCCAAAGTTGTCAAAATCACAGTGACTGACCCATGTGCCACCGATTCCTCCAGCGACGAAGAAAACGACAAAACGATGGCTCCGGCGACGACGACTAGGGTGAAGCGTTACGTGGAAGAGATTAGGTTCTGCGATGAGGACGGAGCTGCGAAACGCGAAAAACCGGCGAGAAAAGCGACGAACAAGGCGGCGGAGAACGGTGGTGATGGATCGGTGAAGCCAGTGAAGTATAGAGGAGTGAGGCAGCGACCATGGGGGAAATACGCGGCGGAGATTCGTGATCCTAAGACTCGTACTCGAATCTGGCTCGGCACGTTTGCGACGGCGGAGGAAGCTGCCATGGGTTACGACAGAGCCGCGATTCAACTCAAAGGTCATAACGCGCAGACGAATTTTCTCACTCCTCCTTCTAATCTCCCGGAAACGCCGGTAATCGACCTTGAAACTGTCTCCGGTTGCGATTCGGCGAGAGAATCTCTAACCAACCTCTGTTCTCCGACTTCTGTTCTCCGGTTTAATAGCAACGAAGAAACAGAGTACATAATAGAGCCCGTCAAACTCGAGTCAAAGGCCGTCGACGAAGAAACTCCGGCGAGTTCTTCGTTATCTGATCCGTTTTTCTTGCCTGATCTGTTTCGCGCCGGAGACTGTTTCTGGGATTCCGAAATTGCCCCTGACCCTTTGTTTCTAGACGAAATCCAGTCGTTACAGACCAACAACACAATCACTAGTAAGGATCCGACTTTGTCGGAGAGCTTTCCGCTAAGCGTGATCGGAGATTTAAGCTCTTGTTCATGGGATGTCGATGAGTTTTTCCAAGATCATTTGTTGGATTGAGAGTAAGTTCCTTCTCCGGAATTTTCTTTTTTCGGGTTTGTTTTTTTCGAGTGATGAGTGTTTTGATGATAACGACGGGGATGTATCTGGGCCGTCCGTTTTTTCTCTCCCCGTTCGACGAACGTGGACGGCTCCGATCTGCTGAAGAAGAAGCGTAACGGATTCTTATTTTCATATTGGGAATTTTAATTTATTATTGCGAGTAAATATAGTATTAGATTTTAAGATGTGAGAGTGAGAGTTTTTTTAGAGGTTTTTAAATTGGGGATTTTGGGAGGTTTCTTTGTTGTTTTCATTTATCTCCGAGTCTGTCACTATGCAAGGAAGCAGTATATTGACCGTATATTATTAAAATGTAAATCTTTGTCTTTTGTTCCTTCGCATGAATCTCACAAGTGGGGTTTGTGTGACATGTCACATTTTCTTATACATGCATAAAAACATCAAATTAATATCATATCCTAACAAACAAAATATCTATAAACTAAATTATTTTAAACCAAGAAATCCGAAAATATCTTACCTCCTAACTATGGTATGAATTCAAACCAAATCATCTTAAACATCTGATTTAAAGTGTAAACGTCCATCTTGTTGTTTTTTTATGTTTTTTCCTTTTTCTTTCTTTGTTTTTTTTTTGGCACTAAGTGTCAGAGCAACAATGCCCATTAATGTGAAGAACCAACTCATAGAATCATATGCAACCCTACAAATTGTCTCCACTTTAACAACCTTCTCAATTTCAAAGACAATTTATTACTACACTCTTTTTCTTCTTCTTGTATCCAAAATTTGGTCGATGTCTAAGCAAATGGTTAGCTGATTCGATACAAACAGCAAAGCTATACAATACAAAGTTTGGTATACATCAATTTAAAAGGAGAAAAGCAATGTCTTCTTAGTTACTTATTAAATGGGTCAGTTTCTTGTACATGGGAGTGACTGTGAAGTATCTAGCACCTAAAGTACCAACAATTTATCTTCTCAATTCTACACCTTAAACAGTTGGTTGCTTAGCAATGCAAAGTAGTGATAAAAAATAAAAATCTGCAAAACAGAATAAAAGTATCGCTAAATAAATGCAAAATTAGATTTTCAAAGGGATTAGTCGTTTTATTATTTCATTAATTACTTACGAACCAAAACAAACCAGATTGATTATGTATTGAGTTTGATATATATTCAACGGTGGGCTAGCAACAATAAAAAAAAAACAAACAAAAAAAGAAGCAATGAAACAGTTACGAGAAGAGAAAGACAATGTATTGGGACATGAACTTAGATGTCTTTCTGTCAAAAAACCACAGAACTCAGTTTTGGCAAATGAAAATTTAAAGGAAAGAGTCTTCCAATGAAGATGAAGACTTCTCATTATCTTGTCGTTGACCTTACTCCCCCACTATATTTTTTTTTTTCTAATTTATCAATCTTTTCGATTACGACGTTTCCTAATATTATTACTCATATTACAGAAATGTCTTGTGGAATTGCCATTTATTTTACTCACATGGTTTCAACCTGTCACTCTCTGTCTACTTTTGGAAATGTTTTAAATTTGATTGTAGACTTTTCTTGCATTTCTACTAACTATGTTTCTTTCTTCAACATTATTATTTTTCTAGTTGTGAACAGAATGTAAATCAAATCGACAAGCAGTAAGAGTATACTTGCAAAAAACAAAAACAAATAAACACTTATGTGAATAAACTGCAAATAGAGAAAGGGGTCTGTGATGTTTTAGAAATAAAAAAAGGACCATTCACCAAAAACAGCAATAACAACAGTATTGGTCCGTTCGAGGTTTAATTTGACCAATTGAGTAGATTTGTCTCTTTCGTGTTTTAAAAATTGGACCAGACCATTTTGGCTTCCCGAAGTGCGACTAGTCTGCGCAAACCCTCTTTTTAAGCCAGAAGCAATGTTCCATTCACCTATTTTTATTTATTCATTTATTTTAACTTAACTATAAAATACTCAATTGTTTACTGTTGTGGTTGAAAGCCAACCATTTTTTCTTTTGAGTATAGTGCATTTCTGTATAATCTGGTAAATTTTCGCTTTTGTTTATGTTATTTGAAATCTATCAATCCAATGCGTAATGCGGAAAGATTAGAAATTAAAAAACACTAAAGTACTGTATGTTTGTTTGAAAATCATACTATAAAACAGATAACTTTGGATGTGCGTATAATACGCAATCCATAATCACGAGTGTGACAAAGATTGATGACTAACCCATATGGAATCACAATGAAGATTTATAAAACAAAACAAAATATTCATTTTCTAAGATCTACTTGATTAAGACATACAAATGTTATAGCAAAAATAAAATAAAACATAAACAACCCTTTGGTTGTTAAAAAAAAAAAAACTTCGTGCAAAGTATTTTGGATCATTTAATGCGTGTGGCAGGAGATGCTCTACAAACAAATTTTTAAAATGACGTCGAACACACCAAAAAAAATTTTAAAACAATATCGACCAATCGTTTTTCCGCAGTAAAATTCAAAAGACTTTAGTTTGTAATATCTCACATAGATGAAAATTAAAAAAAAAAGTGGGTCTAAGCCCATGTAGCGAACCACGTTGCAAAAGGTAATGTCTTTTTCAGACAGAGGTTGGCCCAAATCAAATTGAGAGGTGAGACAAGTTGCCTACAAAATCTCTGTACCAATGAGATTATTATGGGTCCCATAAGATCTTTAAGTGAAACCATCTCGAAACGCTTTACACTTTCTGTGTTAATTTAGATATAAATCGGTTTAACACCGGTTATCTTGTAAATGCAAAGCTGGTAAATTTATAGTTATGAATTATCAATTGGTAGAGATAAAGGTTTGTCTTCTGTGCTTTGGCATTGTGTTGTCAATTTAGGCAACAAGGTAAAGAACAAAGAGTAAAAGCAAAAGTATTGTTTTTTTCACAGCCTTGATCACTTAAATCATGTACCATTCAAAATTACAAATCTGGAACGAGTTCGATAAGATTTTCCTCTCCTCAACTAACACCATAAAACGCATGAAAGTTGTTGCAAATATAACTGACAAAAAAAAACCTTTCTATATAGAGAGATGAGATAATTATGAATTAGTACACAGGAAAACAAAAACCGACTAGAGAGGTGTAGATTATGGTTAGGCTATTTTTTTCTCTCTTGTTTCGACTGTGAAATTCAAAACAAGTCAAATGCATATATTGAATATGGACAGAGTTGTGAGTTTTTGAGTACATCTTTCCGGATCTGACCGGCATTTAAAATCTTGTGTACACGTTGAACTTATTCCAAACCGGGTTCAGTATGACACACAAATTCTGGAACAAGTTGAGCCAACTTTTTTTGGACGAATATGAGCCAATCGTGTTGGATACATCAAATATATCACAATTAATATTATTATTCATAAAAAAACGTAGAGCTAAGCTAGCCATGTCGTTCTTGTTAGAAGAGAAGAACTAAGTCAATGATGAATGATTTTGTCTTAAATATCCCAAATCCCATAATGTGTGTGTGTTTTTCTTGTTAATAACAGTAACAATAACAGTGTTAGGTGGTAATAGTACCTGGTTGGTGATGAAATGCTCATAGAGGATATTGGGTCAATAGAAAGGTAACACTTAGCACTATTGATTTCGCCAGCTTGGTTCTCATTCTTGCCTTCACAAACATATAGACCCTCCTCTTGTTGATGAATAGACTGTTTTCCAAAAACTTTAATATATACTGTAAAATGAATTTGGTCTAAATCTGACAAAACGGCACCGAGTTTACATCAATAAACTCATACTATTTTACCGGGCTAAATCACCGAGGATAAGAAGGTGAGGCCCATTCGAGGCCCATAATGTGAACAAAACTCAGTCCAAAACGGCAAGCAGTGCGGTCAAAACGGCGGCGTGTATTTGTTTCATTGTCTGGTTGATTTACGGCAACGTCGCCGCAGCGAATCATGTTCAGAATAATTTTCTTTCCTTTTTTAGATTCCCCATGCAAATTTTGGAAAGCCCTAGAATACGAGCCATCCGCAATCATATTAACGTCGACGTGAAAAATCCTGGCGTAGCTGCAGAATCTGATTGCTCAGGGATTGAAATTGAATTGAATCTGCTCGAGAATTTGTTTTCCTGATGGTGGCAGAAGCAAGATCGGATTCAAAATCGAAACCGATGCCGAATGAGAATCTGAGATTCGGAGAAAGGGCTTTGTCAGCCGGCGGCGCCGCTTTTATATCGGCGGTCATAGTTAATCCTCTCGACGTTGTTAAGGTTCGAGAAAGAAACAACAATTCTCCACTTTGGTCTGTTTTTTTCGGATTGCGAAAACCCGATTGAGCTTTGTTTTTTGTGGTTTTGTTAATAAGCAGACGAGATTACAAGCGCAGGCTGCAGGAGTTCCGTATCAAGGCTCATGTCGTCTAGGTTGTTTCGAATCGAATTCCACGGTATGTTTGATAGCTGAGCTGATTTTCTTAGAAAGCCCTCTTAGCTTTGAAACGGATTTTTGATTGCTGAATCCATCTTCTTTAGCTTAGATTTCATCTGTTTATTGTAGGTGGTACCGGAATTGAGAGGTAATCCTCCAGGGATGTGTCGAATTACTGGCTCTGCATCTGTATGCTCAGATAATCAGTACAAGGGAACACTTGATGTGTTTTACAAAATTATCCGCCAGGTTAGAACATTTGCCTTGTCTGGTCATCGTGGATATCGAAACTAAGATGGTAAAAAAAAAGGTTGCAGATTGTCATGCTTATTGTTCTTTGAAATTCATAATTTATCATCTTGCTGACTTCTGGTTTAGTGTTGGTGTAATGCAATTTATCTTAAAAAATTGTAACATGATCTAGTAAATACCTCAGCTGAGGATTGTTTCTAGTTCACTATTTACTCATTGGTAGAGTTTCACAGGAACAACTTTATGCAGGAAGGGTTTTCTAGGCTTTGGAGAGGTACAAACGCTAGTTTAGCCTTGGCCGTTCCAACCGTGAGTCCTTTTTTCAAAGAATGTTTCATCTTACGGTTCTCTTTAGTAAAATCCGTTTGCTTCTGCAACCTATTGATCATTGGGACGTCTTCTTTGAATATGCTGCTAGGTTGGGATCTACATGCCTTGTTATGATTATTTCCGCAATGTACTTGAGGATTTCACGGCAGAGAAGTCTCCATCTTTGACACCTTATGTCCCACTAGTTGCCGGGACAATAGCACGCTCCTTAGCTTGTATCTCTTGTTATCCTGTTGAGCTGGCAAGGACACGGATGCAGGTAATCCCAAGGGTTTGAGCACTCGTTATTGCCCAGTTACTTTAATGAAAGCCTACCTTATTTCATTAGGTGTTAAACTATAAATCAGTCGAGTATCTAGCCACTCTATAATAGTCCAATCCAGCTGAAAATTTATCTGTGAAGAGAGATCGACAAAGAACCAATGGACACACTGATTCTTTTATTTCACTAACAGGCATTTAAGGGAACTCATAGAGATGTGAAATTGCCTGGCGTTTGGAAGACATTAGTTGATGCCGTCAATCCAGTCAAGGGCTCAAATAATGGACAAAATTACAGGATGTTATGGACTGGTCTTGGTGCTCAACTTGCTCGGGATGTTCCATTCTCTGCAATCTGCTGGTCGATACTTGAGCCCGTGAGCAATCTATCTCTGAAAAAAAAACATCTACAATTCTTCCACCATTGTGTCTTGCTATTGTTGTGCTGGTCCTCACGACTGTTTCATTATGACTTCAGACCCGGAGAAGCATTCTCTCGTTCATGGGTGAAAAACCAAGGGCAGGTAGTATAATAGGTGCAAACTTTACTGCTGGTTTTGTTGCTGGTGCGGTTGCTGCTGCAGCTACTTGCCCACTAGATGTTGCAAAGACTCGGCGTCAAATAGAGGTAAGAATACCTAACTAACTTCTTCTTCCATATTTCCCTTGTATTGCTCTACAGATTAGAGTTCATCACCAGGTTTTAGATAGCTGCATTAAGTAAGTCCGGGTTCTTAAACCAGATAGCATTTTAAACTTTTTGTTTGGTTTTTGCAGAAGAATGCAGATAGAGCCATGAGAATGACCACAAGAGAAACATTGGCAGAGATTTGGAGGTATGAACTAGCAAAAAGAGATCCATTTAGACAACTTCCTTTTTGTAATAAGAAAGTTCGAAACGTAAGATCCATGTTTGGTTTAGGGACGGAGGAATGAGAGGGATGTTTAGTGGAGCAGCGGCTCGAGTGGGACGGGCAGGACCATCTGTAGCCATTGTGGTTTCCTTTTACGAAGTGGTCAAGTACGGACTACACCACCTTCACAAACAGTAACACTTTTTGTTACTACAAAAGTTACGTTTTGATGCCAAAGCTAAAGAACTCTTCCGCAGCTAACTCAATAAGAAGCACCTTTCAAGAACAGTGACATTAGAAATTTCAGCTTTTCCCATTTTCTTTTAAGTTGAATAGTAGTATTATTTATTTTTCAACACGAGATTCTTATCGGAGGAATATAATAACTCCATGGTCAAGGGTATGTATTAAAGTAACATGTGAGTTGGCATAAATAATCCCGTGATTTCATAGGATTTCTGCTATTTATCATGTGCAATTGTATCTTATTTATTTGTTTATATATATTATTTCTCTATATTTTCATTTGAGATTTATTTTTATTACCCAGTTAGATAGAAGTGTAATATTCATAGTTTTTTTGTAACAATTGACAATGGTAATGTAAATAATAATTTTCAACATGAATTATTCAAAAGAATCGATTATAACGGCAAGAAATTTCTATATTTCATATTTTGTTTTTGAAATTTTAAATTTCTAGATTTCATATTTTGATTTTGAGATTGTCAGATTTCTGTGGGAGGCCAAATTTGAACAATGACCGGAATTTTTCCCATTCCAGAGTTCATAATAATTGTTAAAAATTTATGGTATTTCATTTCATTCAAGCTTATAAACAAACATCTCATGAATTATATATGAATAAATTAATTAAGGAACAATAAGAGTGATGGAAAACAAATAGAATAGTGATCATTCTCCAGAAATCGAAATCACAATCGAGACAAGGCACAAATCATGAGCAAATTAATAGCCAGACTGAGAATTTATCCACAAAAATAAAAGGCAAATTGAAACTAGAACTTGGGAAATGAATAAAAATTTGCTGAAGAGAAATATCAGAAGAAGCTGTAAGAAGAAGAAGCATCAAGAGGATGAATTAGGTAAGTGAGGACTAGCGCCACCACCATTAGCAAATACGCTATCCCTTGATCTATCGATGTCCCTGCGAAACCAAAACCATATTCGACTGTCAATTAACCACAGGTTACGGTTACATCGATCGATGATATATGATTTTGAGATACATTTGAGATCCATTGTTTTCCAGATTTCACGTGAAATGTGGAGAAAACTCAGGATTCAGATCTGTATGGAGAGATAGAAAGAAAAAGGGAATGTGAATATCGCGGAGGATAGAAGATGATACTTACCATCGCTGGTGGGAGCAGGAGCAGGAGCTAGGGATTGAGCGCTGGCGAGAGACGAAATGACGGCGAAAACAAAAGTGAATAACGCGAAACCGGCAACGGAAATCCTAGACGCCATCTCTCTGTGGACGAAATAGAAGATCCTCGGGAAAATCGTGGGCTCTGCAGGTAAAAATTCCGGCGAGAGTATCTGCAGAGACGATGACGAGAGACGGAGGAGAGAGAAAACCCTATGAGGATGAAGAAGTGAGGAGACGACTTGTTAAGGTGCTCTTATAGTTGAAGGCCGGTTAAAGGTTACCGGTTATAACCGGTAATTCACCCGGTCAAATCTATTTACCAGTCAGCTAAATAATTCAAGAAGCATGATTTTCCTGGAATTCTCTTTATTTTATTTTTCTTTATTGACCCTTCTTCCTTCCTCGATTGTTCTTTTTCCAGTTTTCTTGTCAAAATTGACATTGATATGTTTCTAGATAAAGTTGATTTTTAGTTAAATGGAAACATATTTCACTAATTTACATTTCAAAGGAAAAAAAAACATCACATATATTACTGTCAAGGGCTTACAGCTTACTTAAGGACTGAATCCTTTTCTTCTTTTAGATATTCCCCCAACTTGGTTAATGAACTATTTGTATTGTCCTATCATATTATAAATTAATAAATTAGCTGTTAAAGAAAAATATCACTGCCAAGTGATTGAAATGAAATTGAATTTTATAATTTTAAAGAAAACAGGATTTTTTTTTTAAAAAAAAAGCTTTATATCTCTAAAACAACAAAAATTTCGTGATAAAAAAAAACAAAAATTCTTTAATTGAAATTGGCGGCTAGTTTAGTAACGTTACAGAAAGGCCATGTGATGTGATTATCTCTTTCTTACCAAAAAAAAAAAAAAAAATTTGCTACGATTTTGTTAAATAAGAAGAAAAACAAAACTTTTGGGATGTAATGGTGGGGCTGACAGACTGGCAGCCAAACTGGACTTATTCGTTACTATTCTCTCATCCTTTTTTTTTTTTTCCTATTTTACGATATTCAATTATTTTATATAATTACGCAATGTGAATTTCTTTTGTTAATTGTTTAACGGCTAGTAGGTGTTAATCAGCGTGATTATCGGTTAATCCGGCAAGATTTAGATTTCTGAAAAATTATTTTCGTATCTGACAATCTGACATGTGGTTTCAGAAGAAAAACAATATATATATATATATATATATTTTTTTTTTTTTTGATGGTGTATAACCTAAACTTTGTTGTTTTGGTGTTACGTAGAGTGTTTATACGCTTTAATGTTTTTGACACATTTACGGTAATAGTTCAATGACGTGGTTTAGTGAGTTTGTTTGGTAATTTTATTATCAATCAAATAATAGAAACATATGATTATGATTACTATTTATATCACTTAAGTATAATTTTGATTGAATTCTGTAAAATGTTTGGTTAAAAATTACTGTTTAATCTCGACAAAAAACTAGTGTTTGATCCAGTAATTTTGTGTTCAAAATTAATTGTTATGACCACGATATAAGTTATTTCTAGTTTCACCTCTAGGCTCTAACTATGCTGACTTATTTAATATTTTGGAGTACATCGGTTGTTGAATATACGACAGCATGAATAATATGTTGTATTTATAATTGTTATTTAATCATTGGTGTAATCTTTATTAGGTGGCTATTTCACAAACTAGTGAGAGGAATTAGCCGTTGGATCGGTTATATCAATCATTTTATGTTTCAGAATTTTATAATAACATTACTGGAACATGCAAGTTGCAGTTGGAATTGGAAATAATGCAGGGTTACCTTTTTAAAATTTGGAAATCGTAAAATGTTCTTTTGTTTTTAACATCTCGTAAAATGTTCTAAATTTGGAAATAATGTATATTTTACAGGAGTAATTAAACAAACAAAAGTTGGATATCTTGCAATAATTCAATTAATGGTTTAGAATTTATGTAAATCCAGAAGGGAAGATATACACATGTGATGCAAATAGCTAAATGACTCTTGCTCTCTTACATCTTCAATAAATTTTCCAATTGTATATTAATTATATGGAATATATTCGTAATCCTAGAACAATATATATCAAAAGATCAGAGAGAGATGAACCAAGTGAATTTAATTAGTAGTTATAATTTTATAAAATAACCGATACTTACATCAAGCTTTACTTGGCAAAATTTTCGTACGTCCTAAATTAATTATTTAAGAACAATTTTAAAGCTTGGTATAATATTCTTTGGTTAAAGAAAGAAATTAGAGATTAGTACAAAGAGCCTGAAAATAGAGGGACAATGAAAAGGATGGAGTAATGGGCTTGTTGAAGCAACCATGTGCCCTGAGAATCCAACTGGCCTCTTTTGGTTCCAATTCCATTGTCAATGTTTTGTCAAGTATTGAAAATTCTATTAGCAATATATTGATAACCAATTATCTTTCGTATTTTACAAGATGATAACATATTATCAGAAAATGTTATTTGACACAACAGAGACTATAGAACTGTTGGTGCCATGAACAAATATCCAGAAAATTGATATTTTGCCAAGTCACTGATTATTTAATGTAGTTTGGAATCCAGAAAAGAAAAAAGTGTTTGCCCAGACTTGTTACAACTTACAAGGGGGAATATTCAAAAGACGATTACCTGGCAGATGTGAAAGATGACTTGCAAGAGATAACGTTTTGATTTTGTTTAACATTGTTTATTTTTAAACCCAACAGGAGAGAGTGATTTTTGAATTTTTTTTACTACTTTTTATCTGATTATTTTTCTCTGTAATTTATATTTTGCTAACCAGTTTTATGACTTCGTAGTGATAGTTTTATACTCTGTTTTGAATGAAATATAAAACTCATGGGATCAATGACGAAAGCCATCCAACCCCACCCAATTAACCCATGTGCCCCTCATCAACGCCACATTCTAGTACACTTGTTATTCTAGGGACTTGATCACACTTAACAACATCGTATGCACATGGGGATGAAATCACACGTAAACGCGTTTCTCTCAGCTTTCTACATTGAAAATACTTTTACAAGTTCATGAAGTGCCTTACGGTTTGTATAATCTAAACTCAGGAAATGTTATACAAAAGTGTCGGCTGGCCTTGTTGCGAATCTTTTGAATAGAAACTACTGCAACAAAAGAAGACAAAACTCACACTTGGTAGTGTGTGTCATTAACTTTAGGGAAAAAAAATATCCCAGTTGGTTAATTAGTGGAATGAATGAATTTTTCCAAATTGTATTACTATTTTATATCTTGTGTCGTTTACTTGCTGTAACCTTGTAATCTACTATATAAAGCCATGTTAGTTTAGTAGGAAATGCAAGACCTCATTTTCCATTATTTCTCTTTTGTTCCCTTTTCTACTCTCGATTCATCATATTCTCTACAACTTTGTTCTATTATTAGTATTAGTGTATTTCCTTATAAAATCCAAACCGCACCTACAAAGGTGCGAACGAAACTAGTAGATCCCCATTGACAACCTTAAAAAAAAAACAAAAGATTTCTGATCCTGATTTCGGATAATATGTTCAAGGCTCAAGTAGTGCTGCGTCGAGCTGCACGGGTAAGCGCTGCTAACGTGCGCCACGATTCTTAGTTTATGAATTGCTTCCTTGCGCCATCTTTTTTAATCAACGGCCCATTTAGGTGCGTTTTTGGGCCGCTAATGGTACAGCGATACAAAAGTAGAGCTTTACTAAAACTATTGAAAATCAATCGAAATTCTTTTTTTTTTTTTGACGACCAATCGAAATTCTTTATATATTTAATTTTCATAAGAACTAAACATAAACTAAAACCATAAACCTTGGATGCTTGTTAGAAAAGAAATTGTGAAAAATGCAGACGAGAAGTAGCCATCAGTGAAAAATATTTTCAACTGGTAAATAATAATCAGAGACTTCTTTTCTCTCTATTTACCTCTAAGAGTGAATCTTTAACAACAATTACATAATCAAGCTCACTTGTACAGTTATATACCCTCTCCTCATTACACATTGATGCCGACCTTGTGCAAGACCAAATCTGGATCACTTCCAAAGAATCTGAGAACTTTATCTCAATTTATATCATATATAGAATTACACGAAGAAGAATCAAATATTATCACAGACACAGACAACTTTCTTGATTCAATCTCTCCAAGATTCGTAACCCTTTTTTTCCCTACGTTTCCAACTTGTCATGGTCATCTATCATCATAGTTTCCAGGACAAACTTTGCTTCTTCAAGTCAAATTGTTGTCCTCGATTCAGACTCATAGATCAGCTTTTGAGATTAGTCCATAGAACGTACTTACTCAAAGAGTCCAGTGCCCAGTGTCAAACCAGTTTAAGCAGCTTCATGTTTCCAGTAGAATTTGCAGCTACAAGCATATTCGATTTCTTCCTCCAACATACGCTTGACACAAACTGCCCGTTGTCATCAAAGTATTCGTTTCCAGAAATCGGATCCACCGATCCAAACTTGTATGAAGTCATTGGCATCGGTAAGGACCTATAGTAACTATATACCTGCGAAGCAAAATCCAAGTAAATAAGGATATTTATCAGTTATAATTACTATCATCGAGGCAAACTACGTGGAATTGACCTATACCCATGAGAATCTTATAAAGGCTGAAACTTTGTGTGGTGATCTTTTTAATAAATACCTCATTGGTCTCGGAACCACATGCTATGTATCCATCCAAGACTGATAATCCGACAAAATTCTGTATTCAGGTAAAAGATTAGACATCAGAACTAACTGATGATATTGGATGACAAGATTAGATAGAATTTTATTTTTCTTTTGGGACTTACCTTCTGATTTGTATGTCCTTTATACGTCAATGAACAAGCACCAGGAGATAAACCAGAGGAATTTGTCTTGTTAAGATTCCAAAGCTTGAGAGAGTTATCAGTGGAAGCAGAGACAATGGTCTCTGAATCCATAAATTTGACATAGCTAACAGCTTTCTCATGCCCAGCCAATGTGCACAAGGGAGTTTTCACATACCGAAGATCATAGCAATACACCTTGTAATCAGCTGACCCAAATGCCAATAAGTGATTGGAATAAGCAGAGAATTGCACGCAACATACATTTGCTGGACTCCAGATCGTGCCTAACGACCGTTTCTGTATAGCCACCAGAGAAAAATATAAGTTCCACTACGTTTGGATAGTCCTAAGTCTAAATAGAGAATCATACTTTCTGGACCTATACTGATTTGGTTTAAAAAAATACAGGTCGAGAAGCTTGACATAAACAAAATTCTAGCAATATTATGAGACAACGGGAAGAGCCGTACCTCATTGACACTCCAAAGCTTTACCGAACAGTCATCACTTCCACTGACAAATTTTGTCGGGTCAGATGGAGAAAAATCAACTGACCAGGCTCTCTTCTGGTGTTCTGTGTACTGCGAAAATCCTTGTCCGGTCCCCGCATCCCATATCTGCACTCACCAAGCACCATATAGTAAGAAAATGTCAAGTAAAAAACATGATCAATGCAGTTTCACGGTCACTAAGACGGCTCTAAATCTCTATTTTATCACAAGATTGACATGCACACATCCCTTAGAGGTAGAAAGATCTCAGGGGCCTGGTCCTATAGATTCTACAGTGCAACAAAGGATGATAATTAAGATAGATTCCAAACATGACATAGATAGGAGATACTATTCCGTACACACCTGAACTACACCATCGTAGTCAGTCGAGGCCAAGTAATTTTTGATGTAACTATTCCAGCAAACACAGCTTAATTTGGATTTGTTGACCATTTCTACTAGTGGATAATGAAGACCGGCAGATTCATTCATAAATGCATTGAAGTCAAAAATCTTGATTTTCTTTGATATCCCAGCTGCTGCTATGTGTTCCTCATCAGGATCAAAACTCAATGAACAGACCACACTGGCAGAGTTTAAAAGGTCTCCACTTCTTATTGTCCCACAGGTTTCAAACTTGCTATACCGAGCAAATTTGCACAACCCCTCGAAAAAAACTTCCAGTTGATCTGAAGATTTTCCTTTGGTTCTCGTATTATGATTCTCATTTTGGTTTTCAGACCACCTGTCCCTGTCTTTTAAAAGGCTTTTGTCAGAACGGGCACTGGCGGCAGAATCCGATAACTTCATTTGTGACCTCATGAAGAAATATGCATCTTCAAGTTGACGGATATTACTCATCAGCCTCTCTGTATTAGGAGTTGGAACAAATAAGGCGCCAGAAGTAGTTGTACAGCGCACGTCTAAAGGAGATGTTTGCACTCTTCTTTCAATAGCTCCATGAGATCTCACCAGAGATGCATTTGAAGAATATCTTCGCTCGGCCTCCTTAATATCATCCTCCAAAGTCTGGATGTCTTTCAAAAGCTTAGATGCTTTTTTCTGCTTCTGCTCTTCCAGTGAAGATAGAAAATGAAGTAAGAGCTCAGATATCTCCTCATCAGCAGCAGTCGATATAACTGAATCATCCTCGCTTATCAACTCAGACTTCAGTATTTCTCTGTCACATTAAAAGAAAAGACTGAGAACACAAAAAGAAACAACAAGATAATTCACACAGTGGCATGACATCACGTCTTCACAACTATGAGGGAAAACAATGAATAGAAATGAAGGTATCGGGCAAGGAATCTTATAGACGACTATTTAAGCTAAAAAAGAAAATCTTGTCTAAGATCCACAGATTCGCCTATGTACCACTTATAGTAAATATTCTTTACATGATTAATTTCAGAGTAGCACTCAGCGAAATACCTAGCTGTTGGTCGGGAGGAGGGTTCAGGATGTAGAAGCCAAAGACAAAATCCAGCTTCCTTCGGGTATCTTGAGAGAAACGTTGGAGGGAGAATCCGTTGACGCAAATCTGCCATCATTGCAGCATGCATCTCACTGGACTCACAATGGCATAGCAACTAAAACAACCATGTTCAAGCTAGAGATGTCAGTAAGGGTCTCCACGTAAACGGGTCAAACAAGTAAACGAGAGTTTTTAGCACTAATTTAGAACCGGTATATGTCCTTACCTCAAACAGAAGAACACCAAGGGCATATATATTTGATTTTTCTCCGATATCTTCTCCATTTATCTCCTCTGGACAAGTATACCATTGCTCTTCTAGCCAAGTGGACGTAGATTGTTTTCTCGTCATTGAAGCCACGCCTAAATTTTTGATATAGTTTTGCTGTTGAAGTTCACAACTGTCTGGATTACGTGCATCCACCACATTTAAATCAATTACAGGGCTTTTCCTTTTGAAAGGTCTCCCAGTTGAAGTGGCCTGAAGTTGATTCCCTGGAGAATGCACACGCAAGTCCATTTTTCTTTTCTTCAGATCCCTTCCTACAATAGATGATTCCTGAACCACGGGCCTATTCCTATTCAAGTCTTCGTCAATATCTGAGTCTAAACTGTTCTTTCCCAAAGTACCAATATATCTAAGTTTCTTCGATGGGGCCAAGGTGAGACGGGATGGTCTCAAGTCCAGCAAAAATAATCCTTGTGAATGGACTGAGTCAACCAGCTCCACCAGCTGCCTAAATAGACAAAGGCTGTGGCGTTTCTCTCGTTTAGCATAACTTGATTTTAGAAACTCCCTCAAACTGATTCCAAAAGAAGATTTAGTATTATTCCCATCACCATGTGATACAATCCCATTCCCCATCACGACTGTTCC